TCATGTCGACCTTTATATATTCACACTTCTACGTACCTGCCTCTCTGGCGTATACCCTTTTCATGCCTACATGTTCTTTGTCATGTCGGTCTGTGCTACCATTCTGTTTTATGATTGATAAATTGTGTACTTGTCTTATACAATCATTGCTCTATCATCGCTTCCCAATCACTTTTAGTTGGCGCTTATCGAACGGGCAACCCTCTATCATGCTCTACAATTCAGAAATACGCGAATGCCAATGGCTTCAAGGATAAGATAAGATCGAAAATTGCGTCATCACCCATGTGCGCGTGATCTAGCGAGATCCATTCGGTCGACGCACGGACCTCATCCAACCTTCGCACCCACCACCGCCACACATGCCCACCAGATGGCAACGACAAGCAGATTGCTTCAATTGCCACCCGAAATCATTATCGACATCTTGAGTTACCTATCCCCACACGACCTGCGATCATGCCAGCTCACCAACAGAGAGCCCCACATGCTCATTCGCTGTTCTGTGCTGCTGCAATACAAGACGGCACTCGAGACTGCGCAGGCGGAGGACAACCCGTGCTCTTTGGCGCCGTATTCCGAGAAGATCGAGGATCTCAGGTCGAGCGAAGAGGCCTGGAGCATGGTGAAACCAAAGTTCGCCGTGTCGATACCAGTGAAGCACCATCCATCGGGGATCTACGATCTTACAGGAGGAACATATTTGCTGGGAAATGTCGACAGGAAAACACTGCATTATCTCAAGCTTCCCAGGACACCGTACGATGACACGAGGTGGAGGTCCGTAAGGGTGGATCGGACGATCATTGACATGGGTCTATGCGTCTTCGAGCACGACCTGATAGCCATTGTTACGACGTGAGTGGCGCATAAGCTCCCCAATTTCATTTACTGACAATTTACAGACATCGGAAGGAGCAGATAGAGCCCGCCTTGTTCGACATCGAACTTACCCTGCGCGAGTTCTCGTCAGATCGACGACACCCCCAGGCCAAAGAGGAGCGAATTCTGGTCATGACGTCCCCATACGAGAAACCAGCCATCGGAATTGAGATCGTCGGCGACAATCTCGTCCTTATACTCACGTTCTACAACCACCGCGACAAGCCGGACGACCGTGTCTTTATCTACGAGTGGCGGACATCGGTCCTCAAAGCGGTATGTTTCGCCTTGCTTGCTCATCCCCAGTCTGACGTCACCATAGAGCTTCTCCGCACCATGGCACACTTACGCGGGGCTCATTTTCCTCTCAGAACACCTTGTCCTGCTCCCAAACACACATGAAAACTGCCTCGAGATCTTTCGCATCCCATTCAAGCCGACAATCGAAAGCCTTACACCCATCCTCACTCTCTCATTACCAAGGCTTGCTGAGGGCCGCTCTCTAACCGGCGTCTCATGTCGTGCAGAACCCAACCCAATCGGAGCTTCATCGCGAATCGATAAACGCCAGAGAGCCCAGGAACGCCTCGACGCCGGGATCGTGGACGTAGACGACTTCCAGCCCACCCGTGGTTTCCTCGCCAGCGCCACTGATGCTATCTGTGTGTTTGCGGTGCGGATTAACGGGATACCTGTGGCTGCTCTCGATGGCAATGGAGGATTCAACCTCCACTTTGCTTTCGCGAACGCATTCACATTCTTCGTTCATCGCCGGTCGTTCCTCAACTTGGTGCACGAACACGAAGGAGCCGATGCTCCGATCCCGTGGCCGGAGTGGGGCCCACCAGTGTCGCGCTGGTTCAATGCGAACACGTTCCCGACCCGGTGGATCACCACGACGGCTGGCCAGCGGTGCGTGGTCATCGCGGAGGCGGCACCCGAGACGGGCTTCCCGTACGTTGTGCTCGACTTCAACAAGGACAACGTGAGGCGAATGAAGAAGAAACTCGCAGAGGAGAAGGAGGAGCACGACCGTTCACCTACAGTAGAGATGAACCACATGACCTACGAAGAGGAGCTTGAGGCCGAGCTGGACGAGGCCGCGGCTGCGCTATTCGCGCCCTCGCCTTTGGCCGGCCCAGACCTCCAGGACGAGCCTATGGACGAGGACGATGAGCACGAGTCGGATTCGTCTTCTGAGGTCGACGTCGGCCGCCCCAGCCGGATCTGGTGCGTTGAGACGAGCGAGAAAGTTGACGCACCGGAGACGTTTGTGGAGGAGGTGTCCGGCGAGCTGCCATATGTCGCGGCAGCCTCGGAGGGGCGATACGCCTTCGACGGCGTTCTGCTGGACGAGGAGAGGATAATTGGGATCCGGGTAAGTGGTCTGTTTTTTTTCTTTTTTTTTTTTGACTTCTGACATCTTCTAGACCGACATCATGGACGATATCAAATATATCGATGTACATTATTTCGGGTAATCACGAATTGTAATCTCGCGACCAGTTGAGCTGACCATAAGTATCGTTTTACATCGTACGTTTTCGTCTATCAACCTCTGAAGATGAGTCTGCTCATGTTCTGAGCATTATATCTTGAGATGTTTCTCACCGGACGGAAGCCGATGAGTAATTATGAAAATACAATTGGCCCCAAAAGGACTCTATACCGGAGAAATCGGAGATGCGGGCCTAGAACGGGACAGACTCCGACGCTAAATTGCTTTTAAGTAAACGCTGCCCGTGACTCCCCTCTTCCATCTTCTCAACAACCCAATCCTCGCCGTTGCACATCAAATGCTGCACTTTTTCGACTTACCAACTGAAATATTCCTCGAGATCCTCTGCTATCTGCGCTTGCCCGACCTCCACAGATGCAGTCGCGTGTGTCATTTGCTCAAGGATACAATCGACGGCGCGCTACACATCCAATACCAGATGCAACTCGAGCTCGCAGGGATGCAGAATAACCCAAATTCGAAGGCTTGCATAGCGAGCCGCTTGGATCTCCTTAAGGCACGAGAAGAGGCGTGGAAGACGTTGGACTGGAGCTTTGTAACGAAGATCACCGTACCGTGCCAGTCGTCGGGCGTTTACGACCTCACGCCTAGCGTTTATCTCCTTGGGAAGACATTGAGCGGCGATGTGTTCGAAACCACGGGGATTCAGTCCGTTCAGCTGCCTGCAAGATTTCCGGAGGACCTTGAAACGGTCGCAGTAGAGTGGAACGAGTTTGATTTTGGGATGCATATCATCGATTTTGGGACGGCGATTGAAGAGCACGATTTGATGGTATGCGTATCTTCGTGAGTGTCCTTTCCGTTCATTCTGGCTCGTATTCATCGTCCAAAGTGTCCCAGACGAGGACGACCGCAACGTCTCCCATATCGTTGCCGTTCTACTGCGGTACTCAACGAAGAGGACACACGACGACTGCCAGAACCCCGTCATTCCCATATGTCGTGCCCGAGCGTCGCAGGGACAACCTAGCATCAGCATCGAAGTCGTCGGAGAGAACCTCGCTCTTACTGTTGTCTTTAACCAAGATAGAGCCATGTCCTCGGACTATCTCTATATCTTCGACTGGAAGACCGGCCGAAGCAAATGCGTGAGTCGTTCACAGGCACACGCTATCAATCTTCTGATAAGCCTCCAGCACCCAGTTCAAATCTATAACATAGGTCTTGTCTTCCTTCGTGAGGACATTCTCGTGAACCCCAACATCGTCCGCAAGTCTCTTGACATCTACCACATTCCCCCATCGTCCCTGCTCTCTTTACCCACAGCTTCCACCTCGGTCCGCCTTCTCCAATCTCTGATCCTGCCTTCTTTGAAGCTAGGCCAGCGGATAACGAGCATATCATGCCGCAGCGACCCCAACCCAACTGCGAACGCTGCATTTCCGAAGTATACCCGGCCGACGCGTCCATACGCGAACGACTCTTCGGACGCGATCATGATTATGACCCTCGAGGTCTCGCCCTTCAATCGAGGTTCTTCGCGGAACTACGTCATGATCGTCCACCGCCGCGCGCTTCTCCACCTCGCCATCTCCGCTCTACCTCGGAAGTCGGGCAAGGGGCTGCTTAATCTCGTCGCATGGGATACGTGGGGCCCGCCCGTGACGCGGTGGTTCAACGCAGACGATTTCTCGACGGTGTTCATCACAGCGACGTCTGGCCAGCGCTACGTACAGCTTACGCCCTCCGAGCGCGGGCACCCGCGTGGGTCCAACATCCCGCTTCCGCGTGACACCATCCACGTTCTCGACTTCAACCCATGGCACGTCCACCTGGCGCGCCGTAACCCAGACCCGAGGGAGCTCATAGTCGGCGTTGTGGATCCCAAAGAAGGGGAGAAGGAGCGCGAAGAGAACATTTGCCATGCGCACGAGGCGTTTGCGCAGGATATTGTTGGCAGGCTGCCGTATGTACGCTGCACCTCCGAGGAGAAGTGGGAGTTCTACGAAGCGGTGCTGATGGATGAGGAGAGGATACTCGGAGTTTCGGTGAGCCCATTCTTACGTTCGTCGTTTCATCTGGCTCAATGGCGTGGAGGAACAGAGCGAAGCTGATTCCTACCGGATGGATGCGATAGATGTGATCTACTTGGGATGACGTTAAAGAAGACCATCAAATTATACCCACCTGCTATATGATACCTTCGGAATCGCTGTCTTGGCCCTGCTTTCTTGTGTATCTTATGTTATCTGTATGTAATATTCATGCCTTCCCCACTTCGCATCGACAGACGTATACGACTGACATTTTCGAGCCGTCAGTCCTCCCATGCACGTACAAGTGATCACGAGAGAATTGAAACGAACCACTCGGAATAAAAATAACAATGATCGCCTTCGGCACTCTCCATAGATGAAGACGAAATACAGCTCGTGCGTCAGAACGAGTTACCAAAATTATCTGGATGAATCAGCGCACCGGGTCGAGAGAAGTACGAATCCCTGATGCCCTGTTGCATCGGACCATTCAATTTGAGATCGAAGAAGATAAGCCCGACAAAACAAGCCCTTGTATCGAATACTCTTCCATTTCTGTGCGTCCTCAACGCTCGACACAGATTCAGAAGGCTGACACACGCTCCTGCTTCTTCCTTAGCGCCATTGCAGACCCCTTCCGAAGGAAGAACAAGGTATTGGGCTTAAAATGACATTGGCCTTGCCAGACATAAGCATAAGCTCAAGTCGTCTTTATTGCAAGCAACAGAACTTGAAGGGGGAAGAAGCAGAACCTCGTGCCCAGTCAGTTGATCCCGAAGCTGAGTCGTCTGCGAGACAAAAGTTTCTTTTGAGAGACAGTGGTAAAGAAGATCTTGAACTCGTCGCCGGGTTTAACAAACCTTGACACTGCGCTAGACTTGAGCATCCAAAAAAACGTCAAAATGTGTCGGTCGACAAGACAGCGCTGTCAAGGACATAAAATACTTGATTGACACCTATATACTACAATGCAATTAGAGCGGCTTTGCTTCGACAAGTGACATACCTGACAGAAGGCTGTGGTGTCTTCTCCCTATTTACCGGCTACGCGACAGATCGTGTTGCTTCTCTTGCCAAATATACCCTGTCTTACTTCAGAACTTCTTTCTGCCTTCCCCACTTTCCCCTTTATGGACTTCCTCACATTTCGCCATCTCCTAAGGCTTCTTTCAAGAAGCAAGTAAGTCCGTGGGGAATCGCCCGCGATTCTCTGGGGCTCTATGGAGAATCGATCACAGGCATCTATACATACAGACATCTTAGAAGTCGTAGACCGGCTTCACATAGCGGACAGAAAACCGGATATATATATATCTTTGACCTGAAACCGAGAAGTACCTCGAGGACGCCGTTCCTCCATGGTCTTCGCCGGGGACTTGGAACCAGGAGGCCTACGCCAAGGTGCCTCGCGCCATCCGGAGCGTCCCAACCCAATTAAAGCGTCCTATTCTACGCCCAAGCCACCCAAGACAGAGCGTGCGCGAGGAAAGTTCGTCGTCGAAGCGCCGAGATGCCGAAGACTCGCGAGCGGACGAGCGGTCCGGGGCGGGTGCGCCGGGAGTAAGACGCAAACTTTATACTTTCAATTTGTTCTTACACATCTCTCGCTGAATTCGACATCCGCGCATTTGAACATTGGGAGTCTCCAAGCCATTGCTTCTACGCCGGGCGCTTCTTTATCGCTCGTTTCAAGTGTTAGCGAGGTAAAATACATGACACATCGACCATCATTGTGTGTCTAGAAAGTCCAGGTAAAATACGGCAACTCTCCTCGCTTCTTGTATCTTAGAGAGAAACCTCAGAGAAGCCAGAACGTGTGGCTTCTCTTGCCAAATATCCCACCCTGATTTCCTTATTTCTACCTTCCCCGCTTTCGGCCTTACGAACTTCCTCACATCTCGCCGAGGCGCCATATCCTATGGCTCTCGTTCTGACTTCTTTCAAGAATCAAGAAGTACGCTCGTGGGGAACGCCCGCGAGCTCTATGGAGAATTGATCATAAGCATATACGCAGACATCCCAGAAGTCGGAGACCGGCTTCGCATTGTGGACAGAAAGCTGGTTATCCTTGGCCTCACACCTATCGCGAGCGATCAACAAGTTCCTCAAGAACGCCGTTCCCCCAGAACAAGGAAGCCTACACCAAGGTTCTTCCCACCATCCGGGGCGTTCCAATCGGCCTATTCTGCGCCTAAGCTACCCAAGACAGAGCGTGCGCGAGGAGAAGACATTTCGCTGACGAATGGCCGAGATTCCGAGGAGCCGTCTTTAGCACCTAGTAAGGACGAGCTTGACCTCCTGCACACGCCATGATGTGAGCGCCTGACCAGGTCATCCGGGACGGGCGCAGCGGAAATTTGAAGCAAATTTTACGCTTTTAATTTGCTCATAAGCGTTCTCTCGCTGAATTCAACATCCGCGCATTTGATCACCGCGAACCCCCGAGCCACGGCTTCTGTGCTGGGCGCTTCTCTTAAGCGCTTGTTTCAAAGCAAAGTACGGTAATTGTTCCCGGTTCTTCTGCCTCAGAGAAGCTTAGACTTTTCTTCGTCTCCTCATGCAGGTGCGTGGCTTCTTAACGCCCCGTGGCTCAGTACATTGTCTCGGGCCGTAGTGCACCAACTTGTCTCGGCTTGACATCTCACGCGCAGGCTTCCTTGAAGGCCGACACAGCCTTCATCCATACGTGATGCTGGCCGCGATCCGCGCTTGCCCCTCGGATATGGCAAACTGAAGCAGTATGTAGCTCAAGCACCTCTAAGTCGTCAGTCGATGGGTATCATCCCCGGCTATCGATCACGCAAGTCCCCCTCACGTATGCCCTAGCCCTAGTGACATTCTCCAATACGAGAACAAAGGCGGACTTTCGGGTCAGTCAGGCATTTGCTAGCCGTTAGCCGGGTCCGCCAAGGAATGGAACAAGCGCCCAGGGTAAAATTTCTCGCCTGTATTAGGATACTCTAAACTAATTAGTCGGACTGTGGAGTCGGATACACACGACGTATTTCAGGGAATTTCCCCTCCAGGCCTACATGGTACGCCCGAGGGCTGAAGTCGCTCACGATGGAATTGTCTCCTCGACGTATCAATGCTCGTGAAAGTCCTTCATAGTAAACTCACGATAACGCGATAGCAATCTAATTCTGGATTAATGATAAGCATTGAGAAAATGAAAGGGCTAGTTTGGGGAAGGGGTGATGTACGAGATGTTGTTCCCGGGATAGTGCCCCAAGGACATCGTCAGATCCGGAAGAGGGTGCGATGCCATTCTACTGGCCCCGAGCCGAACTATCCGGTTCGTCGAAAGTTTTGGGTAAAGGTAGGAAGGAAATAGATGCCTGGTGCCCATGTCGTTAGTGCGCTAGAAGCCTTCCTTCACCCCGCATCATTGCTCATGAAAAAGGTCGCAATACAGACGCTGGACGTCACCGGATATACCACTGACAGCTCGCCACGCGACCAAGTGAACCAGTGCAAATGACCGGACGTGTCTGTGCGAGTCGCCAAGTCAACAGCGAGGACACGAGCATTTCGCAGTGTCGAAGAGTGCGAAGAATCAAGCCGGCTGATGTGGATCTGACCCAGCTCGAGGACTTGCAGGGTCCTTCCTATATTAAACGAGATCGGAACCGCGTCGAGGTGGGGGGAAAAGTATATAACTCTTCCTCCGTCTCGCTGGGTCCGTGCCCTTTCCTTGTTCTTGTACCCCTTCCAGCACACTCTCATAGCAGGCATACACCAACTGCAGCACCAGCATACGTTCTCCTCTGGGCACTACGGTGAGTCCTTTCCTGTGCATGAAGCCCTTGGAGGACTTCCAGCCTCAACGCGTCGTTCAGCCACAGCTCAATTCCTCGACCTAGCTAGAGACACGCGCTCCGGCACCTGAGCACGATGTCTCGAGCATACGGCCCCTCCAACCCACTCCTCACGCCCATCCCCACCGACCGAACGCCAAACGACGCTGCGGAGACGCATCCCCGCGAACGGAAACACCACGTCGCTGTCGTCGCCGTCCATCTCGCAGACCCCCAGATCAAGGATAGAAGCTTCCAAACTTCGAACCGGGCACGATTATCAGGACCCCCAGGCATGGGTAACATGCCCAATTTCCCCACCCAGCCCCCTTCGCTCCCGGCGAACAGAATAGTTCCGCTCCCAAGCTTGGCCGCCGGCATGCCCATTTTAGTCCACCCCCTGCTTCAGTATCATTCCAACATCCTCTCCATCGTCTACGACCTCAGCCTCCATCCATCCACCGCCGAATGCCCAGCATCCAGGACCCGCCTCGAGTACAGGTCGTGGCGAGGCCAGCCGGCGATGCACCCCAGCACTGTGACTTCGCTCACGGTCAGAATGCCCGGCATCGAGAGCCCTGTCGTGGTCTTTCCGTCGCGAAGAGACAGCATGGTCGTCACCATCGATGACGTGCTGGGGGCTGTGAGCAGCGCCGTTCGCAGGGCAGTCCTAGACCAACTCACCAGTCAAGCAACGGGCGATAGCTTTGGGCTAGGGCGAAGGGGATACATCCAGTCCCCGCAACCATTCTACACGGATGCCCAGCTCACCTCCGATGTACGACGCAGGTTGTCGCGTGCTCGTTGGTGGGGAGGACTGTACGCCAGCCCAACCGAGCGGGATGTGTGGATCCTGCATACGTCTGAGTACCGCCCTCACTGAGTGAACGTCGCGGGTACTTACCCTAATTCTTGTGGAACACCTTTTCCAAGTTGAACGGGATCGACTCGATCAGGTATCGAGAATCATGTACTTTCTTCAACACGACGAGCAACGTTGTATTCGGACATCATGGACCTTTTCTGCAGCAATGTAACATTAGGATACGAAGAGAACGGACTTCGCTTTACTTACTTTACGTATAATGCCGTTAGGATAGCAGTATGAGCAGTGTAATTGTCGTTAATCGTAATGGTTTGGAAGAATGTTGGAAATCTGTCTGTGCGTGGGAGTATTTTCTTACAGGACTGATTGCCCCCGGTCCGGAGTGCCGCCCACTGGCGACGGCTCTTTTGACTCTCAGCTTACGCCTTGGTTCGTGAGGAGAAACCTGACATATTGTCACAAATTTAGTATAAGTAAATCCCAATCTTCCTTCACCGAATCCGTGAAATACTGTTATGCCTTTCTTCGCTTGAACATCCCGACTTAGCGGGACATCCACTTCTCCTCTTGAGCTGGAGCTCGCGTCGACTTCGAGGCCGCTCGAAATTTTATTCCACATTATCAAGCTTTGACAGAATATGATTCACGAATATAGCAGTAGCATCCATAGTTACTAACATCGTGAGGGGATGCAGTGGCTTCGAGACCAAAAACATAAGAGGGAACACAAATCCAAGGATTGAGGGTCTGCGAAGTCAAGGTCTACCCTTTGAGTAGTTTTTTGAATTTCCGATCAATAGTCCGACCATTAGCCGGTTCCCAATGTCTGGCAAGACGCCCGCGCCTCCATGGGTGCTTATTCTTCAGTTTCACCCAGCTCCAAGCTGAGTCAATGGCAGTGATCTCGAGCGGTAGATAAACTGGGGTGTATCCTGGCACCAATCGTCGGAAGGCATTCAAGAAGAAGGGATCGAGAGGCTACAAGCCCACGGCCTATGCTGGCTTACGCATACATAACGGGTTCAATACGTCAACTCAAATGAAAATTCATCGGTTGGCCACGAGATCGTCGCCTCGAATAAAATTAGCTCCTCGTAGTCTCACATAACGAGAGCAAGGGCCAATGGTTGATATCGAATTCGCCTACCTTGGGACGGCGTTCGTGAATGAGGGAATTCTACCAAGCTACAATAGGAATATAATCGCGATGTGCTCCCCGTCCGTCCCGTGCCCTCGCGCCACAATGGAGACCTATTTGTGTATTATAGTATTGCCGTCAGCACTTGCCACCATGTTTGTAGGCTCATAAGGAACGAGCTGCATACCTGAACTATTAGGTGCTGCAAGAAATACAAGGACCGCGTCGAGTTTCCATGGACTCTGAAGTTGTTACTGAGAAGAATATCTCCCTCGAAAATCGACATGCAAGTAAGCATAAATTCTTAGAAGGTTCAACCTTTCTTGCTACAAGAGTGTACTCTGTTCGGTCTTGTGGCGTGCGGCTCGAAAGCCTGAACTACCATTCGTGACATGATGGAAAAGTTGTGTCCGCCCTAAGCTCGCATACCTGGCCAGTCCGTGCTCTCCCCCAAGTGTATCCGAGTGTCGTGTATGTCGTATGTATTCCGTCTCTTATCGCTTCGGAGGTCCTTCCGCCCAGGGTTGACTCACGATGCAACGTGTAGCGCTCAACGCGCCTGTTGCGCTTCTCAAATGCTGGTCTGTTTTCCCCCCTAGACATTTCGTACACCCTCCGTAGAACGTCAAACAGGTATTATTTCCCCGGACGTCCTTGATGCGTGGATACCGAACTGCCATCGGCGTCATGATCTTAATCATGACAATGGCTTGTCGGTTCTTCTCTCAACTCATGTCAAAGAGGAGGGTAAAACATATGGCGTTCCAGGGAGAATATGGAAGGATCCCCGCGACGCATCTGCATGGAAGACTAATTGACTAATGCTTCCTCTCCAGCATGAGAGCGCCACACCAGAAAATGAACTGGCTCATCGAGACGGATTTACATCATGGATAACTGACAGCCACCGGTCCAATGCACTGAGATGGTCCGAAACAAATCTAGCCATGTTGGATTCGAAGTCTGAGCAAATATACCCGATCTGCGCTCTCCATTAGGATTGTATGTTAAACTCTGAGTTGAAGAACACGATCACTGAGGCCACTTCCATCACAGCATCCTCAAGATTGCACCTTCTATTTCCCCATCCTGACCGTCCAATCGTCCCCAACCTGTATCCATTGCGGACCACTCGCCTCGTATCTGCCATCAGCATTGATACTCATTATCACGCGATGCAGGGTTGCATATTTACATTTTCACCGTGTAAATCCATGATACGCACATCTCGTCCAACCTGAGGAACTCTCTTCACCTCTTCGAACGAAGAGTGAGGTCACCAATTTCTGGGGTCTGTTGTGGGATTCCTCGCAGTGTCCCTCTCAAAGTTGTGATATGGACCCTCTCCCTGTTTGGGCCATCAATCCAAAGAGAAGGAAGTGCTCTTCCAACTTCCGTTGCAGTTATACGAAAGGAGCCAACAACTATGTTTCATGTATTAATATTCAATGCACTGCGTAATAGGCTCCGTCGAACAACTAAATGACTTTGTAATTCTTGACAGTCGTTGATTCCGAAAGTCAGACGACCACAGGAGACAGAACAAAGTTTCTCCGAAACCCGTGCTATTGATGCCCCAAAATATGCCCATTTGAACGTGACGGGTGAGGTCAATCTTCGAGCTCTCATTCTCCGAGTTTAGCAGGTCATAAACGGAAAGAGGGCGGACGGCATGATGGAATGCAGAATCACCGAGGCCGTCTAAGAACTCCACGACCCTCGGGCGCTTATCTTCATTACGGTACGAGCAACGCAGGAACAATGATGTTACTGCTCACTTCAGGGATAAGTACGAAGCCGAGAAGTGTCTAGTATGAGAATGCCAACCTGAGACGAGAAGCTAGTCCGATAGATGGGACAGCATCATGCCACATATCTGGTCCATATTGGGTGAGTAGGTGGCTAGAATATTATTTCAGAGGAGTTATTCTGTCCACAATAAGGTAATATCCTATTGGAGTTCGAGGCAGTGCGACCGAAAGATCGGGATAGGAAGGAAGAAAGAAAGATCGAGAGTGGACCATTCGCATGGCAGGGCTGTAATTCCTCCCGATAGAGATGTCCTATTCATGCTCGATGTGAGCCCTCCAGCTCATAGTCAGCATAGACGAAAACCTTCAATGCTATCATACTATTTTTCACTCAAGGTGTTAGGTTTGATCTTTAATTGTTCAAAATATTTACCGCCTTATTCGCAGGATATCGGGAGGATAGTGTACGTTTATGCATGTGTTGCGTAGTCCGGCTATTTTCCCGTCCCCCGATCAGTCGAAACAAGGTGATTGTCCTGGCGTTGGATGATCTTGCAGCCTGTCGTTCAGTTAGGAGTTTACTGGGCCTCCACATAGAAATCCGAAAATCTAGTATTTATGAATATGTAGTAGATATCTGCGGCTTGAATCACTTGGATCTAACTCCGGGAAGATTTGGAAGTAACTAGGGGGCGCGGTGCGCACACCTACTGCTATCAGTTGTTGATCACCATAGCCTCACAAATCTGAGACTCAGATGCTGTGTAAACCGCTGTGCCGATGCACGATTCTTGAGATACAACACTTTATCCTTTTCTTATTGAAGGTGTAGGAAATCTGTCTACTCAATTTCCCTGATCGCCCAACGAGTGACGTTCTCTGGGATGCTTTTGTCAAGACGTGGAAATAGACTGAAGCTCCCTGCGCTTTAGCGACTCAAAGTACTTGCATAATATGACATACGCAACAGATTAGACGATAAGACTGATAAATATGAGCGTAGGCTCACACGCTGGAAGACAGAAGCGAAGCAAAGGGGGCCTCGCGGGGTCGTAAATGCCTCATGGCCGTGAGCGTCGGCGTAGAAGCACAGTGAGTATGTAAAGAGGCACTGAGCTACAAATAAGTTTGTCGCCCACTTGATTTGTGGTTTCACCGTGAAGGAAATAATCGTCTCAATAAACTCCCCACACTACTTACAGCGATTGCGGCGCCACGAGGAGGAAATGACGAAATGCGAGTCCCTCTGCATTTTTTGACAAAAGTCAAGCGGTGATATTGCGTCTTTCAAGATAATCGCCCGTCTCCTGAACTGCGCCGACGTGAAACCCGACTCCCATTGAGGCATGGCGGTCGGGCAACATGCTCGAATGCCCAAATTAGGACAGTGCGCCGCCGACATGGGCTTGTTTTCCCACGAGCCAAAAACAACTGTCCTCTTGCGCCTCCAATTGGAGAACGGAATTATCTTCAATTATGATACATTACGACAGAAGAGATCCATTCGATCTTTCAAATAGAGCACAAACTCCCATCACGCAGGAGTGTTTTCTGTCACTACCATCGCTGATATCGTTGATTGCTCCCCGCTTCCACCAGTGGTGTACGTCAATTTCCAGCCTACAGGACTTAGAGTGTTCAACCCCAGTCAAACGTACATCACCACGATGCTGGAATTTACAGAAGAGCGCCAACGACGCGAAGTCCCGACACTCGAGCGCGTCCTTGCATGCATCAAGCTTGATATATGCCCTGGGCCACGACCTGCATGACGAGGCCTGAGGCCTGAATGAGGATGCGTTGCCAATTTGTGGACGCACCATTCCTAGCAGAAGCAGAATCTAGCCCAGACATTATAATGTAGTTCAAGGCGGTGACGAAGACTGCAGTCGAAATGAGGCAAGGCGAACGCAGCAGCAGGACACGGGATATTTCGGGCTGGAAAAAACCTGGGTAACAATGCTGAACCTGAGAATTGAGTTGGCCTTACGTCGCAAGCCATCCTTCAGGCTCGGAGTTCCTGGACATCTCCTTGAATCTCTACTTGAGCGTTCACGTGCGGGGGGATCTGTCATAACATTGCAAGACAGCGGCAAGCCTTGACAAATGATCCCAAGGAAAGGTGGAAGGCTCCTCGTACAAAAGGAAGAAAGGCGCAAAGCACATCTCCCTCTCTCTCTTTCCCTCCAGCCACCACCATCGCGGATACTTCAACCCTTAGACTTCAAGATCCACCCTATAGCATCCGGTATAGGCAACAAATTAGCGTCCCCAGGTGGTCTGTGCGCCGAAGGATCCTAACATTCTGGTATGCACCATAACCGTGCCTTCCTATCAAATCGAAGCTGGGGAATGCGTACCCACGTAGGAGTGCCACGCGAGCAGCCAATGCAGATGCACCGGCCCCACATAGTCACAGACTTTCCATCGATGTCGTCGTCATATCCGCCGTCGACGCATGTCGATAGCTCTAGCGCTCGGCCTAGGGGCCAGCCCGCATCAGTTCTCGGGATCTCAGAGAACGGCCAGGAGAGAGACTCAGAAATTGTCCAGCGTGAATTCGAAGGTGGGTTCGGCCTCGAGTGCATCTAACACTTCGGCGCTGATAGAACGTGTTAAGACCACCCGCCGCCATTGGCCCGAAATCGAACCATGCCACTGCCACCGTTATCGATGGTCGCTATTTTCGTCCATCCACTGCTTCAGTACAGCAGCATTTCGCCTCCGATAGCGTACGATGTGACCTTACCCCCGAGTACGGCGGTCCTGGCCACCAGAACGAGAACGGACCCAGCAATGGCGTGGTGGAAGTACCACTCAGCCATGGAACCGAAGGCTCTGGGCTCGATGACCATACGAATGTGTGGCATCTTGAGCCCTATCGTCGTTCGGCCAGCACGATTGGATTGTGATATCATCACCCTTGGCAATGTGCTCGACGCCGTACATCAAGCGGTATGTGGTCCATCAAGCGTTGTCGCGAGGGGACAGGAAGAGAGCAGGTTCGGCCCCGCGAAATCCAGGTCAAGAACAGGAAGAACCCGGAGAACAGGAGCACCGGTCAACAACATAATGCAGCAGGAGAACGACGAAGCGATCTGGTGGGCAGGCCTCGTTCCGAGCCAAGAGGAAAGAGAGGTGTGGATTTTGCATACCACCAGGAGGCGGCCGTGGTGAAATAGCGAGGGTAGCGAAGAGCGACGGCAGAGAGAAGTTTGGCCACTGTGGAGTCAAGGATTTATTTTTCGAGTAACGTCAAATTCAAGAAGTCGAAATAAGGAAGAATTAAATATACGTGACCGCGAAAATGCTGTTTATGTGGGGTGAACTCCAGAGACGTGAGGCTTTGAAGTTTGGTTCGTGGTCGCCGTCGTGAAAAGAAAGCCACTAGGACATTTTCACACGACCCCAAGTTGATTTAACTTTCCCACGACCGCTGATTAAGGATTGGTAATATTTATTCGCCTATCCAAGCTGCCCCTCGAAAGCTGCGATAACCCTCTTTCCTCTTGCTCCACCGTCCATACTAAGTTTGAGTCGCGGCAAGTATTAATATTTTCACCGATGTGTAGGCCTCTTCACAATCAAGTATCACGTTTATCACGCTTACCACGGGAGGTACTTAGGCTATGTAGCTCGAGCGACTCAAAAGAAAAAAGCGGCACGAAATTCTCTCATCTCACGAGCTGCTCACGAGCATCAAGTTAGACCTCCAACGGCCGCAAACATGACAAAGATCGACGTTTCAAACATATCTTACATATCTCCATTCAGTGACTGCACGTTTGTCCAATAATGCCGACCACGAAACCCTCTCCGCCAAGTCCTGGATGTCATAGCTATCGTAAGTTGTTCTCGTTCCATCGTTATCCTCCGTACCCTCAATGCGACGTGAAGTCAGAGAGGATACTCTTTCTTTCCAGTGCCTTGGAGGTCTAGATCTCATTGCCGAGATCACGCATGCCAAGAGCAATGCTCATCAAAACAAACTAATCCAAAATTGAAGCCGGCTCTATCGACCTCCCGAAGATGTCGGTCGCTCACAACTTGCGGTTGCCCATACATACATCAGCTAGAGGCGCCCATCTCTTTCTTCCCCATCATGCGCTAGTTTCCATCTCCTCACGACAACGACAACGAAAAGCGCCCACCCCACCTGTCCTTTTGCGACTCTGACGACTCTGGCTGTGTCGAACCTTCCGGCCTTCAGGCACAGCCCAGTATCGCCAGACAAGCAGGCCCTGGTACGTTTCAGCCCCAATTTCCGCCTCGACTCCGAGACTAATCTTCGGACGACAGACATCCCTATAGCTTACCTCCTGTCTCCCTTCTTCGTGGGTCCTCTGGATCGACTACCATCAATCGCCGAAACGCCCACATGCAGCTTCCCAGCTCAGTTTTATTCTGCTACCCTCTCGTCCAGCGCCTCTTTCTGTATTTCATGAAGATCATTGGCTCGCGATTCCGCCTGCGAGGCCATCGCCCACCAAAGGCGCTACCAGCGCAGGAGAAGGCGAAGGAGGAGGAGAAAGTCGAGGTCAGAATCAAGAAGCGAGCGCTCTTGATTGGGGTCTGCGACGTCCCGGAACCACCTCCGACGTCTGCCCTCTCCCCTGTCGCGCAGACGCCGCTGTCGGCTGCGCCCAAGAGGAAGTCGAGGAGGAGGTCCAAGACGAAGAAAATGCCCACCCTGAAGGGACCTCACGCGGACGTTGCGGCGATGAAGGACCTGCTCATCGGTGAGTTGATAAACATCGTGGACAGTGGGCGCGAAAGCTGACTATGGCCAGAAACATACCAGTATGACCCCGACGACATCACGGTCCTCATCGACGACATCATCCCTGGACATCCCCAACCCACCCGAGAGAACATCGTACGACCACTCCTTTTCTCAAGATACGCTTTTCTGACGTATTGCTCTGTCAGCTTCGCGCTATTGCTACTCTCATCCACGGTGCTCGGGAGAACGATCGGTTCTTCTTCTACTGTACGTCAAACCCGTCATCGTCGTGCATCTCGTGCTCAATATCTGCTAGTCGCCGGACATTCGAAGCAAGAGGATACAGATGACATCGAGGAGGAGGATAGAAAAAACGAATGTGCGTTACTCTTCTTTGGGCCAGCCGCTGGCGAATAACAAACTTTCTCTAGTTATGTTGTGCTCCGATGGGCTGGCAATTCAGGACGACGTAAGTCACCTCTCGGCCCTTCTCCTTCCCCGTCTTACATCCTGTCCAGGAACTTCGAACTCGTCTCGTTAACCCCCTTCCGCCGAAAAGCTCCTTGATCGTATGCATCACAACCTACAGATTCTTTTCTATCCGTAGCTTACAATGTACCAGGCTGTGTTCGATTCTTGCAATTCCGGGACATTACTTGGTAAGTTACCCTGGCCCCGCTTTGAATGCAGTTCTTAGCTCATCCCATGCGCTGTCTCGACCAGATCTCAAGCATTTCCGGTGTAACCAAGTCTACGTACCGTGGCTCAACAGGGGGGATAGGCGAACGAAGTCGATGTGGTACCAGAACCGTGAGTCCTATGTCCGTAACTCTCGTTCTCTCCAGCTAATCACCCTTCTAAAGAACGGCAAGCAGCCAGTGAGTAACTAAATATCCCATATCTCGTACGTCTGCTGATCCATCGCCCCTAGAGATCTCGACTCGCGCAGTCCAACAATTCACCCGGATCAACACTAATCTCTTCAAATGGACCCAAACGTCCATCGACCAGCTTATGATGTCTCCAGTCGAGGCTTCGACTCTCGACGTCAAACTCGAGCCCGTCATTAACAAGAAGAAGACGTCGATCTCCATCATCACTGACCGTCTGTTGCTCTCAGAGCCATCCTCCTGGCTTGACTCTGCCGCCCCACGCTGTGCCTCGCCCGAGATGCTCTATTGCTCCGGTGACTGCCGCGACAACCCGCTCTTCCAACGAGACGGCAGCGACCAGGCGGACGTCATATCGTTGTCGTCTGCCGGCGATTCCCAGCGGGCCTGGGAGGGCGCCGATGGAACATCGATGACACAGGCCCTTGTCCAGCTGCTTCGTACGTTCTTTCGCGACCTCGGAGTCCTCGCCTCATCTAATCGATTCTTCAGGAAATGACCCCCATCCGACCTTTCATAATTTACTAACCCATGTCAGGTATGTCATTTAACAAATCTCCTTCGGGTTATATTTCTCAGTACAAACCGATACTTTCAGCCACGACCTGCATCGGTTCTACCTCAACCTGCACGTCAAGGCTCGGGAATACCGAAAGATGATAGAGGCGCGCAACGAGGAGAGAAAGAAGAAGGGGAAGAAGCCGAAGCAGGGCGACGTGGTCGAGATGAACAATTTCCAGAACCCACAGGTGAGTGCCTCGGTTTTCTGTCGCCGGCTGTATCTGACCACTGGCAACCTCTCCAGCTTTCGAGTGACAGACCACTCGACATGAGCCGGACGTGGTACCCTTGATGGAGGTTCGATATCATCTCGCCTTGTTTTTGCTCCTTTCCTCGCCCCTCGGTCCCGACCGCCTTATTATTTCGCCATCTTTAGTTTCTCCATTACTGCTGTTTCCCTTCATCTGCATAGCCACCATTCCACATGTTCATCTCCGCTTTGCATCCCATTCACGTCTCATTTCGCACATCATGCTCTAGCTCTTCTCGCTCTCCTGTTCTGTTCTTCACATATAATAGTCTTCGCCCAATAACCTATGCAATACAGATCTATTTTCACTGCATCATGACCCCGAGGAAGCACGCGACAACCGAATCTCGCATACGCACAGTTGTATCAGGTTCGCACTATCACACTCCTTCGCCCGTCAGTTAACCTCTCCTATAGTAAGCGCCTGGCGGTAATTTAGCTATTTCGGACAGAACCCCAGACGGACTAGCGCCTCCTAGAGATCGGGCAACGGTTCAGTACATCACAGATGGGTGTAGAAGTTCAGCCAGTGGCGAGCGTCTAAACACAGCCCTGATCAGAGCCCCGAGTTCGGTTTCAAATGCAAATTTCTGCTCCATCACCCGACAAAAGCTTTCGCCCTACGTAGGCTGTTCTCTCCTATTAGGGTATAATGACCTGTCAAGGAAGACGTCGGATCCGTCCAGGAGCGAGTACATGTTATCCGACATTGACAACCACCTTGCACTTTCGAAGCCGCGTCGTCGAGATCAATACGCTCTCACACCAATCCGCTCATTTCAGAAGCTTCTTGTGACACTCCCGGGGCAGGCGCCGCTATTGTTGCACGTGGATGGGCGCTCATCTGTTGCTCCGTTCAAGGTCTGTTCTATTGAGCGATCAGTCTCCTTGATTTTGACGGGTTGGGCGCCTCGTCGACCTACCCGTATCCCATTTGTAGCAGGCGTCGTTTGCAGGCTAAGGCGTCGCTTTATATTTAACCATCCCACTGTAACGAGGAACCCACATACGAAGTCCCTGCCTCCCTCCTTTTAATGCTCTCCGACGTATCCCGCTTTCTGTGTTGCCTGTCGATTGGCAACCGGTTTTCACGTAGGCCCAGCGATGAGCCTCTGACACCAACTCCGCCACCTGCTCCACCGCCAGAGGCTCATAACGAATCTGTGGTCTCCTCAGGTAGCGATACAACCTCGCGCGCAAGATTTGCGCCTAGAAGGACTCGACGCCAGAGGCCTCCTCCACCTATCAACCCGAGAAGACCACCTTGCAAAAAAGCTTTACTTATTGGGATCAGTCGTGTCGCGGAGCTACAAGAAGCCCCAGCGAACATGCCCATTCCGAGGTCCTGGAGTATGCACCAACGGTCGTTTGGGGCTCTCCAAGGGCCGCATAACGAGGTCGAAGCAACGAAGAACCTGCTCGTCGGTGAGTACCTTGGTTCTTGCTTCAGTTGCGGATCATTCCTTATTACTTTGGATTCATTGTAGACCTGTACGAATATGATCCGAAGGACATTGTCATTCTCAAGGACTCGGAAGGCCAGAGCGATGAGCTCCTTCCGACAAGAGATAATATTGTAAGTGTGAGGTTGTTTATTTCAGCAGATCTTTACCTTATGTTCGCCAGATTAAACGAGTCAAGGAGTTGACGGCGGAAGCCAAAGCCGACGATCATTTCTATTTTCACTGTGAGTTGCTTCGCGCTCCACTACCTTTCCGTCAAATAGATGTATTTCCTTTCTCCGCCTTATTTAGTCTCTGGTCACTCGATTCAACTACCAACCACAGACACCAGAGAAGAGGACCGAATGAACGAATGTAAATTACCATTGGTCGGCCGCATTTCCTTGCGATTAATCCAATCTCTTCATTAGGTATCGTGACCTGCGACGGCTACTACATCGTCGATGATGTACGCGTATTGGTCCTCCATAAAAACTCCTTGACCTCTTAATCGGCCCATATTTTCCCCTAGGACATTCGGGAATATCTTGTTGAACCAATCCCCGAAGGCGCCTATCTCACAGTAGGCATTCGTCTACTACTTTCACGCCAGTGCAATCGTCTGACATGGATTAGGCTGTGGTCGACTCCTGCCACTCCGGTTCACTTTTGGGTAATGCTACTCGTTGCCCGTGTAATTGGTAATGGGCGTCTAAGCGTCGACAGATCTCTACCACTGGCGCTGTAATCGAATATATGTACCTTGGATAAACAAAGGATCCCGGAAGACAAACACCCTGTGGAATGTCACGAGTAAGTATCGATCAATTATCCTCTTGATTGCTTGACTGAAAGGCGATCAGAGCGAGGATTCGCGGGTAGGAGCTTTCCTGATCAATTCATGCAAGCTTATTCGATGATGAACGGCAGCACTCACCCACGGCATAACTCAGCTTGTCTACCAGACAGGCAGCCAAGCACATCGTTTTCCCCGGATATTGGAGGAGACCTCGCCTCGGAGGCACACTCTAGAAATTGGCGACAATGAGGCGAATGGGTCGGCATTATCATCCCCAACGGAAGAAACAACTAGGTTCGAATCTCCTGAGCCTGTGTACTGTGATGGCCGATGTCGAGACAAGCTAGTCGACTCGAACACAACACCTCAAAATATTGTGAGCTTCCTCCTACCGTGGAGCTGTGAGGAGCATGATAATTAACAAGAAGCACAATTAGATATGTCTTTCGTCGGCTGCTGATGGACAGAAGACTTGGGAAGACACGAACGGAGAATCCATGACTGCTGTAAGTGCGATAGAATCTGTACCATCTAAGCCGGCGTTTATTGACATTTCGTTATTAGGTTTTAATGGGAATACTTCGTAGGTGGCATTCTCACTTATGTTACATAGGTCTACCATGATATTATACAGGAAAACACCCTCACCCCTCTCGTGAAGAGGTGTTAACAGCTATCAGCTATTTTATGATGTAGCTTCAGTGTTTCAAATGCATAACTAATCAAATTCTCAGTTTCGAGTTGCACCAGCGTTACATTGAACTTCACATCGAAGCCCGTTCCTATCGGAAGCAGGTCCACAAGCACAACTTGTTCCTCCGTAAGCTCGGGAAACTCACGAAAAGTGGGTATCTGGTGGAAATGAACAATTTCCAAAATCCTCAGGTTGGTTCTTAAGAATGATATCCATGAATGCCTCATTTACCCATCTCTTTCCCAGCTATCGAGTCACAATCCATTGGTACGTTATCTGTACGCCATTCACGTCCAAATACCTATCGTTTCCCTGACCAGGATATGAGCCTACCCTGGAACCCTTAAAATAAACGCGATTTTCTCCGTGGGATGAGTTCCAGAAGCTGCCAAGTGTGCACCGACTGCTAAGGATAGAGAGAAGGATGCATCGGCGAATAGGATCCTCCATTCAGCTAAACCTCGAGTGTGGAGATCATACCGCCTTCTGTTCGTGTGCAGTCATGGGATCCTGCGCGGGGGATTCTGTTCACCCGGTCTAACGCCTGGTGGTTATCTGTTCTGCCGATTTGTGTATCACCACGGCGTCTACATCGACGATAATGAATACGGGGGCAGTATGTAACGATTTCCCAAAAGGACTTGAAGAAACCATGAAACTTTGATTTGACACGACGACTACTTATTCCGCCCGTCTGGCCCGCGTTTCATCAGACAGGATATATTGTCGCCGGTCGATCGGCGGACTGAGATGGGCGTCAGTGATAAATATATATGGCTTCCATTGTTTTCTCGTTCTCTTTCCCCCCTGCCATCTATCACAAGCGCTTGACATGGATGTGACGCTTCCCCCTGACGTTCATATGTACTATCTTCTCGTCGATCTCAACATCCTTACCTTCCTGAAGTGGGTCTCACAGTGGGCGCTATCAACCTCCGAATCCTCCATGCTCCTTCCCGCCATCGCCTCGACGCCTGTCCCGCCCAAACGTCGTGCTCTCCTTATCGGTATCGTCGGACAAGGAGAGGGTACTTTGAAGGGTCCCCACGAAGACGTCAAGAAAATGAGTGTTTTCCTTCAAGGTGACCGCCTTTCAGAATGACGATAACACTTCTGATACAACGATCCTTATTTCTCCTAGAAAAATATCAATATTCTCCTGAAAATGTCACATGCCTCCTCGATGCTCCGGATTACGAACAACCTACAAGAGAGAACATCGTACGAATACCCTACTCTATAGATTAGAGTATTGGCCTTATTCTGATGTTCGCCTTGTGCAGCTCAAACACGTCGCTTTGCTAGTTGCAGATGCGAAGCCCCAGGACCATTTCTTCTTCCATTGTTCGCTTCACCCTCTGCCGAAGTGCTCACGAGCTCACATCCCGAAATCCGACTGATAGATTCAGGGCATTCCGATCAGGAAGCAACTCCAGATACACGCGAAGAAGACGGAATGAATGAGTGTGCGCTTCTCCTCATCGTTCGTCTGAATCAGCTCGATGGTTTTTCACGCCGGCGACTTTTTCCACAGTCCTGGACATCTCAGAAAACGAGAGAATTCTCGACGATGTGAGTCCACGGCGGATCGATTTTAGCGTCGAGATATTGGCACTCATGCGCGGCGCCCCCAGGAGCTCCGGGAACTGATGGTGGAGAAATTGCCTCATGGAACTTCCCTAACGGTGCGCCATACCTCGATTTGTTGTTCCTCCGTTCCTTGGGCTCAGTGTCTGTAGGCCGTATTCGATTCTTGTCATTCCGGTACCCTTTTAGACCTGCCGCATTACCACTGCAACGCAGTATACCTACCGTTCGTGAACAAAGGCGTCAGAGGCACTAAAGATAATTGGCGCCTCCTCAGTAAGCCGCTCTGTTTCTCGTCAGGCTTTTCGAGCACTCACGTCAAGATAGATCGAGAGAACGCTGCCCTCTACCCAAATACATCAAATACGCCTTCCCCGCGCACTCCGCGTTCGCCGAGACTGGGTTTAAGGCGATTCAGCATCCTCAATGACGCTCGAGCGAACCGAACCGCACAGCAACAACGTCACCCACAGGTTCTGCCTGAGGCCCAAGCCGAAAATCCGGCTCCAGCAGCCGTGGCGCCGACTCGGTCACTCTCTATTGATACGGCAATCGATTCAGCACATAGGCTTCAAGTGTGCCAGAGCGCCATGATGTATGAATCTCCAGATCAAACTTTCCAGTGCAACGGGTTCGATTGTAGTGCAAAGACACCCACTTACCCACCTATAGCAAATGTGGTACGCGGTTCCTTGTCGTTTTATTCGACTTTATCGGCCGTTGACACCGTAGTGCTGAACGTTAGATCTCCATCTCCTCCTCCATGGATGCTCAGCTGACTTACGAAGAAAAAGACGGGAATTCGATGACAAATGTGCGCCTCGTGCTTCCTGTTTTCTCTTCATTTTGATGTTCACAAAGACGATTAAAGGCACTAATCGGATTCTTATGTGGGTCTCAATCACGATGTCAGAACTATCTTCGACCTCAATTTCTTCGGCAGCGGAGAATCCACACCCTAAATTGACAGATCTCCTCTCCAACCTCTCGTCAGCATTCTAGACTCCTGGGCGCCTAAAATCGTGACTGATATATTCCGTAGATACATACTGCACGCGCGCGCCATCGAGCTACATGCGGCCGCGGCAGATTTTCGCTCCAAAATGAGAGCGTATAACGAGAAACGCGTCAAGAAGGGCAAACAGCCTATCCACCTCGATTCAATGCCCCCTCCGGAGATGATCAACTTTCAGATTCCCCAGGTAGGCCCCGCATAACATTTCTATTAGGTATAACGACCTAATACGTTCTCGCTGCCTAGCTCTCAAGTGAACGGCCTCTAGTACGTATTGTCAAATTTTAGAGATACCCGACCATCTGGCTTCACAGCACTTGACAGCCCCACGACCAGCTTTGGGATCCTTGAAATAGAGTACAAGGGGCTACGATCTTCTTCAGCCAACTGCGTATCGCCTTTATCCTTGAAAGTATTCCCGCCGCACAATTCCAGTCGAATGGTCTGCGTAGCCACATTTTATAGCTCCGGGTGCCCTTCCGGGGAGGTCCTAGGTCGGAATGTATCTCGATTCTCATCTTCCTTCCTTCCTTCCTTCCAACTGACATGCGCAGTCGTACTGGGATTGCTTGTTTCTGTGACCTGCATTCTAATCATTCCAGTGAATTGGAAAGCTTTCAATAATTCTATTGCTTTTGCCCGTTGCCCCGTCATATTTTGGTCTCCAGGCATTAACCCAACTACGGCCGGGGTTTGATGCCGTTTTAAGTAACCTCACGTGTGAAGCTTTGAATCTACTTATGTCTGATGAACATCAACACAAAGTTCGCCATGAGGCCAACATGAGGTCCGCCCCGACCTTACCACCCCCTGCCGATCCGAGTATCCTCGAGGACACCGTACGGGCAATTCTGTTTTTGGAAATTTCCCCAGATTGGTTGTACGAATATATCACCCCCTCGCCGTATAGCCTTGCAACCGGACCATGCATTTAAAACAAGGGCCTTTTCGTTCAGTCCTCGTCCGAGTCACCTTCTTGGCTGCTGCGGTCTTCAGGTATTTACTACACCTCCCCTGTCAAGAACGAAGAGAAGCTCAAGCCTTCAAGCTCTACCTCCGTGCCGCCTCCAGCTCGTTAAGGTTTTCCCTCTTCTTCAAGCATGTCCCCTACCGCCCTCTCGACCTCACCATCTAGAATCCTCGAACTTGGCGTACGAACATCTGTAAGTAGCCGCCATCCTCCTCACTCCCATAGTGACTGATATAGCCAACTTTTTGATTAGTCCTCTCTCCTACGCGCCATCACCGCGCCACACTGGCGGTCGCCTCGCCGCAAGTACGCGCTCATTATCGGAGTCTGTTATACTGGGAAGGACGGGTGGGAGCTTACCGGCCCAAAGCATGATGCGGAGCAAGTGAAGAAGCTGTTGCTCAGTAAGTCTTGTCGTCCTCGACGTTATCCCCTTCATAACCAGACGACGTTCAGATGATTTTGGCTTTCGTGAAGAAGATATTATTCTCCTCTCCGAATGTGGCTCCTTACCCGCACATTCCCAACCTACCCAAGAAAATGTGGTACGTCTCCTTTGTAGAATCTGGCCTGGATGGACTCGAACGAACTCGCCAGGAACGAGAGGTCGAGCTCTTTATCAAGGATTCGGAAGACGTCGACTATTTCTTGATGTGTGGGTCCTTCGCTCCTCGTACTTGATCAGATATTTACGCTCTAGTTAGACGCTGGTCATTCGGCTCAGCGTGACGAGCTCGAGAAGCCCGGCATCGAGGAGGATGGGAAGGAGGAATGTACGTCGCTTGTCTATTCTGTATCTTTCGATGTCGTTTATCGGTTGTTCCTTCCTTCGCAGATATCATTCCATGCGACGCCGTCGTTGGAGGAAGCAATATGCCCATTCAGGACAAGATCGTCTCCGATAAAGTATGTGGCTGATGCACCCCTTGCCCAGATATTAGCTGACAAGATTGTTGAAGTTTCTCAACAGGACGCTTGTCGCTAAGCTGAAGAAGGGATGTCAGCTCTTCGTATGTTAATTTTCTGAAGGGATCTGTCTTCCTGTTCATCAATGAATTAATCATTCTTTAGGCAATCTTCGACTGCTGTCATTCGGGAACGATGCTCAGTGTGTACGATCATCTTCTATCATTTCATATTCTCAATCGTGTTGGGGTTCGCAGACCTTCCGCATCAACGCTGTAATCGTGTCGGAGACCTTCAGAGCAAGAGTGAGCTCTATCATTTCATTATTTTTTCAAGACGTTCAACTCCACCATTGCCATGCTTTCGTAGTTCCGCTCGTCAATGTTCGCCTTTCAACCTTGTGTCCATTTCAATAGCTGATCGGAATTTCTCTCTAGTTGTTATCAAGCCTATGTTAGATTTCTTCTACCCAGGATCGGGTGTCCATCCGTATCCGACGAGGAAGAAGAGCTGCAAAGGGTTCTGCCCGCACATCCCCCTCATGACCGGCGATCCTCTCGTGGTTCGTACCTTTTTTCCCTTCGTAATTGATCGTTGACAATCCTCGTAGATCTGCATATCTGCGTGCAAGGATCATCAAGAAACTATCGAGATGAAGGGCCGGGGCGTCATGACTCAGGTACGGTATTTTAATCAGCGCGCCTTTTGAGCCTGCCCTGATATCCTCTTAGGCTATCATTCAACTGCTGAAGCAGCACCCGGGTCAGCTACCAACGTTTGAGACGCTCATGATCACGGTCAAGTGAGTATTTTTGGCCTAGACCATGTTTATTTCATGCTAACCTCTTCTCATTTTCAGGGCCGCCGTTAAGAAGGCAAGGCAGGAGATGCGGTCCGAGGTCAAGGAGAAAATACGAGAGAACTACCCGACATCTCTCGACCGTGTCAGGCTCCCGCAAAACTACAAGGACGGCAAGAGAATGTACCGATCCAACTGGAATCCTCAGGTCTGCCTTTCTTGTCTTGCTGCCCCTGCCACGGTACTAATTTGCTCCTCAAATGCATCGTGCAGTTGTCGAGTAATGTTCCTTTGGTGAGTTATGGTCGTCGCCGTTGCCTACCTTGCGCATGTTTACTCTTTCTCCTAGAACATGAAGTCAGGCCTCAGAATCTGCGACCGCTGAGCGCGTCGCTGCGATACCTTCATCGATGCCTGGCAAGTTGCCAGAAGATATTTCTGCTCATCGCTATCTCATCGCTATCTCATCGCTATCTGCTGTTTAATACCCTTATTCTTCTCTATTCCCTTGTCTCCCAAGCTCATTTAACACCTTTTCACTCTTCAAGCCTTCGACCCATTTCTTCCTCGTTTTCGCTGCCTTGATCATCACCAATCCTCTGCATATCCATACGCCGGCTTCTCACCATCATCATCCATCCGTGTAGCACTGTCTCATCACAAGTCTATCATCGCCACCGTAGTCCTTGCTTACTTTCCTCGAATTATACTGTGTATTTGTACCATAAAAATAACTACAGCTTCCATCCGCCTGCGAGGCCCATGATGTTGGTGGGATCAACCTCGGCTTTCAAAGCCTGGAGAGCTGGTAAATTGGCTCCGTAAATATCAGACAAAGGAGTGTCGTAGATGGCGTAGTTGGGATACAGGGGTGCGCCGAGGAGAGAGGACTGGCCTTCGGCCATGGCGGCGTTCATGACCTGCTGTGCACTCTTCCTTGCAGCATCGTGGAAGAACTCGTCGTGGAAGGGGGACAGCCACGCGTAGTAGATATTGAAAGGAAGCAGTCCGAGCGAACGAACGGGAGGGAAGGCGGTGGGTTCGAGGTTGTGCGAGTAGATACTGGGAAGGAAGGGCTCGACATCGTATGATATGAATGTGCCCGTGCCGAAGAGACTCAGACGCGTGCCCCAGAACTGGACGAAATGCAGAGGTTAAAAATGTTTTCATGGAACTCGTAGGGAGATTAACTTACAATTGTCTCGTTCAGCACTACATCCAACATGTTAGGTGTGTAGTCGAGAACGGAGGCCGTGTTGAAGACGCCACTATCCCCGCAGCCTGACGTCAGATCACCGCCCAGAGGAAATGGAGACGTACCGCTGGTGATAGGTAATATTCGCCGGCGACGCTAGCACGAGCGACGAGAAGCTCCTCGTTTTGACGTTCTTTGTGAGGTGAGGAATGGCGAGGAAATCGTCGAAGATACCAGGCGGAGGGGTTGGCGCATCGTAGAAGAGGAGTTGAGAGATTCCAGGCTGGATTTCAAGACAAAAGGAAGTCAATTGTAACGTCTTTGACAGATGGAATGGAGAACATGAGAAACCACATACCTGTCCGAGGAGGAAGTTGTATGTCGTGATGATGCTGGCCTTGGGATCTTTCACATTCGCTGAAAAAGCAGCTGTAGCGGCGGCGACTTGAGGGATAAATGGGGCCGTAATTGTAATTAGGCCTCCCTTCAGTGGAATGGGCATGTGGTGCGGACGATTCGAAACAGACAACTCACCCAGACTTGGGTTTGAGGGAAGGTCTTGAGGGTAAATTTAGTCACAATACCCTGACGACAAAATTCGTTAAAACGGGACGTCTACAGCGGATGAACGGACGCCGGCTAACAAAGTTATTAAAACCTCCCTAAGAATAGATGCTATGAGACGGCGCAAATTAGACTATTGGTCGGAACAAAACATACCTTCAGGCCCTTGAACAGTGCAGGATCTGAGGCCTGGGTAACAGTGACCACCTTGCTATTCGGCTTTACGAGCTCAAAGGCGGTGACCGTGTCGATTGTCAGGCCGTACTGGTTTGACTTCCAAGAGTATCCTTATCAAATAAAAGCACGATGTCTTCCATCAGCCACTCTTTTGTCCGGTCGGGGCATGTGGAAATGGCGCACCTCCACCTAAAATGAAGCCTCCCACTCCCACTCCCGTTACACGCCCTCCGACCACGTTGACGTTGTAGGGCTCGAGAGCGGCGTAGACATCGTCCCATACGAGTCCTGCTCCAATCTCGGCGGTCTGAGAAGCCTCGTCGTACTTCACTCCAGAGAACCGGTACATGGAAATATGGACTCCGGTCGTCGAAGAAAATCCTGGATTGGATGCATGTCCCCCTCCTTTAACCTAAGAAGGGAGGCGCGCAGAAATAGGTAGCCATCTCGAAGGAGAATTAGAAGGCACTTACGGCAAAAGGTGTGCGAGTTTTTCCTAAAATACCAAGCTTTAGAGTGGATCAATATATCGACACGTTCGGGTATGCATTGATGGGCTTGACTTACGATAATCCCAATATCAGCTGCAGTGCCAGGTTCCACGACACACTTGGACAATTGGGAACTTGATGAGGCCCAGTGTGATATTCCTTTCACATAGAGCCGATGGCCTGTGGCATTCGCTTGTTAACTAGGTGTGTATACCGAAGGTCAGCAATACTCTTACCAGGGTAGTAGACGTCGCTAGCAGGTGAAATCGCCTTCCCAATCTGACGACAAACGGGGTCATGGAAAAGCGACAAATCACGTTGCTCGAGCGATGGCGTCCCAACGACATAAAGCGGGAAGGAGGCGAGCGCCAATGCGGCGCATAGCGATTTATACAGCATCGGGAGCCGAGGCTGAGATGTGGCGGCGAAACTCGCAAGGATAAGGAAGTGCTCCTGGGGGTGTTTGTCGCCGCCATTGGGGTTTTATATGTTTTCTAACACATGACACGTCAAGGCGGCCAATATGAAAACTTCGAATTCGCTTCGCTTCGAGAGAGTCTAACCCAGAAGGAATAAACACAGGTCCTGGGCGCCTGTATTCTCACGGAGGCCTCAAGCCTCGGGACACGGACACCGCACTCTGGAAGTCGAAGGGTGAAATGAGACAACGAATCGATAACCCGGAGGCTGCGTCTGCATCGGAGAGTGAAACGGAAGAAAAGACCCGTAGATGTGACGACATACCCTAACATTGTATCCACATGAAACTTATTCGCTGCCTTCCTCGGACAGCACGCCAAAGTCCAGGACCGGTGCATTTGACAGACGAATGTATGGCTTGAATCTTGGCTTTCGTGAGCAGATTTGTCGTCACGGCCGCCTGTGAAGACAACGTGGCCCGAGAGCTGTCGTTTCAACTTACTTTTAGTGTGTTTAGGTGTCAAGAGGGAAAAAAGACTTGCGCTGTTGGAGATTAAGCATCTCCTCTCACGCTGTCGCGTGCACCGTAAATCATTTGCGACGATCACGACATTCAGAGAATGAGATTTGACGTACTCCACTTCTTGTAGAATCAGAAGGTAGAGTGTGTCCAAAGGTTGCAGTGGTTGCAATAGCTTGATGCCAGTCGGGGAGAAGGGGGCCCAGTTCAAGGCCGAGGTCTTCGAAGCCCCAAAAAACAAACGAGATTAGCCGATGTAAATGAAGGAAGCCAAAAGTCAATTAAAAATAAAACCACCGCTCAAGCTCGCAGCCAGTTGCCAATTCCTGGTTTGTGAGAATTCCTGCGAAGTTCTCGCCTTCGACGTCATTTCGACACCCAATCCATGCGTCCGGGTCTCACGTATGACATCCGACAACGGACAATGAAGAAAAATGGGACAGCAGAATGCTGTCCACCTCGACAGGACAAATGCTTTTCCTCTTCGGAAGACAAAAGGACGTGAAAGGGCACTGTTGAGGAGTTCCGACACCGGTGTCGCAAAAGATTATCTCCGGCTCAGGTCGTCAGTGAAGAATATCCAAGCCAAAAAACTTACTTTATCTACCGGATAGACGCTAAGAGAATTGCTGAGCCCAAACTCAGGGGCCGCCTTCTGAGATTTCCTACGGCTGCTGGTTGACTTCGATTCAGCACTTTGCGACCGAGAACTTCTTGCCGAAAACTAGAAGACGAGGGCTTATAAACAATGAAAAGCCGAGCATATTCAGGTAAATGGCCAGACACACCAGTCGATAAAACCGGGAGGTATACAGGCATGTCGGATAGTGTTCTGAAATTTTAACACAGTTGAAGATGGCGGACGGAAGGTGGCGGACGGAAGGATGAACAGCCCAAAACAGGCAATTATTATGTAAGCACTTATGTTTGTTCTCGTGGAACAAACACCAGCAACTTTGCCGATGACCAGCTCAAACTTATGCAGAGGACTCCCTCGTGTAAGCCACCTTCATGTGTACAGTCTACATATTTTTGCTACAAAATGGCGACAGGACAATCAGCTCCTTCCTCTCCTTCTCGACCGGCGCTGCAAATCTTGATTTCCTCCCCCACGCGAAGAAATGCCTTCTCTCTCCGTCGCGAAAGCCGGCAATGCCGCCTTCACCCCCTCGTATGTTCCAGTAATGGTCATAACGGGCGCTACTTCCGGAATCGGGCAAGCAATAGCCCAGCTCTTCGCGAATAATCAGCACGGGCGGGCACACATCGTCTTGGTTGGGCGCAATCGCGCTGCCGCCGAAAAAATTATCGCCTCTCTTCCAACCACCTCTTCGCCAGCCGAGGACACACCTGAACAAGACCAGCTGCCGACGACGGAAACCCCTAAACCCCAACCTTCATACGAATTCATGTCCTGCGACATGTCCCTCATGAAGAACGTCCACGATCTCGCTCGCGACCTCTCCACCCGTCTGCCGCACATCAACTTCCTCGTCCACTCAGCTGGAGTCTTTGGCTTCGGCGGACGCCAGGAGACTCCGGAAGGGATAGACGTCAAGCTCGCCTCGCGATACTATGCTCGGTGTGCCTTGACCAACGACCTGCTTCCGTTGCTGAAGAAGGCGAAGGACGAACGCCAGCCAGCGAGCGTGCTGTCTATCCTCGGGGCAGGTGAAGGTCCGGAGAAGATCGACCTCGGTGATCTGGGATTGAAGAAAAACTACTCTGGGGCGAAGGCGATGATGCAAAGTGTGGCGTACAATGATCTTATGGTCGCGGTGAGTGATGCTACCTCTGATTTAATTCATTTATGTAACTTACCTGGTATTAGGAGCTTGCCAAACGCGAGCCATCGATTGCGTTTACACACATGTACCCCGGTTTCGTCGACACTGGGATGTTCTCCTTCTCCAACCCTATCCTCAAGTTCATCGTATTCCTCTTCCGGCCGGTCCTCCGCCTCATGTTGACGACTCCGCAAGACTGCGCTGAATACGTTCTTCATGCTCTCCTCGATGCCGATAAGGGGATGTATCGTCGGAATAGCTCCGGAGACGACATCGGCACGGCGAAATTTCCGCAGGCCGACGGTGTCGAGAAAGAAGAGGCTCAGGCGATTGTGGGAGCATTCTCTCGAAGTTACGACGGTCTCGTAACTGTGCAGTTGATCCAGCTGTCTTCCTTTTTTGTACCATATAGCGAATGAAGCTTTCTGCTCTTCGAAACATCGCCTCAGCTCTTGAAACTTCTCTCTTAATCTTGGCCATTTATTGGTTAGACGTTGGCCCCTGGCTCATTGTCCATAACCTCGACGAGGAAACGACTTGAAATGTCGACGGAAGTGGCTATCAGGGATTCTTTCGTCACGGCCCGACCCATTGCAACTCGGAGAATGATGAGTTGCGGTGAAAGTCCCTAGTTCCAACGTCAACGGGGTCCGTGGCAAAAGACTCAATACTAACCACGATGACCCCCCACACATCAGCAAAAGCCGTTGCAGTTGGGCTTTTGACGCCGTACAACACCGCGAGGGCAACGCCGAACACGCTGAACGGCAATGCCGACTCTACCAGGATTGCGATTACCCCGAGGCGCTCTTTGGCGAGTGCATGGCCACCAATACGTCGGAGGACCATGTAAGAATACAGCAGACGACCGCAAATGAGGAGAGTAACGACGACGTTGAAGGATACCGTGAAGGACACCCAAAAGAGACCGAACGCTAGCGATTTTCCGTCGAAGAAGGTGGCTCCTGGGCGTACTCCTTCAATGATCGTTAAGATGGCGAAGGCTTCGTTCTCCTATCAGATGAAGGACTTGCAGATTTATCTCAGATACTCACCCGTCGACGTGATGAGCAAGGCCAGCGGAAGAGTGATAACCCACGCCATTTGCGAGAGTATCACGTAGCAGCGATAAATCTGTCAGCACCCGGTTAGCCGTCGAGCAAAAAAGAATGGCGAGTGGGTACACACCATGAGCAAATTACTCCATACATCTGCAGCCATGACCGCGACGATTCCAACGAGATTCCAAGGCGGACTCTTCCTAAGATACCCTCTCGGTCCTCCAGGGACGAAATATCGATGGTCAATCCACATGAGCATGCCCACCCTTAGTCGAGAAAGAGAAGCTGCCACAAGCAGGAGGAGCAATACAAAGCCGTATCCGATCAACAGTCTTCTCCTAGCTCTGGAATAGGCACCGCGGTTGAGAAAATAAGCCGAATATGCAAAGAGCCAGATGTCGATCCCTACCCATCAAACAACGCAAATCAGTGACGCCACCCCAGTGAGATCAAGAGGAGCATTTACCTACGAGGATATTAGAAGCGAAGTCCCCGTAATACGCGGATCTTTCTATAGGGTAGTCAGAGGGAGGAGACTGCCATGGGTTCGCGATCGCTGGTCTTGACATGGATTCGCTGGTCGGAAGCTAAGAATTACGACTTAGAATTCTGGTGCCGCCGTGGTTTTATAGCCTCTTTAATGAATAGACCAAGTTTCATGTGACGCGTTGGTATCGTGGTTCAAGACCTTGGCTGAGCCGCCAGCGTACATACATGGAATGCCATTGGTTGGCGTCTGTCATCACTTCCAATGAGATCGGACGTTTGGTGGTGTCTATTAACCGGAGCGCCTATCCAGGTTCGAAGCAGATGAAGACACATCCAGAGAGAATGACGCTGGCAGCGGTACTGTCGGAGGCTTAACACAGTCGAAGGAAGCTCCAGAACTAGTGGGTGACGAGAAGCGTCAACACCCGCGAAAGACGACGGAGAGAACAACCATACCGACAAGATCCTCATGTAGTTGACATTAAGAGACTCCAACGCCTAAACAGACACGGAGACGGGTGAAGGCTGTACTCGCTTTTGATAAACACAGAGCGCTGAATGAAACAGGTCCGAAAACACGCACCTCGTATGATCGCTCTTACGTGATATTGAAAGCGAGGGTTTGCTATGAAAACGACGCCTTCATTGATATCGAAAGACATTGTCAGATAATATGCCTTATGGGGGCGCGGATGGGCGTTGAAACGTTGACGAGTTGAATGCCACGACCGAGGAGTTGGATCCTCGGGGTAGCCATAGATGGGCGACAAGATATCGATGGCCCGTGTTTGGACTTTCGAAGCAGGAGGCTGCTATCTGAAGGAGAAACACGTCAGCAATTCGCTTCCTGAATGAAATAAATTTTCAGGGAGACGGTCAAGGGCAAGCAAGATCGAAAGTCAGGTTCAAGGCCTGACACAGCAGACAAAATTCGAGACGAGAAGGGTGAGAGGGTGATGAGAGATGAGTAAAAAGAATGGAATGCGTACCCAGCTCGTGCCATAACAGATATCCCCCTCTGGCAAGCTGTATGTTACTGCCGCCATCAGGAATCGAGCCCCATATAACAGCCCCTGGAGAACTTAACGAATTTCCTCTTGATGCTCGCTTTCGTGAGGGCTACGGGGCTTTTGGTCTCGCGTTGCGTTGTCGAGAGTTAACGGTAAGCCGATCCGGCTCTCTGTTGGTTAAGTCGCTGGGACGATTGTAAGGACCCGAGCTCGGGAAATGAGAAGAACGAGATTCAACTGACCCATCGACATGGACGGCATCGAGTATTCTATTCTCGCCCAGTCCTCAATAACAAGAGATAAATCATCTGCAAAATACCGCCTGGAGAATATCCCGTCGGAATCAGATAAGAAACAGAAACTTTCAACGTACCGATGGGTAAGGCATCATGCGGCCTGGTCAAAAGCCCAACAACCTCAGGCTTCGTTACGAGAGACTGACAAGTTGTCCCTACTCCGATTGAAGTCGAAACTGCCGGTAATTCATATATTCCCCATCGTGTACGTCAAGAGTAAGTAAAGAGGAGGAGATCTTCATGCGTGGTGCCATGGTAAGCGCTCTGAGGAAGAATGGGAGTTCGGGAGAAGAAAGCGGACGTGTTTGTTTCTACGTATTTGGCTCACAATCCTACTCTCTGTTCGAAACCACGACCATGCCCAAGCTACTTCATATACGAAACTCTGAAATCTACTCTCGAACTAAGGCAGCTGAAACTCTACAACCCCAGTCTCCCCAAGATCCCACAGCTTCACGAATCGGAGCCCAGCCGCAGCTCCCAAGCGAATGAAGTCGGGGAGACCCCTCTCCTCGCTGTTAAGCATCGTCATCATATTCAAGTCTAGATTATACTGACGGATTCTTCCAGCACCATAATTGGGTAGTAAGGGCGCCGGCGCTTGCTTGAACGCTGTCTGCTCGTCCGGAACGCGACACGCATCTTGGAGGATGTACTCGTCTATCTCGTATGTTAGGAATCGATCCAAACAGAGATTTCGAAGACGGCTCACGGAGGAGAATGCGGCTGTGGGGCTCCATGACCTTCCGAACGTTCGAGAGGATTTTAATGCAGTCGTCAGCGGGCCAGTCGTGACTATTGCTGGTGCGTCAAGTCATCGTCCTGTTCCGAAAATCAACTTACATGATATTCTTCAGCTGTAGAGAACGTGAATTTGTGCAATAAATGAGACGTTCTTTCTTCACTCACGAAGTAAACGTTGCATCCTGCGATCGGAGTTTCCTTGAAGAAATCAATCGACTTGAACACAATTCGTTTTTCTTGAATGGCTTCAGGACATTTCTCCGGCCAGACCTGGTTTTCTGCTCGCTTGATCGTCTCGGGCAAATCCTGGAGCTTCAGTTGCAGAGTCGGGTATGTCTTGGCGAGCTGGAGAGTTATGTTTCCAACGCCACCTCCGAGGTCACAGACAGTTGCTCCGTCCCCGAGCTCTTCCCAAGGGAATTCTAAGAACTCGTCTCTGCTCATCTTCCTTCATTTCCTCCAGATCATCGAAGCGTACCATGAACAACATCATGTCCTTGACAAGCAGTTCCCCAACCCATCATCCCTGTTCCGAAGCGAGCGCCTAGCTTTCTTCCTTCTGGCGTATTTTCCTGCAAGTCGGTTAGTGCATTGATATCCCGAACACATTGCAACTTACGATAAATGCGAACATAGTGCCATCTTGCTTCGACCACTTGTTGAACGCGGTCTGGGCTGCAGAGTACGAAGGGCCCCATTCCTTGTCACCGAGAACCTCCGCGAGGAAGCAAGTCGAGCGAATGCACTCTTCGGTGCTGTTCGTAATAAGCTCATCTGTGAGTCGTCCGATAGATGATCGAACGGAACTCACAAATGACCACCGAGGCTAGATATATGATTGTCCGAGAGCAGCTGGATGCTCAGGCGATTATTCGCAAACACGTTCTCGGAGACTGACAGTTGAAACGTTGAGATCATTCACATCATTATGCATCGGCGCTTGTCCTGACCTTCAGTAAAGACGTGCTTTGTTGCCAGTAGCCGAAGGATTCGCCCGATTTTCCGTTCTTCCAGGCCAGTCTTTTTTGCTATCTCGGATATGTGCATGCCGGCGGGCTTCTCTTCCAAGATGTCTGGAATCTTGAACGTCAAGACGATGCCAAGACAGGCCGGTTCGTAAAACTTTCGGTGGACAGCTTGTGAGCTTGTCGTAATTCCTTGAAGCTAGGCCACTCGATGACTTACGCCCATGAGTTTCTAGGTTCGTTGGTTTCGTCAACATGAATTATTCTGGAGTTTACGGAGAAGGCCTACATTGACAATCGTGTGGCTAGGCCTTGCTACGGTGGCCGACAGCTGTGCGCACGCCCCTTCGATAATCTGGATCGCATTTCGAAGCTCGCTATCTAGCTCTTGGTCGACTGGGTGCTCCGATGCATCTTCCAATGACGGAACGAGAGGCTTCGACGAGGCTGAAAAGTGCGCTTCGACTATCTTCGTCGCGTCGCTGATGAGAGCAGCGAGGGCGGATATCTGACCATGAACCGGGTTGCTGACCATTGTTGGTAGTCGATGGAACGATAGTGGGCGAAAGAAGAAAGGTAACTTGAGAACTGCGTTAGAGATTGACATCGGTTAAATACCTTGCCCACACAGCAGGTAGGAGAGGTCATATCGCGTCTTGGTGCAAGATCTCATCGTATCAGCTAGGGCGTATCAAGCAGGAATGAAACAGGTGCCTGCATATCCTCTGTGTGTGTGCATTTTATCACTGCGAACGGGTCATAATGAACGAAGGAGCCGAGCAGGGCTATTAGGGAGTTATCGAGCCCTTGGCTTTTACGGCACTTGTTCTATTCCGACTCGGTTGTGGGCGCGTACGTTCCTGATCACGAGTGCTTGTTCAGCGGCATGGCACCCGGAGTTGGTGTAGACTGTGGGTGAGGTCTTCCACAATCGGTGGCACACCTGACGTACTTCGGAGAGACTAGGTGATAACCGTGATACCTTCAGCGCGCCTAACCTAGGCTAGCCAAACGGGATGTCCAACGGTCGGCGGCATGCTTGCATGCTGATAGTGATCCTTCTCTCGCTAATTTGACCCTCCTGGCAGTTTCTTTAGGCAATCTTTATCCAGTAAGCTTGGGGGTGAACGATCTTCCATTTGTGGGAAATTCTCCAGAATCCTCTTGGCCCGGACGGGGAGGATAATTTTGCAACAACGCGCCCACTTGCCGCGGCCGCGTAACGATGTGTGGGCTTCCATCATTTCGTAGCGAACTTGATTGGAGTTGTACGTTAACGAATGCTTATATTATAGCTTGAACCGCGACGGATTCCAGGCTCGCCCTCTTTCCTCCCATGCCACAACGTTCGGAGGACGTCCTGGTGACAGGAGCTGCTCACCTGTAGGTTTCACAGTCGCCCTCTAGGATCTTACAAGCTAACACCGAGTATTTGCAGACTCGCGGGGAAATATTTCCAACTAGCAGCATTTGTAATGCTCGCCTACGATCACTGTACGTCCTCCTCTCGATCCCTCAGGGCACTATAACCTACGTATCTCACTATTATTGGTGTTGAAGTTCTAACTTTTCCACAGGAGGTTCGTCGTTCCATCTGGTGATGTTCCTTTCACTCTGAAGAGTAAAATTACAATGCTTGCAGGTCGAACGGATATGGGCCATGAGATTCTCCGGGGCAACGCTTCTCTTTCTTCTCAACCGCTACGTCACACCGTTGCAATTTATCATCATAATACACGGTAAAAAAAGTTATAAGAATCAGCTGTTGAAGGTCTGATTCCTCCGCGAAGCCTTTCAGGACCCGATATGGTCGAAGAAAGTGTAGGTATTGCCCACTCGGGTAGCATACCAAGCTAATACCCTCAAAGATGTGACAACTTTGTGGTGTTTGAAGGCGCCTCCACTGTAGCTATGGTTGCTGGTAAGCATACCTCACGTCTCTCACCGCTTATCATTGACCATTTTGTCAGTTTGCGAACGTGAGTCCACCCTCAATTATCAGCGGAGCCTTCGTGGAACTCAGATTCGTCGGCCGAAGTGATCATGATATTGCGGGTGTATGCCCTATACAATCGCTCCAACGTCGTCTTAACTTTCCTCCTTCTCCTTTGGATCGCACAAATATCAGTATCTGCTGTGGGACTTCGCACAGGATTTGGTGAGTCGTCGTTCAAAAATTAACGATGGTGTCTAAGCTTAAGCCGGCAATAGCTGTGGCCTTGCCTCCTGAACTGACCGGTGTGTTGCCTAACCCGAGACGAGAATCTACGTCCGACTCGACGCTAAGTACAAATGCATCAGGGTGCATTCTTACGGGTTCTAGTTCAATATTTCCACTGGTTTGGGTGTCTCCATTGGTGACGGACACCTGCATTTTTGCACTGACGCTGTGGCGCACGCGGAAGTATATCAGCCGCTCAGGGGCCGCGCCGTGAGTCCGACATCAAGCGCCCACGAGTCCGGCGCCCGGCTGACATAATTTCTGAACAGCACGCTTCATCTCTTTGTAAGAGACGGTGTGCTCTACTTTCTTGTAATATTCATGGCCAACCTCTTGAACACCCTTCTTTTCTTCGTAAGTCATGACTCGACCATTCAAACCCACGCTCTCAATAGCAATTTAGCTGGCTCCTGAAGGTCTTCGCGCGATTGGCGCTTCGTTCAGTCAACTAATTACAGCACTCATGGTCTCGAGGCTTGTTCTAAACCTTCGGTCGAACCCGTCATCTGAAGAAGATGAACATTCGGTTTCCTACAACGTGCGCTTCGGTGGTACTGGTAAAGATACGGTCTCGACGATATGGGCAAGAACACTCGGCGATCTCGGTGAAGATGTAGAGGATGTAAATAACTACACGGAAGAGCCACAGAGAGAAGAATATCCAATGAACAGGTTACAGTAGGCATTAGAGGATAAGTTACAATAAGAACCGTGCATTAGGTCAATTATGGACGGATGGTAAAGGAAGGCGAAATTCCACAAGGCCCAACTCCCCCATGTCCCATAACTTCTTAAATCTCAAACCAGCGCGTTCGCCCAAGCGGATGAAATCGCGTAATCTCCTCTCCTCACTGTTCAGCATCGTGAGCATGTCCAGATCGAGGTTATACTGTCTGATCCTTCCTACTCCGTAATTTGGCAGGAGGGGTTCCGGAGCTTGTTTCGAGACGGCCTGGCCATCGGGAACGCGATTCGCTTGTTGGAGGATGTACTCGTCTGGCGAGAGGTCAGGGTAAGAAGAAAAAGATACAGAGGGAAGAGAACTCACGAATGAGGACTCTGCTGTAGGGTTTCATTACCCTCCGGATGTTGGAGAGGATTGTGACACAATCATGGTCAGGCCAGTCGTGGCTAAGGACGAAGCAAGTTCAGATCAGTTCAGCGCCTTTAACGGCAAATAAAAACCATACATGATGTTTTTCAACTTGATGGCCAACGGTGGTAAGTTTGAGCCATGCTCGAAGGCGAGATGAAGACTCACATAGTAGACGCTGCATCCAGGAATTGGCGACTCCTTGAAGAAATCAATCGCTTTGAATTCTATACGTCCTTCCCGGATCGCCTCGGGACATCTTTCCGGCCACACCTGCGTTCTCGCCTGCTCCAGCGTCCGCCACAGATCCTGCAGCTTCAGTCGTAGGAAAGGGTACTCCTTCGCTAGCTCGAGAGCGATGTACCCTACCCCACCTCCAAGATCGCAGACGGTGGCGTCTTTTCCAAGCTCCTTCCAGGGATAATCTGGGAAGTTGGTTCTTAGTTGGCATCATCTTCGCGAGAGAGGAGAAAATCAAAGGTGCGCACCGTAGATAACGTTCTGCGCTTGAGACGCATCCGCCCATCCAATCATCCCAATTCCGAACCGCGTTGCCAAGTTCGTACCCTGCGGCGTTGCCTGAAATGCGTATATGAGCACCACGGCGGCACAAGGATTCGTGTATTGATTCACTTACAACAAACGCACCAAGTGAATCAGCGAAACTCGACCACTTGTTGAAGGCGGTTTCCCTTGGCGAATATGAATGGCCCCACGCGTCATCGCCGAGCACTTCGGCCAGGACAGTGGTCGGTGGATGGCAATCTTCAGCGCTGCAGGAGAATTGTATAGAGATGAGAAAAGAGGACGATCTTCAAAGAGAACGCACAAGTGAAGGCCCAAGCTCGAGAGAGGGTTCTCGGCGAGAAGTTGCAGACTGAGTCTATTGTTTGCAAACACATTCTCGGACACTAAGTTGAATCGTCAACACACATTCTCCAATGAATACTGTATCAAGACGTACCTTCTCTGAAAACATGTTTAGTCGCAAGCAGCCGCAATATCCTTCCGGTCTTTCGCTCCTCGAGGCCAGTTCGATCGGCGATCTCGGATATGTGCATACCGGCAGGCTCTTCTTGCAGCACGTCTGGAATCCCAAACTTCATAGCGATACCGAGGCACGTCGACTCGTACAGCTGAAAAAAAGGGCGGAGTATGAGCGTTGTTGAGGAAATATCTGGAAAGACAACGCGTACGCTCATGAGTTTCTGTAACACCAAAAATAGGTCAACACCGGTGCTTGCAGCAGACGAAGGAGCTCACATTGACGACGGTATGACTCGGCCTCGCCAGCGTTGCGCACAACTGAGCGCACGCTCCCTCGATAATCTGAACCGCCTCTCTCAACTCCGGATCCAACGAATGGTCGAGCGGATGCTCCTCTGTGTCATCGAGAGAGGGCACGTAAGGCTTCGCAGATCTCGCGTAATGCCCCTCGACAACCTTCGTCGCGTTGCTGATGAGTGCTCCGAGAGCAGCGATCTGGCCGTCGGTCTTAGGCATAGCGGATTCGCTGGGATGTCGTCGTCGGAGGAAGTATTGAGATCGAGGCTAATGATGAGGTAGGATGGATGAAAGGTCTCATTTATATCGCGGCCCCAACAACCCTTATGAATAGGAGTTTTTGTCTAGGATTCTTCCGTAGTTCCGATGGCCACAACACGTAACGCTGGTGAGTTGAGGACTCCTGCCACGAGCCCTTCCGCCGCCAGCGCGTCAGTCGATCAAGCGCCAGCGGCTTGGTGTGCTTGGACGCGTAACGCCGAAAACAGATTGCGATATGATGGATCAAGACGTCGGAGAAGGTGAAAAAATGGCGCAAACACCAACGCTCGCCACCACAGCGAGTTTACAGCCCGCCGGCAGTGAAGAGGTCCCTTCCTCTGCGTTGTTAAAAGTCGATTGCCGCATTAACCAAGCGCTAGCATCGAGAACAACGTCAGCTTGACCGAACGAAGACGGTCGATGAGGCCTGGGGTTTGGTCCACGTGTACCGAGGAAGAAACGATCTCCATGAGGGTTCAGATCTATCCATTATTCGGGCGTCAGCCTTCACTAAACGCAAATTCAAACTGACCTCAAAGTTTCTTGCCGAATGCCGCGAAGCACATAAGCCTATCCTGGGCGTATCAGACGAACGCGCCGAAGCCCCAATTCGAGATCGAACTTGACCTCCCTCTTCTTCAGGCCTCCAGATTACAATCTGACATAGAAACGTGGATAAATGGAACTCGGACTATCATTCACCTGTATAGTTTTAAAATCAAGAAAACAATGAGGGAACGTTTTGCTTCAAGAAGCGATAGTAGCTGAAGTTGCTCCTGGGCCCGAGACTTTCGCCATTTTGGAGTTTGGGCCATGTTACTCGCAACGATGCGGTTATTGGGGGAGGAAGGGAAGAGATGCAGCCTTGAACCCTGTCACTGCGATGAATGGTGGGTGCACGGACCATGCACGTGCCATTGACCAGAAAAGGAATGACGTACATAGATCTTATCCAAAAGCGGGAATACCGACTTCCGCATTGTGGCCCGGCGCTTATCCTCATCTACCGTTAGAATTGGTCTAGTGCTTTCTCCAAACATATAGCTACATCTAAAAGCACCAGAATATACTAAATATACCTAGGAAACAATCACGTAACCTTGAGGCTGACGAGCAACTTGCCGTAACCCCTCCTGCAGCGAATCTTCCAAGTTCTGAGGAAGATTGGGTGTCTTCCTACACTGACCGACAAGCATCCTCTTCTACACATTTGCCTACAGTAATACATTCTGTTGGCACCGTCTCACAATTCTGAGAACCTCATCAACAAATCAACAGCATGGTTTGATTATGCATCTCCCGTGCGAGGACACCCTTGGAGGGGAGAAGATAAGATCGACCTTCTGGGGAGAGCATACACTTACATATTTTGCCCAAATTTGACCGTTGAGAGGCTTCTCGCCCGCTCGGAGATGTATCGTATGCTTTGGCGCTATGACTCATTACAATCTGCACGGGCGCAGTCGAATCGGAGACCCGTATCTCTGCATGCGACAGTTGCCCTTCTTCTCTCCATTATGACATAATCTGCAGGTGCAGGAATGATTGCTGGCTCAGACACATCGGAACAATTCTTGAAAGCTCGCACCAAGCCATTAGGCGCCAGAACCGTTGGCGCTTCCACCGCCCATCGAACAACCAAACCCGAAGCCTGGCCTCCGAGGGCAGAGAGCACATGTTTCTGATTCCTGCACCTGGTAAAGATCGCCATGAAGATCTGTGACAGATCGGTAAATTCTTTCTTGATCGAAGCCTCGCATTTGACCGCACCGGTTTCGTACCGTGCCACACCCCCATTCTTCAGACTTTGACTATACTCTTGGATGATATATAATCTTTTTACCCCAGTATGATCTTTCATATAAAAAGCTTCCCCAGGGTGAACTAACCTCTTGCCCCTCTTCATCATGCGCCACGACTCACGAGTGGTCGATGTCTTCAGACCCGACTTCCTCTCGTCCTGACTATCCACTAGAACGCGCAGCATATTATGGACAGTTTCTTGGCGGCATCCTCGTTGGTACGTCCTCCTTTTAGGGTCGAATGTCCCCTGCCCCCACCCAATCTTCCAGCACCTTCATCTCACCTGGTGTGCTTAGGAATCCACATATGGGTGTTTATTCAATCTACCACCTTTCTCTCCAAGGGCACATATTCTAGAGCGTGATGCTGTGCCTTAACATGCTACAGCCTTGCTCTCGTTCTGCTGCTTATAGTGGAATGGATTGCACAAGGCTGGATGGGGACGCTCATGTGGATAGACCATCGCAAAACTTTCCCCGGCGGCGCAAGCACTTATCTGAGAACACGGTCTGCGTCCAAATTAATGGGTTTGGCTTCGGTCATGACGGCAGACCTGATGAGCAACCTGCTTATGGTGTGTGCTTTATCTCTCCCTACCTGTTATTGTCATAACTTAAGAGTTTTTACACATTGTATGCGGAAGCTTTATCGATGCTTCTTCATTCTTTCGTCCAGAATATGGGTGGTCACGTTCCCGTCTATCCTCCTCATCACAGCCACTAGTAAGTAGGCTCTACCAAGCTGATGAGATTACTTTTTAACCGATGCAGTTCAGTTCTTGGGATCTTTACAGTAGTGGAAGGCCTTCGTCCTCATACAACATTCTTCATGGGCAAATCACTTACGTATGGGGTATATTGGGTGTCCCTCACCGTCTCCTTCAATGTCCTCATCACACTCCTTATTTGTGGCCGCCTTTTATCTTCCTACCTCAACCTCCACCGGATTGGTGGGAACGCCCTCACATGCGAGCGTCTCGGAGTAATTGCCATTCTTGTGGAATCCACGTTTTCCTTCAGTGCGTGCGGAGTCGTTATGGCCGTTCTCTACGGTATTGGTAACCTGGCTGCAATAGGTTCTGCTGAAGTGTGGGGTGTTATCGTGCATAGCGCGCAACTAGCTTGACGGCTCCCCGCTGATCATTGTTGCAGGCACTCTCTCCCCAGTTGATCATTCTCCGAGTGGCCATGGGTTGGGCAGTAACTTCGGAGACTCTTTTGGCTGTTCTGCTTCAATTTTCAAGTAAATCCAGAGACACCATGGATTGCAATCTACAGAATCGTGAGGTATGATCGTTTGATAGTAGAGTTAGGACTTTGTGTTAGGAGAGGCAACATGACTGTTATGTCATGTCACACATTGCCTCTCTCTCTCGACCACGCCCTCGCTGCCGCCAGCGGACTCGAGGCTTGCTCAATGCGTGCTGTACACCAGCCGCATTTTATTTTCATGATAAGTCTACATCTTCCAGTCAACGTAATCCTCTTTCCATGCCTTCTATCCCCGTCAACCGTCCATACTGTCAACATCCAACATGGGACCTCAACATAAGTCAGATGGGTTTTTTCTGCACAAAGTGACTGGGATTCGGGGACAAGATAAGTACTACTATGCCACATTATCAGCTTACAACACCTTTAAACCCTAGTTTTGTTGCACCCAGCCTGAGAGGCCGCACCGCGTAAGCCCAGTTCGCGGTTGAACATCGTTCCCACTCTGGCCATCCACCAAACGCCATCATACTTGCATGACGGCTGTTCCTGCAGCACGAGAGAACTGAGAGACATGTCCACATCGACCATCTTGCTGCTCTGTGACCTACAAGGGACGCGCTGAACTGTCGACGCTCAGCAGGCATCCAACACCGCCAACACACTCCACACACCCCATCCTGCTATGTGACCACGTCGAGAGACTGGTAAGGCTATGCGAGCTCTCCTGCATGTGTTGTTTCATGACCATTATGGACCTTGTATGCCGCACCACTGGCTATGAAACCATGTCAAGAGACCGGTAGTGGCCAGCGAGCTCTCCAGGACATGTCGTACATGGCCGTTCTGGACCTCGTGCACTCCATGACGCACCCTCACGTTCAACCTGCCATGAGACCGTGTCGAAAGACCGGTAGTGCTACATGAGCTCTCCTTGACGTGTCGATCATGGCCGTTCTGGATCTCGTATGCCGTACCCGCTCCGCATCTGCTACGAGACCGAGTCGAAAGACCGGTAGCAAGCCATCTGCGTCGTCATGACCGTTTCGGACGTCTGCAACGCATACAGCCCACATGCCACGAGACTGCATCCATGACCAGTTGCTTCGCACCACCACTACGAACCCGCGTCGACAGACCACCGGCATCGCACACCCCAAATGTGTCATCCCGTCCGTCTCAGAACCCCACACCCACAAATGCACACAGCGCACATGCCATGAGACTAGGTACATGACCAGCCGCCTTCGCGGGAGGCACCTCAGTGCCCTTCCGTATGTACACACACTGCCTGATACCTGCCCATGTCGAAAGACTGGTCGCTCACCACTGGGAACCCTACCCTTCGAGCCCTCTGAGGTCCTGATACACCCATCACAGACCTCCTACGTTACATACCACATCCTGGACCCTCTACACAATGTACATGCTGTGATACACACCCCTACGTACTCCATGTCCCATGCAACCTAATACACCTAACACAACCCCACGACGAGCTGCGTCATGACTACTTAGAACAGGAATCACGCCCCGGGGTCTGTGTGATCCAATGCCCAATGATGAGTCGTCGAAAGACCTCTCAGTAGCTGTAAGCTTCCTCAAAACACATTGTTGAACAACGATCATCCTGATCGTTACATTTTATGTGCTGTTCAAAGGCCACCTCCATCTCCGTAGGTGTAGATTCACGAGGAACACAACTTCCAACGAGCGACTTTGTTTCATTTATCATTGATGATCTATCATTCTCCATCAGCCTTGTAGATTATTTCTATGGCCTAGCACACATACAGCACCCCAAGTGCTAATTACATTTTATACATGTGGATGCACCACATCCCAGTCTAATTCCGCGACATAGTCGCCTTCGTGTCTTGCAGGGGCGCTTCGCATACCCCGGCAGATCCGACCTTGCTGCTACACTAGGTTGAAACACAATATAAGTAGATCATTATTCATGTGCTGGATTGATTTTCGACTCGGGCCATACTCACAAATGGGCCTACAGGAGGGTTCCGATCCGAGGATGGATAACACCAGCGCTACCATCCAACAGAACTAGCACCTACACCGTAGTCCGCCACATCAGTATGGATATGACTGATTTGCCGTGGACCCCACATATTCCCAGAAACTCACCTATCTCTCTGACTATGTCGAGCACGCCTGGGATTGCCCACTTGTGCTCCCTCTCAGGGCTCAGTGCCATTCAGCACCCACCGGGGAACATATTTAGAAGTCCAGCGGCGACAGTACTCGCACGTGCGGCACAGCCTGACTGGCCTTACAATTTACTATGGCCCAACATTCTACATTATGCATGAAAGGGATCTATGAACCTCATCGGCAATGAACCCCATTCCGATCTAGAGCCTGAGGACACACTACTAGTAGCTATTCCGAGCTACACCTTCACGCATTTTCTACCACATGACATCCCCTGACGCGAGTGGCCAAGGACACTCGAACATTCGCTGACCCGGGCTATAACATGTTCTCTCATCACGTTCAACCTGTTACAGAAATACTTACACCACGCTCTACTGATGCGACAATTCTTCTTGACCAAAAATTTTCTGTACAACCCTTGCCATCTTTCCTTGGACACTGTGTCTGGCTCTCTACAAAACTCACTAGAATCTTTTCCTTCGCATCAACATGACCCCCAATCACCCCGAAAACCATTGCGGGTATATCATTTTGGCCTGTGACACATGGCCCGGTGATATTTAACTTCGAATCAACAACCTACCGGGGTCTAGAAGTCCACCGCGCTAAGGCAATCACACAGGCGCCAGTGCCATTTTATAGACGCCCATCACATCAACATTCCCACTGCATGATCAGTACGAGCCATGCCTTTCGACGATCAAACCGACAATGTTCACAAGCTCACAGCTGGCTACCTGCGATGCGACAGTCTCCCGAGCTTCATCACGGTCATCAATATTCACATTGTGTCCCTTCATTGGGAATAACACTTACTACAGTGCACCTGACACTACTCCACGGCTAATTACTGGCTGGACAATCCTCCGCCACTCCGATGCGATCTCCACAACATCAGGCACACTCATCTCTCGATATTGGGACCTCAGCGGCTCTGTCTCCTATTCTCTCCATGACACATCACTCGAGGACCATCCACAATTTCCCACCAGTGCATCCTTCGACACGGGATAATTTTGTTCAAGTCATATCACTATTCACAACCTAGGTTGAAGTTTCTGTTTCACATCTCTCAAGATTCTGCTTTCAAATTAAAACTCCTGAGTCTACCTTCATTCAAAAGGTAGCCATTTGACAATGTTAACTTAGAATTTCAGCGTCGTTTCCGGCACCAGAACAATCATAGCATCCTGGGCTTGGACCAAACAAGAAAATTATATTTGTGAGTTCTAACTTCCTAACAATTTTTTACCTGCACTGGGCATTCCCCCCCTTTACTTTCACTTCCTTCAATCTCCGCTGTCCCCCTTTGGTCCCCCTCCTACTCTTTAGGGTATCCTCGCGAGCTCGACGCGTCGTGGGACTCCTACTCGTCGGGTATCGCAGCCCGCTTCGGATTTCTTGCATGATTCCGGATCCGTGGCTTGGGCAGATCTGAGCGTGGCCCTTCGCTGCGCTCAGTTGCCCGTAAACGCTTCGCTCGCTCTTTGCTCGGATGCTCCGCATCGACCACATGGTTTTCATTTTATTATAACTAACACATTGTAGTATTGTACACTTTGATCTCTGCAGAGATCATCATTGGGATATGTCCCGTTGGTGACCGAGAGACAAAGTTGACATTTACTTTAGTTCTAGCGAAGTGGACTCCTCTGTTATAGAGATCAGCTGAAACATTATGTAAGTTCTCCAGCCAGAAGCCCACACACCAATTATTCGTGAGGAGAATTTCACGCGAGCAATCAAATCGCATTTAAAGTAGGAACTTCTAAGTAGTGCTTATCTTATCTTATCGCATTTTCTCGTAATCGTTGCCATGGCTTCAAACTTTGAACCCAAACGCCCACTGATGCTTGCGCCTCTCCTCTATCGTAGTGGATTACGCCTGGATGAATCCTGGCGAAACTCCACTAAATTGAACCTCTCTCTTCTCTTCATTTACTCCAGTGAAAGGATTCGAGCAAAATCGGGTGTTTCGCGTCTCATCTGCACAACGTGAATACCACAGCACCATGCTATCGAAGTAGCGGCCTTTCGACATTTTAAAGACGGTGGTACTCTTCTCGACCCGGGGGACTGAATCGCTGGACCGCCGGAACCCCGAGGTCGCATCATCTTCAACCATAAGTGCGAAGCACCGACTGCTGGGCTGAGTACTGCCTCGCGCGTCTCAATCTCGGCACGTTAGGATTCAGGCCTCAGGCGTCATGTCTCGGTCGAAGTCGTGGTCGAAGTCGTTGGTATAGGCCAAGAACGGGCAAAATAGCCTCGTTCAGCCGAGGATGTTCCATTTTCGCCATCCTCGACGAAGAAGCTCGTAGGATTCGCCCTTCATTCTTTCAGTTCGTCGCCGTCTATTTTTCCACTTTCCACTCCTACTGATTTTGTGGTGCGTAGGTATTGACTTCCGAGCGTATTGCCGATGCGTGTTCTGCCATCCTGGAAGGCGCTTAGGTGCTTCGAACAATTGGTCTCTCGTCGTCCACTTTGTGAGCAGCTCGATTATATGTCCGGATCATTCCTACTGAATTACCTGGAACTAGCTTCGCCAAGTTGTCGGAGACATTGCCTCGTCCTTATACTCCCATTGGAAGCTGAGAAGAGAGAAACTCTTCCGATTGACGCCTTCGACCTCGAGTTTCGGAAACTTGGCGGGAGGCAAAACTGTCGCGTTGCGGGGATCTTCCAGGGACAGGAGTGGTATAAGAGGCTGGGAAGATGAAGTTGTTATTCAATTGCTCAACGTCGAGTATCGCCATGAAGTCTGTTCTCGCTGTCGTTCTGTCCTTGGTGTCGCTGGCTAGTTGCCACTGTACGTCCTCCTTTCTTGTTCGTTCGTTTCACCCTCATTGACACCTTCGAACAGACACCTTCAACGCCCTGTTAGTTAACGGAGTCTCCACTGGCGACTGGGTGAACGTCCGAAGAACGAACAACTTCCAGTCCAACGGACCCGTCTGTAACCCTTCCATTAACTTCACGATGGAGTCTCTCATCAGCCCATCATTCTGTTCCCCAGGTCACTGATGTAAATAGCATCGATTTCCGCTGCTACACCTCTCAGACACGCGCCACTGCCTCGACCGCTACTGTCGCGGCAGGTTCGCAAATTGGGTTCAAGGCTGGCCAAGCCATCTCCCACCCCGGCGTAAGTCTCGTTTTCACCCTGTCCAAAGTCTGTCGCGATTCAAGAGCGATTCCTATTCCAGGTTGCCAACATCTACATGGCGAAAGCTCCGGGCAGTGTTGCTGATTGGGACGGCGCTGGTGCAGTGTGGTTCAAGGTATGCTTCTCCCGAGATGCCAATGATAGCCACTCATGTTCTTGTAAGGTTCACCAAATTTCGGCCGTCACAGATGGTGGCAGGACCATCTCCTGGCCATCTGCTGGTTCGTTCATATTCTTCCCCTCTTAAAAATGTTTCAGCCTAACGACTCGTAGGTGTTAGCCAGATCAACTTCAATATCCCGAGGAACCTTCCAGATGGCGAGTACCTCGTGCGCATCGAGCACATCGCCTTGCACAGCGCTTCCGGCTTTGGCGGAGGTAACACCTCAGTCTCCGATCACTCAAGATAGGCGCTCATGAATGGAACCCAGCACAATTCTACATCAGCTGTGCGCAAGTCAAGGTCACGGGCGGAGGAAACGGGACACCTGGGCCTCTGGTGTCCATCCCAGGAGTCTACAATGGCAATGTACGTCGTCTTTCTGTGGTCTACCTTCCCGCGTAACCTGACGTTGGCGCCTCCTAGGAACCCGGCATCAAGATCAACATCTACTATCGTAAGTCACTTGCTAAGTGTGCTCAATCCAACATCTAATCCTTCTCATCTCACCTGTGACTCAGCCGTCCCAGCGACCTACGTCCAGCCTGGCCCTGTATGTTCGCGCTCTTTTATTGTTCGTTACGTTTCTTATTTCTTCTCCAGGCCGTCTGGACCGGGTGACCTCTTTGACTTTGGTACAAAGAATAAATGTTGTCAGAATGAATTCAACCAATCAGCGTTTAACGATGCTTCCTCGAGAAGAGCGAAACCCTCAGAATGCGACACCCGACATCAAGGAAGTCTGCCCATATCCTCTTCCTCGAACTTGAAATTTTGCAAGCTGTGCCATGAACGGATCAGGTCTAAAAGTTAAATCTTTCTTAACCCACGCGATCCGCAAGTAGGCGCCACTCGTTCGCCGTTGTGCCCGCCGACTTAGCCCCCGCGATTTTCCATCCTTACTGGCTCAGCTCGTGTCTCCGAAACGTCATCAAGCCGTCAGAGAAGATTATTACCTGGGGCACCCCCACGTGGGCAATTGTCGCCTTCCCGGAGCTGTGGCTGTCGACTCCGACAGCTAGCCCCACAACCCAGCGAAAAAGGTTCTTCTCTTCCTTGTGAGCAGTTGGTTGCTCATCACGGATTCGATCGAACAAGGAAAGCATGAGTCGTACTTTGACTAACTGAAAGAGTTCCCCAAGCTCGTTTCGAAAAAGTTCTACGATGACACAAACTTCTAAACACACAGACTGATGAAAGGTTATTTCGGGCACTGCCTGGACATGTATCGAGGAGTTCTGATATCAAGCACTATCATCCGCACAGGTGCGCAATACATCATTCTGCCTACGGAGGATCCCAAGGGGGAGACGATGAGCATGACAATGTCTCAGCCTCCGGATCCCTGCATGGTTCTCCAATTGAAAGGCTTCAAATGGACAGCGAAATACTTTCGAGTGGCCCGATTTCCCCCACCCTTCCAATTCCTTCACACAGCCCACTCATGGCATTTACGCTCTCAGGCCACCGACCCTCCCAGTACTCAAACATTTTGAACGAAAGGCAGCAAGGAAGAGGTAGGAAGCGAACCAAGAGGCAAAGGTGCGCAATTTAGTGCGATAGTGTTAGATTAATTGAAAAACTTATGCCATTTGCTCATAGCCAGTGCTTTTGGCCTGGATGCAACAGAGGGCTGCCGTGGGGAACATGGGGTCATCAGTCTTCCCCCGCGTCCTCTGGGTCGATCTCTTCGGCCACATCTTCGTCCACAACCACATCCTTTGTCGTGACGTCTACGAGAACCGAGTCACTCTCTTCGTTAAAATCTTCTCCGACATTCACGACTGCACCATCCCCCGCGTCCTCCTCGAGCGTCAGGCGCACATACATCATCGTCGCGGCGGCCGTCGGTAGCGTTCTGGTCGTTTTTCTTATCGTATGCTTCTGCCTCTACCGCAGGCAGAGAAGAAGACGGATTGCTGCACGAGAACTAGAAGAAGCGAAAGTCGTCGCACCATTCCCGTCTAATACCGGTACCGGGAGTCCCACATCGTCAAGACGATTCAGAGGGCGGGACCGGACAAATATCCCTCCACAGAAAAAGATCCAAGAGTCTGGGAGGTCGGCTCCTGTCAATTTAAGCCCGCACTCGTCAGGACCAACCTCTATGCCCGAGCAACGAAGAATCATGACGCAGCTCGAAGAAATCCAAAACCAGATTCGACGGGTAGAAGAGACAGTGGTCAGGAATAGCGTACAGCCAGGGGTCGTTGAGGGTAGGGCAGAATCTCCGCCTCAGTACGTAGCCATCTCCAGCGCGAATAGGGAACGGCCATTAGAGTGAGGCTCAGCTACGATGCCCCCCCCCCCGTTGACCAGTCATGTATCAGCAGGATTGTTCTTTTTCTGAGAGAGAGACTGTCGCTACAGAAGCGTGAGCTATATTAACACCAGGGTCGAGAAGGGAGCAACGAAGAACTCAAGAGTCGAAGTCAACCAGTACAACCAGTACATTCTGTGCAGGGAAGGAGTACGACATGGTGTTCGAGGGTGAAGAAATTTCGAGCGTGGCGCACATAATATAATGTCGGATAGGGACACAAGGACGGGCCGAAATAAGAGAAAAAAAGGATTCACGACAACTGGGAAGTTCAGGTTGAAATAAGCGTGGCATTCTCATGTCGATACAAGATATCGATAAGCGTCCTGTAGTGCAAACTCCGGTAAGAAAAAGCACAACGCAACCTAAAATACAGCACTGTTGAAGGGCAAGTTGAAGGGATTGATCGCGGCACTTCTGAATGGTTTTAATTATTGGACAATATCTTCTGAGGTGGGATCGCCCAAAATGTGAGAGCGGAGAGGAGGGCGAGGACAAGCTGTGTTCGATACAATGAGCTCAAACCTCAAGAGAAATGACAATCACCATGCCTCTACGCACCATCACAGGTGGAAGGACCCGGAGCCCAGGAGAAACTCTTTCCGCCGCAACTCCGAAGAGGAGGGGTCCGAGGGTTGCGCCAATACCAAGCCCGGATCCTGCCAGGAACGTAAGTTCTACTAGCTCGCTAAATAAACGGCTCACGTACCAATGATGATTGAGACCGCTGTACTCTTCAGACTCGGTGGGACGCGAGACGAAACAATGGAGAGAATGGCAGGTGTATTTGGACTGGTAGACTTTATTAATACGTTCCGGGGTACGCATAATGAAATGTAAACGGCGCATACCCTATGAAGAACCCGGCGAGAAAAATCAGGACCCAGTTCGACGCGGCCGTGTTAGCTACCCATAGAACCCCGATTGCACCGCAGAGAAGCGCGAGCAAGATTGCATTTCCAATCCGCTCAGGGATGTGGATGTATGGGAGTGAAAAGACTAATCGTCCAGTCGTCATTCCTGGATTCACAATTCAGTCGAATGATTTAACAAGAATGGACAGTCATCACCTGCCCATAGCATGGAAAGCTGGTATCGCGAAACATCGGGTTCGGATCCCTTAACTTCAATAAGATATGAAGTTAACCACTGTTTGATCCAGAGCGTCAGGAGGGCTTTGGACTGCAAGATGACGCGACATGAAGGCTTACGTTACTCAGGGTATCGACGATCGCAAAGCCAAGTATAATCAGAACAACTCCAACCCTAGAGAAATCCTTGTCAGGTTGCACAAACGAGAGCTGGAATAGTTCACTTACCACAAGATTCTCTTCTTGGATATTTGGCGAAACTTGGCTCGCGCCGTAGTGCGCTTGTGTTCCTCTTCGCATGGGATTTCGTAGTTCCTGAAGATGATGAAATGGAAGGCGATCATGACCACTTCGAACGCGAATTGGAGCCAATAGTATCGCTGGAAAACGGATGAAAGAAAGACGTCTCAGGGTGTTTCTCGGGAAACCTTGAAGAGACGTACGTTCCATGGAATATTAGCCTTGAGAAACCCTCCAATAACAAAGGGTGATGACAACTAGATACATCAGAATCGCTTGACGGGATACCTGCTCAAAGTCACTTACAGCACCAACCTGAGATAGCAAGTCAAACTCATATCTACGTGTCAGGTTCTGGCATGACACCTACCCCGAAGAAAACGTACAACATATTCATAAAACGATTGCTGTCGAACTGTTGAGAATCACCGTGAGTTAAGTATCAAATCATGATCTTCAAAAGATGCCTACGTGTGCGACAACACTCGTCAAAGAGGCATCACAGAAACCGCCTCCCAGGCCTGCGAGGGTAAGCCCGACAATTACAAGGGGAAATGGTGGAGCAAAGGCGATCAAGAGAGAGCCGCCCCCATAGCAAACTCCGGCGATCTACGCGCAGATATAGTCAGAAACACCTGGAAGAGTCGATGCAAGACAGAAATGGGGGGGCTACCAGGAGTATCCAGCACGTCCCTATCCTGTGTTGAAGGACGGGATTAAGCATACACGAGACTAAGTAACTAGAACAAATTTAACAATAGAATTGAGGATCTTGTTGACAGCGTACCCGGAGACGCCCGCCAAGAAAATGAGCGAAACGACCTCGTATGATAGTCCATAGTGCTTCTGGATTGATGGAATGTTGGCCCCCGTTGCGCTGTCATTGAGACCGACAGCAAATACGCCTGTGCAAGACTATTCCTCGGCGAATGATGAGATGCTCGTAATGTTAGGACTCCATGAGCTCACAGCTATCAAGTGCCAAACGTTGTCCGTCGTCGGAATTTTCCTGGTTTGCGGGCGGAGGTTTCGAGATTGGGACATGGATGCGTTGTCAAGGTTTGAAGCTAATAAGCTTAGACGAGGGCTTCGAGCTTCAGGCGCTACTTCATCCTCCGATAGCGCGCTACCAGTAGTGGGTAATCCATCTCCTGAAAGAATTCAAGGTCATCCGGGTCGCCTCAACTTAATCAAACTTATCTCACCGGATTTGAACGACGTCTCCGCACCCTTCTCTCCTAGAGGTCGAGCCTGATTTCTCAGCCTTCGGCAATAGAAAAGAAGTCCGCCGAGCAAAAGGAGACCAGAGAACGCTCCAACCACCCCTCCGAGAACGCGTAGGTCAACTTTGGACTGGGTTGCCTCGGACGAGATGGAAGGGTCAGGGCTCCGCGAAATCACGACTTCTGATCCATTGGTCCTGGTCATATAAAGCCAGGAAAGGGCAGCACGGGAGAACCCAGTGAATGTGTGGCTAGGCGAGACCGCAGGCATGACGAGTATAAACGGCGGAATCTTAGACCGGTGCGTTGTACGAACTGTACGGAGGAAGGAAGAGAGAGTTCAAGACGTTGGAAGGAAGAGGAACGGTGAGTGAAGGACTAGAGGCTGTAGAGAGCTGTCCTGTCCTTTAAACCATTCGCAAAGGTTTGATACCTTGAAATGATAATCATGGTTCTCTGTTGGGCGTCATAGGGCGTCGGTCTTCCCGGTTGTTACAATGATATCTTGAAGAAGGGAAGCTCAACAAGATCGGCCTATAAACGACATCATTAGTAAAGGAACGCAAGAACGCGCCAATGACTGGGCAAAATCTGACCAACTGATCGTCATTCGAGCAATAGAAATGATTGGCCATTCAACAAAGCAGATCCTCCACTTCAACACGGGAGAAGGATCATCGGAGCAAATTCGCCGGATCGCGCAAAGTTTCATAAGTTACAGAACAGCCTCACTGAGGAACCCTTGAAGCCCAGCGCCCCTGCTTACAGGACTTGCGCCTTCTCAAAATATGCGAGAGCGAGAGCGATGACTGAGAATATGCGTAGACATGTGAGAAATGAAGTGACGGGAGGGTTGCATTTACCAGTTCTGAATCCAGAATTTTTTTTCGTGCTGCGCCAGTTATCGAGCTAAAAACAAGATTCTAGAAGGACGCACACGCAGGACGTTTGAGAAATATGAGGACGGAGGTCGCCGGAAAGGCAGGGAGAGCTTCCGCGAGGACGATTCTTCCTCTTGCAGGTCGCGATACCTAGACAATCCACCTTTGGTCTTCAATGATCACTGTCCTGGACTCCCCCGCAATGGATTCGAGGACGTCTTTCCCGACTTCCAAGAAGCCTGGTGCTTATGACGAGCCTGCTTGCAAAATTCCCCAGGAGGTAAAGGCTAAGACATAGTAGCTGAACGACCATACCACTAAGAAATGGCCAGCCCGAGGCACCCTCGTGCTCAACGCAGTGGATGCACCAGGAAATCGAGGTCGAAGAACCAGAAACATTGTGACTTATCCAACGAAAATAGTGTCGGCTAGCAGGAAGATATGGCACATGTGCTGTTCAAGGTCATAAGAAGTGAGCGCTTGGGTCCTGGAAGATTCGAGAGTTTTCGTAACCATTTCATTTCTCTGCTTTGCGACGCGGGGAAGAATAAATAGTGGTACAAGTTCGTCTTCGTCATGTATGACCCGTTTCGTCACAGCTGTACAGTCGTTCCCACGAGTTTATCTTATCTTATCATCTGACCGACCCATTAAGCGCCGGTGACGCAAAATGACGGTGTGGACCGAAAATCGAAATAAATTGAAATAAAATACGAAGCTCATCCTGCGTTATATTTAAATGCGCCTAGAGGTCGACTGTAATCCTTCGTTCTTCTCATACAACGGGGGCTGCCCGGTCATTTGCTCCATCTCTAAATCCCTGTGACCCCGAGGGTGGTCCGGGTATTCAAATCTTATCGTCGTCACCATTACTCCCCCAGGCTGGGACTTGTCTTGCTCCGCTTCCCTCCTATGTCCCGCGGAGATGATAATCAAGTTAAACGCAATCCCTATCATGATAATATCCTTTAGAGATCGTTAAGTACTTGTAACGTGATGCGCAAACAGAAGAGAATGAAATGAACGCACCGCCGCCGTAGTGGTAAAAATGGAATCGCTCTTCGTAACAGTGCTAACACACGCGAAGATTGAGGTGATCGTATAGAGAAGACCCGACTCGATAGTGATCACCACCACCGAGAACAAGTGGGATCTTCCAACACGACTGCTTGAAGCCACCCGATCCACCCTCCACACCATGTACGCAATCAAGGCTGAAGAAATTGATGTAAATGCGTTCAGCATAAAAACGTAGAGCAGCGCGCAAACTTACAAGTGCAATAAATGCTGAGTGCAACAGTCACTGTCCAGAAGACCGTCCATGCGTCGTACATGATCGTTAGGTTTCTGGAGGGTGCCAATAGGTTGGACCGCGCTTGGAAGATTAGCCCGACAATACAAGAAGCAAGTCCAGCGGCCCAGAGAAAGAGAGGTAGCACGATGAACCGAAGTGTGCGGGAAGTTACGACCCATGCGCGGTAGATCTGTATCAAGTAGTCAGAGTGCCAGGAAACGATAGCGGTAGGCTCACAAGTATCCCATCCGCGAGGAGGATTTGTAGTGAACAATTGGTTCCCTAACACGGGTGCTTCAGCACCGGTTATTCGAAGCTAAGGCAGAACCCACCCGAATCAAATTCAGCCAGCCTGCAAGCTCCTCTTCCTCGAAGATCCGATCCACGCGCAACGTTCTTACGAGTCCCAGGCATACGTTCAACGTGCCGTTCGCCCATAGCAAGACACACACGGAGAGGGTGAGCCACTGGATATCTGAGCGCCTCTTCCATCGACATGGTGGCTTCGAGTGGTCCCGGAGCAAAGTGGAGAGAGCTTGGAAGACGCTGACCACGTACAGGCCGTATAGGAATGCCTGGAGAATCATCCCACCCGTGCGGGATGCGTCCGGTCGGAGGGACATGATAGGATGTCGACGAATGAACGAAGATAAGGACAGCTGGACCCAGTTTATAAGGGTGGCTGGGTGTATTTGATGTCTTGCCGAGGGCCCGCGCAAAGTCATGTCAAGAGTCGCAGGCTGTGGTAGTGGCGCGGATGACATTTTTGTCTGCCCGATGAATATCAGTCTTGGAGGTAGGATTCTCCATTGCCCTTCCCTTCTGAATGAGACGGTTACGAGAGAACACTTCCACGGATGATATACGTACATCCTTGGCGATCCTCCCAAAAAGCCTTACTTGGATAGCAGGCTCTTGTTTGCAGCGTCGTTGATAGCTCGATGACGATAAGCATAAAACAAACATGGAGGTGGAGTGCAGTTCGGACAGAAATGACGGTCGCTGACACGTCCTGATGGACTGATTGACGGCTCGCATCATATGGATTCTGGCTTGAAGAGCGGCAATGGGCGTCAGCGATCTTTACATTTAGGTAAGGCTGATCCGACCCAACATTTCTCATGAAGAAATGTTGGGTCGGTGACGATATTTAAGGCCTGGCTACTATCGCGGAACGAATACCAGTGACGGTCAGAACATTTCTAGACTCAGCTACGGAACGGAGTTTCGTACCGTCGACCGAGCTCATCCTGCATACTCCTTCGTTGTCTGGATGTCTGGATTTTCAGCGGCTGTGGCAGGCTGCCCGGTTATACTATCCCTATCCCCTCACAGTTGTCCTTCTCTTCCTCATCCACTCGCAACCAGTCGAATCCATTGACGCAATTGTCAGGAACACGATTAGAATCTCTCGCGAGCCTTCCGATTTTGCCGAACCGAAGCTTCTTCCTTCCCACCTGCAAATCGACACGGAACGTCCAAATTTCGACCAACTTGACGACAGATGATTAGCAGCGACTGAATGAAGGCCCAACGCGTCTTTCCATGGATTCAGAATTGCGGCGTCGACACGTGCTGTCTCTGGTCATCTGAGACTACGGTCGCGCCGATGGCGTGATTGACGTCTCATCTTCATTTTGCCACCCAAGCACGCAATCCTCGATATCAGTTCCTTGGACATCTTTGGCCCAGGCGGGCTCGAGAGCTATAAAATTGACGAAGTCACAGGGAACCTGAGGTGATTTCTCTTGACAATCTTTCCACCTTCTCATACAACCAACGACATAGGGGGACGATGGCGAACCCTTTCCACAAGTGAGATTTCTTCCACTTCGTGTATCTTGAGGGTTTTGATACAGTTCTTCGTGATAGGCAACCCGAATTTGATACCATCCAGCTTCATGGAGGCCAGTCTCCTGACCCCGCCACCAACGCTCGGGCACCGCCCATCTACGCCTCGACTAGCTTCGTGTTCAACGATTCTGCTGTGAGACTCTTACGGCACCCTATCTTCTCTAATCGCACTCATTTGGAGGCATGGTAGCATGGGGCGGATTTGTTTGGTCTGAGGTACGTTTCCTGTATTTTCCTTGCCGCGATCTCCCAAATTGACAGCGACGTGTGCTTGACAGGGCCCTCGGACACATCTACTCCCGGATCGGCAACCCGACGGTCGTACGTCCTTCTTTAGCTTTAACGTCGATCCTTGGTCGTTGATAGAGCTTATGATCGAAGGGTGTTTTTGAAGACCGGATTGCCGCTCTCGAAGGTGGTGTGGCGGCTGTAGCGACCTCGTCGGGTCAAGCTGCCCAATTCCTCGCCATTGCTGCCATTGCTGGAGTCGGGGATAACATCGTCTCAACGTACGATATCCCTTCTTTCCTGGTTAGAATCACCGCGCTGAACGTGTTTTAGATCTTACCTATACGGAGGAGTGAGCACTTTCTGTGGTTTCTCCTATTTCTCGGCTAAGATTCCTTTCAATAGACCTACAACCAATTCAAAGTGACATTCAAGCACTTCGGCATCGGCGTCAAATGGGTTACAGAAAGCACACCAGAGGCTTTTGCGGCTGCGATCGATGACAAGACGAAGGCGATCTACATCGAGAGCATTGCGAACCCGAAATACATCGTCAATGATATCCCCGCACTCGCAAAGGTAAGCTTTCTGCTTCATTTGGGATATCGGAGCCGATGCTGACGAGGTCCTGCATTCCAATCTTCCGTCACTTTTCTCCGTAGGTCGCGCATGACCATGGTATCCCCCTTATTGTCGACAACACCTTCGGAATTGGAGGTGCGCTATTTTTAGATTTTCTGTCACCCTCGTCTCAAACGGCCTTCGAACAGGATACCTCATCCGCCCCATCGAACACGGCGCCGACATCGTCGTACACAGCGCCACGAAGTGGATTGGCGGCCATGGGACGACTATCGCCGGCGTCGTCGTCGACTCGGGCAAGTTCGACTGGACGAAATCCGGCAAGTTCCCAGCATTTACAGAGCCGGCGGAGGGCTATCACGGCCTCAAGTTTAGCGAGACTTTCGGGGCGGCGGCGTTCGCAGTGCGCGTGCGCACACAGCTTCTGAGGGATCTAGGCCCAGCACTGAACCCTTTCGGGGCGTTTTTGCTGTTGCAGGGCCTGGAGACACTGAGCTTGAGAGGACAGAGGCACAGTGAGAACGCTCTCGCGCTCGCGAGGTATGTTTTTTTTTCACACCGTCTTGAATCTTTGGGGCGATGACATTGATCTCCTTTTGTCAGATATCTTGAGCAACACCCCAATGTCGCCTGGGTATCCTACCTCGGTCTACCCTCGCATGAATCGTACTCTCTTGCCCTGAAACTTCTCCGGCCCAACGCCTTCGGGGGTGTCCTCTCTTTCGGTATCAAAGGTGACGTCAAGACCGCCTCTAAGGTCGTGGACTCCCTCAAACTTGCCAGTAACCTCGCGAATGTCGGCGACGCCAAGACGCTCGTCATCCACCCCGCGTCGACGACGCACTCTCAGCTGACTGAGGAGGAACAGCTCGCTTCTGGCGTCACGCCTGACCTGATCAGGGTGTCGGTTGGCATCGAAGACGTCAGGGATATCATTGCCGACTTCGAGGCAGGATTGAAGATCGCCTTCGAGGAGAACTAGAGAGGGGATAGAACAGAATTTGTCTCGAATTGGCCGTCAAATATCAAAGGGTGTAAATGTATCATGTATTCAACTTCTTTTTTTTTTTTTTTTGGAATTTGAAGGGCCACGGTTCTAACCAGCGTCGAAGGATATAGCGCTCGCGTCATAACCGAAAGGTTTCCGACTGCGAGTCATCTCTGGACTCCTAGGCCCCCTGTTCCATACTATTCCTAGTATTCGACAAGCACACATTCTGTCACCTCATATGCCCAATGACCTCGTAGGGCAGACCGAAAGACCCGTCGGTCATGCGCATCAACGAGGCGTTTTCAGTCACCATAAGGATATCCTCCCGTCGGCAGCAACGCTCCCAGGTGCGTGCACCGAGTTGTCTTACTTCACATTGAAACGTACACACCCCTTTACTCGTTGTGCAGTGCTTATCTCCGAACGAGGTAAGCGCCCTACGTTCGTCGAAAGCGCTGGGGAGTGGTTTGAATCTGCTCCCGACCTCACTGATCAAGCATACTCGTACTAGATACTTCGAGCAGCGTTTAAATTCTGGATCACACTCGGGTGCTGAAAAGATTCATAAATGTTAACAAACGACACATGGCCCCAGAAATGCCCCCGCTGAGTGTAGACGCGTATCATAACGGCGGTTCTATCCTACAAGCGTTTCTCTATGGCCTTTACCTTGTCAGCTTCTTCCAAGCGCTCTCGTCTCTCCTCGTGGATCCCTCAGTATCTCCGCATCGCTGGCGGAAGCGTGAACACATTCGGCGGCTCACGCTTTCGGTGTGCTTACTTTTATTTCTAAATGCCACGATTTCCCTATGCTTGAGCATCGTGAGGGCCGTGTATCTCGCGCAGAACGAGATCGCAAACTGGTTGCATGTGCTTCGTGTGAGTCCTTTCTCAATGCTTAGCCCATTCTTGGCTCTGAAGATGCTATTGGTTCCTTTACTGCGTTTTGTGTCGACAGGGCGTCAATAATACGATACAGATCCTCCTCGCGGATGGAATATTGGTAAAGGCCTTTCATTCCCCTATTCATGACGAAGCATCTCCCTCCTTTCTTCCAGATCTACCGACTATGGGTTGTAAGCGCCATGGATCGCCGCTTCGTGGCATTCCCTCTGCTTCTCTGGGTCGCTAGCCTCTGCTCTTCTGCTGCTGCGCTGGCTTCGCAAGCACAATCATCACTTTCCCAACCTTCGACAACTTCGACGGTCATGTATTACACCTGGGCAACGACCTGGTGCTTGACGGCTGCACTGAATATATACTGCACATGTACGTCCCTCAAATAATCTCTTCGAGGAGAAGCATTCAGCCCACATGTTCAGCATTCATTGCATTCATTGTGTGGAAAGTTATCAAAACAGCATCTCGATTGCGAGCCGGCACCTCTGAGGCCAGCGCAGGCGAAAACCCCACCTTGCTGTCGGTCGTGATGGTCGTCGTCGAGTCATGTCTCCTGTACACAATTGCTTCTATTATTGCCTGCATCAGCACCTTGACAAGAGGCGATTTTATTTTCATCACTGCTCCAGTGGTACGTTCTTGACTTCTCCGCCGATGTAGTACCCGAGCTGACACAGAAATACAGAACATTATGATGATAGCAATAGCTTTCAACCTCATAATAATTCGGGTGAGCAAGCAAAGAGAGTCTGGGATAGGAGTATCCCTGCAAAGCGTGCGGGCCACGTCTCTACGGTTTGAGTCGCGACGCTTCTCCAATGGGGAATGATGGAGACGAATCCAGAAATCATGAAGCACACGTCATATGTGCGGTTTATATACTTATTATTATTATTATGCTACTCTATGGTCTAGTTACCTTCCCAAAGCAAGGCTCGAAGTAAAAATGGCGATTTCCGGTAATATCGTGATCACCCGATTGGCCTCTTAAGGACTATTGTCACGAAAGGTGCAGTGCTTAACCCCAACGCGCCAAGGAGAATATGCAAAGGCCGTGCGTAGGCAAATGGGCGTCGGGGTTCTCCAACTGATGAATGTTGCGGCCTTGCTATTTCGTCTGCCTGAGAGAGATACAGCCATTCGGTCCCCAGTTAAATCACGTTCCAGGTTAATCAGAATGCGGGAGAAGGCATACTGACGAGAATAAATAGATAGTACATACATCTCTTGCGGAGAGCTTCGGGCGAGAGGGGTAACATCGAGTCCGGCTTCATATGTCCCCAGGTATCCGTAATTCTATCTCTAAATTTGCGATGCTTCGCGTGGGACACTTGCCCTGTGCAGGAGTACTCAGTAGAGACTGGTGTGGAGGCCCCTGATAATTATCGGAAGAGCAGACGCTACCCCAGTACTTTTAGCTCTGTTGATTATCTCTCCTTGGGCAACCTCTCGCTCTTCCTGCTGAAGTCCATCGCGAACTTGACACCATGGATGTTCGGGCCTTCCCCACAGCCAAGGCCGGGGTCCTGACTCTTGCAAATAGCGTAAACTAGACAGTTGTCCCGACGAGGTCAAGAAGGGGGTCACCAACGTCCCCGACGGTGCACCATAGTAGCGCGAGCTGCTTTTAACCCAAACCGGGAATAATTTCCGCAATTAGTAAGAGGTGCCCATTTAGAAACGCTTACCCCTATGTTCAGTCGGCGAATCATCTACCTCACCGAGCTATATCTTGACGGAGTTAACCTGCAGAATTTTCTTCGCTTAATTACAATATCCTTGCCTGTTCTTATATGACCCGCTTGACGATCGCGGAAAGCCTGGCATGATATCCCACTCTTCAGTATGCTTCCTCGCTAACCTTCTCCCTAGTCAGTGATACGATCTAACTAGGGCTCCGTGAGGAGTATCAGCATTCTTCGGCCTCCTTGAGGATGACTTCTCCCTTGAGCCGGCCTCTTAAGGTCAACACTCGGGCCACCATTTTTTATGTAGCCGCCGGGAAGGTAGCACCAAGACTTGCAGTCATTCCTCCGCGCTGAGAGCCGCAACCCGCAGGACCCGGACGTACAGACATTCCTGGAATACTGTCTGGCCGAAGACTCAAGATAGTATTGACGCGAATTTCGTTTTCACGCGAATTTTGACACCACCGGCCCGGAATCGGCCCACTTTAGGAACTAAAATTACATAAGTAATTAGCTTCCCTTCTTCGCACACCTCAATCGCAGTTTTCCTGTCGCCTTCCCTCATTGTCATTGGTCAATGCCACGCGTTCGCTATATATGAGTCGTTTCCTTTCTACCTACGTCAAAATCAGAAGGACGCTGGTGGGGACGCCGGTGCTGTTCGGGTGGCTATGGTGCTTCACGTCGATGGGGCCCCTCTCATGCTAGCCCGCTCGTGTTCTCTCAGAGCTCGGCATGGGTTCCAGGCGGTGGTCTCTGACGGAATAGGTGAGTTACTTGGATTCACCTTATATCCTGGTGTTCGCAGCGTTGAGACCGTGTCCTACACAGCTCCTGGTGCGAAAGGTTTGTGACGTCGTGCTTCGGCGACGTTAGCGAGAAGGGCTGCGGCGAGCTGAACAGGGGGCACACCAAAGCGCTGGTTTGGCTCTATGGGTGTTTCGAGGAGCGACATAAATGAGAAGACAAGGCACGATGGGCTCTAGATGGGTTACTCACCGTCGAGGGCGTTGATTGAGGAGAGTGTTAATTAGCTTCTCTGGCAAAGGGTGAGCGCTGAGCCTTGTTACTCTCGTGGATACCGCGTGGTTTGCTGACCTTCGCCCTTTCTCAGTCATAATATTCATCAGCGGTGTATCCAGCAGTTTGAGCACCGAATTCACCATCCGGTTTTGCACTGAGTGTGGTGCAAGGTTCCTAACGCCGCACAGTGTTCTCCCTCATGTTCGACCCAGAGCAAATTCGTCGCCGTGGTCGAACGACCTATCGACCAGCGCCGTTGCTGAAGGAGGGAATTTGCGATGGTTTCTTGATGTACGTAGCAGACATCTACCAAACGGGCTGTCTGTTTCGTCAACATTTAACTGGCATGCAGAGTCTCGTGCTTATCTCTTGTCTCAGTGCTATCCAACACCTCAGGTACTTGCTTCGTCATGATCGCTAGCATCGGCCTTCACTGGCGTCAGGCGAGACTTTCGCCCTGCCAGAAGCTTGCAAAGGTGGCTCATCTTCTTCCTGAATCGGATAGTGTGACCCTAGAAGGGAGCAAGGCTCGTCAGGGCGTTTCTATGATCTCCGCCATCCAACTCATCCCTGAATCCAGTCCTTACCGACAGATTCTCCCAAATATCGCGTGGACCCCCACCGTCGTCTCATGCGTCGTCAAAGAGGCGGGACCGGCCTGGGATGGGCGTCCACGGAAGAAAGGTTCTCCATGACTCTCAACACGGGTAAGGCCATCGCGTTGCCGCGTGCTCGCACACCACTGCAGGCTGCAAGCCTTGCCTCATCGCCTCTGGAGGGAAGCATGGCTTATCTATTTATCAAGACATATCTTTTTCTGGCCTTTTTTTATGTTGGCCGGTTCGTCGTGCATATAATCAACACACCTCTTTCATTTCACGGTTCGGCAAATTTGCCCTCGCGTTCTGTTGGTGCCCACAATTCTGATCGTGAAGCTCGTTGCTTTGCTCTGTCGGCGGCGTGCCTGCGATATAACGACATTATCACATCCCCAAGCGGAACGGGAAAGCGTCACCGGACCGTCCACGACCCGCAAAGGATTAGTCGATTACATTCAATGCGGCAGGGTCCACAAGGGTCCATATCGCCCGCGTTCTGATCTCTCCAATCAGTGAGTGACGAACATTGGTTCTCCCGCATTGTGACAAAGATAAAATATTAGGGAAGTCCAGCGCCAAGGCAACAAATGGCCTCGAGCCGTCTACGCAGATATATAACCTGCCCTCGAGATCGCCGGTATTCATTCCTGCCGCATCATAACGATGCAGAGCTTGATCTTCGGCGCCGTATGTCTCGTTATCCTGTTTATCTCACAAATAGCCCGAAGGCGCACTCGCCTTCCACCTGGTCCTCGGGGTTGGCCAATCATGGGTAACCTGTTTGAGTTGTTGTGCAAGCACCCGTGGAAGGAGTACGCGAGATGGGCGAAGAAATACAGTGAGTTTCCTCGCTCACCTTCACGCAAGTTGACGTTGAATGAATGTCCTTATTAGACTCCGACATCATTTCGTTGCATATTCCTGGTGTTACTTTCGTCATCCTCAACAACGAAGAAGTTGTGCAAGATCTTTTTGTGAAGCGCGCGCCGATCTATTCCGATCGACCGCACGTCAAGTTGTTCGATATGTGAGGCGACGATTCTGCAATTTCTTTGATCTATCTGAGTTGCTCATTAACATCGTGTAGGCTGAGCCTCACCCCGCGAATTTTCCCGTTTCAGAATCACGACGAGAGATGGAGGAGTAAGTGGTACTGGTACGAGTCCGTTCGTCACCCTCATCTCCACGTAGACGCCAGAAAGGCCTTCACGCTCCACGTTGCTCGCGAGAATAGTTCACACACACGGCTTCACCAACTGACTGCCTCGCGTCGTCTTGTTCTTCGTCTGCTCGGGACGCAAGATCCACCCTACGATGTCCGCTTGTGAGTTTATCAGTGCTTATGTGGGTGATTTCTCGATGCGACGTATTGGTTTCAGAGCCGCGGGTGATTACATCCTCTCGGCGATGTATGGTATCCCTCCGCACGAACAAGAGGAATTTGTGGCGACGGCGAATGAGACTGTCAGCCTCGCACTAGAACTCTCGTTTAAGGGATTCCTCGGTACGTAGTTTTTGAGCAAAGGGAATCGAACCTGATCTAGATACGGCTTTCCAGTTACCATTTTCCCTTTCTTAATGCACCTCCCATCCTGGTGTCCTGGACCTGGACTAGCGATGAAAATGGATCGACTAGTGAAGTACTTGGATGCCATGATCCGCGTCCCCTTCCAAGCAGTTCAGGCAGACATGGTGCGTAAATCGTACCCTCTCCAAACCCGCAAGCTCAACAAGCTTGACGAGCTCAGGCCACAAGAAGATTAAAATCTTCGGTTACGTCTCGTTATCTCTCGTCCCTCGAGGACTACGCCAACACACCTACCGAAGAGCTCAACTATATGGCCGATGTCTTTGGTATCGCCTACTCCGCTGGCGCCGACACAGTTGGAGCGCTTTCCAACTCGTTCGTGCTGGCCATGCTTCTCTATCCCGAAGTCCAACGGAAGGCTCACGTTGCACTGGAGACTGTTCTCCGGGGACGATTCCCCGACTTTGGCGACTATGAGAAGATACCTTACATCGACGCTATCGTCCAGGAGGTTCTTCGCTGGAATCCCGTCGCACCTCTTGGTTTACTCCACGCGTCGAAAGAGGAAGACTCCTACAAGGACTACGTGATACCGAAAGGCGCCATTTGCATCGCTAATGTATGGGCGATGCTACACAACGAGGAACGGTACGGCCCCGGCGCGGACGAGTTCCGACCGGAGCGATTCTTGAACACCGATGGGGCCCTTGATCTCAGTCGCACCAATTCCGATGGAGCATTTGGCTTCGGGCGGAGAAAATGCCCCGGTGCAAGTGAGATAGATATTCCTTCAATTATGAAAGATACATTCATTGATCTTCTTCGTCCAGGCATAGCGAAGGAATATCTGTGGATCTTATTTGCGACTATCCTCAGCGCTTATGACATCGTTGATGGTACCGACAAGGATGGACAAGCGCTGGACTGCTCGAAGATTCAATATGCCAGTGCGTTGATCAGCGTTCCTCCTGAATTCCACTGCAGATTCCGGCTCCGTCCTGGTGTCACCAAGCCGGTGATTAGTGAGGCAATCGAGGGCTTGAATTGAAGGACGTCTGCAGATCAGTGGATGTATACTCTCCATACCACCAACGAGGCCCTACCTCCATACATTCTGATCCTCGAGGAAGTCTTATGAAACCATTGCTTCGAAGATGCGGATGCGTGGCGTGACCAAATTCTGCTACCTCAAGAGTCGTTCTGTCATTTGCCTACGGGGCTCCTTTCTTCCATGACTGAGGCAGTAAAAAAAGAAAAGATGGCTGCGCACCACCGCCCAGTTATAGGATATAACTACGACACGGGCTGCACGGCATTTCCGGCCTCGTTGCCTCGTACACAGCCCAGTCGTTCAGTCATTTACATACTTAGATCCCTCGCAACATCGAGGACACCCAATGTCCCCTGCTTTTACACCCTTACCGCGTACTTCAGAGACGCTTTTTGGCCATGGTTCGGAGGGCATCGGGCTGGCGCCGATGGAAGACACAGCGCCCACCAACCCACGGGAGTTCTACCAAACTCATGAAATCTTCCTCGCCTACCTTTTGGTCCCATTCACCATTGCCTTGGCCATTTGCTCGATAAAAGCTGAAGCTGATGACACCAACGGATGGATGAGGTGGTCGATACCGTTCCGCACGCCTGACATCGCCGCCTTCTTCGCTACTCCTCTCACTCTCTTCTACCTCATTGCCGCCATCATTTCCTCTCATCGCCAGGCGAAGTTCTCTCCGAACTTATCGCCATCCGTATTCGGGCGTATTCATGTCGTATGCACGAGCGTTCTGGCGTTCCTTTGGTGGATGTCCGCTTTGGACAATGTGGAGAGGATCGGGGACGTGCATAGGACCCGGATTCGCGAGTTGGGGTTCAATCGACTGCGAGCACGTATCGCTATTCTAGCAGCTATCCAGACGGTGTTCTTGCTGCTCATATGCGTCTCATTCCTCCATCAAATGTGGAAGCGGCAACATGAGAGTGGAAATGGATACATTGGTCTTCGAATTCATATGCCCCGGATGGTCAACGATACGGTGAGTTCAGATTCAGTCGTCCTTACGTTTAATTGCTCATGAATTAGGAACGGTAGGCATACATTGACTTCTCTCGTTCTTCAGTCGTCAATAAGCTGAGAATGGCTTCAAACCTTCAAGTTCACGAGGAGGGAGCGGAGGAGAGTGTTGCCGATGACACTGAGAAACTTCTCAACAGCAGGGCGTCGCGGGAGGTGGACTCGACTTGATTAATTGTAACCTTGCCATTGTCTTTAGTAAACCCATTATTTTCTTTTTTCACGTTCCTTGGCTGACTGACTCGGGGACGATTCTCCCTTAGGCAGTCGGGAAGTCATCCTATTGGAACGGTCGGCATGATGTTCACTACGAAATAGAAGTCTCCTGAAGCGTATGGTTCCATAACCTCTTCTGCAGCTCCTCCGGGGTCATACTGTCCGCCGCTGGGAATTTCTTTAGACCTATATCATCTCCGTGGCTATCCCGGTGGTGCATCCCCTTCTCCCCGGCGAGCAGCTAGCGTACATGACGTACTCGGTGGACTGCGCCGAGTCGTTCAGGAGGAATAACCGAAGGATTGGGTGGATAATGCGTATGATGACCTCGAGAATAGGGTTAGAGGGAAAGACCATCGCCGTGTTGACGGAGCCGGGATACATGTGTGTGAAGCCGTTGGTGGGTTCGCGCTTTGCGAATTCCTGGGAGGAGATATTAGTGCCGCTCCAATTGGTCTAGAGGTCACATACCGAAATCATGAGGTCATTGTACGACGCGGTCTCGAGCATCGCGGGAAGCCACCCATAATTCGTCTTCATTCCGAGGTCGTCTACGTCCACCTTCTCCCACACCCGCTCCCAGCACAGACATAACACTCGCCCCATGGCCCAGCCCCTTTACCTTCAGTAGCGGAAGCAGGTCATTCGTCAGCGTCCAGCGAATAGTATCGCGAGGCCAGCTTGATGTCGATACCTTCCGAAGTCTCCTGTCGACCCTCGAGCCCGATGACTCCTGCGCTGTGAAGGAGGAAGTTGAGATAGGGGAGACGGGAAGACAAATCGCGAGCGAGTGCATAGATTAACGTCACATCGCATGGAATGAATTCGTATGTGTATCCCGGTGTTGGTGTTGGGCTAGAGTCATCCTTGTCGACCTCGGCGGTCGGCTGAGGAAGAGAGGCGATAATCCACTCCGGGGCTGCGCGATTCAGACTAATGAGGTAGATTTGGACGCAGCTGTTCTGAAGTTTCGCAAAGAGACGCGTAACACTCCAATACCCGATGTCGCCCCGGTTGTGACGATGATGGGTGCGCAGGAGGGGTTGAAGGCCGCGTTTGTGGCCTTTGCAATAGCGAGCGACGGCATTGGTGATCTTATGGGCAACAGTAAATTCTAAGGCCTTGAATGATAATTCAAACATGACGTACCCGATATTCCACAATGAATTTGCAATCTTGTCCTTCCATCGGATGATCTGAAAGCCAATAGCTAGCGAACGTCATGGACGGAAGATTAGTGCCGGCGGCCGGGCGCCTATTTCTCGTGTTGATGGTAGAATTCCTGATGGCACGCGCATGGCTCGCCTAAACCTGATCCTGATCCTCGTTGACATTGTTCCGTTTACGAAGATGGCATTTTCCTTGTCTACACCCTACACCCTCTGAGCCCAGTCCTGACACGATCTGACACGATCTGTCGTTCGGCCCATTCTGCCAAAGGGCCTGGCGAGTTCCGACTACATTGTGTCGTGCTTCTCTCTCCCTGTCAAACGAGTTGAGCGTCGATATCCCGCAACCTCTAGGTCTTCTCTTTCGCGCGATTGACCTTGACATCACCATGGGCAAGTCATCGCGGCCACCAATTACGTGCTAGCGTGCTAGGAGACCTTTCGGTGCGCTACCGTCTCACAGAACCTGAACGGCACCTGTGGGCGTTCGGATATTCCCATTCTTCGGCTTACCTCGTAACGCCAGAGGTCTGCATGGAGCCGCGAGTCGAGTTTGTGGACGTTAAGATCTTTTCGCCGTTCGGTAAGCTTGCCTTTTACGTATACTTCAGGAAAATCCTTGCGCAGCAACAAGGGGATTAATTCTCCGGCTTCTTTCTTACCCATGGGCGCCCTTTGGATTGGACCGCTTCGAATTCCGACTGCACAGCCAATGCCCGGAAATGAGACTTGGCGCCTGTTGGCGCCCATTACGCCGTGGCGCAGTTTGGCTTCGTTCGATCCGGTGCAAGGGCGCCTTCATAGTTTAGCCCCCGTTATTTATCACCTATGTATAGATATTTTTCATCTGATGTTGTTTCCCGAGTCAAAGCCAAACTCGAATGCGAAACGCCGACTCCAGGCACCAAACAGGACCGATGCTTTGTGCCCTCACGGAATGGGCGTTCCGGCTAGGATGCCCGCCGAAAATGCCGCCACTGGATCTGCAGATGCACCCTTCGTTTATTATAAGAACCATGTGTATCATTCAATGCGTTGTCGGTCTGTGGCTGTTATCGAACCCTTCGTCCAACTTCAGCCCGGTTTGGCTCGCGTCGTTGGTCTTGGCTTTCCTCGTTCTCCACCTAACTATCGTAGCCTCAAGTCAACTTGTGCTTATAAGGAGCCATGGAGGTCCTTATCCTCCTGTTCGAACGACCAACCATCGACGACCTCCGCTCCCAGCAACGCCATCTGATCATCATGGGCAACTCGACGACATTTGACAGATCGCATGCGCAAGTTTGTAGGACACTTTCGGCCTCTCCTTTCTCACCTTCTTCTTGCCCTCTCCTACCACCTGCGGTTATGCATCTCTCTCTCGTTCAGGCTCGCCCATATCCTTCCGTCCCGCTTTCGTCGCCGGCCCCGGAAGGCAAAGAGAAGGGCGCTCATGATCGGCATCAGCGTAGTGACGGATCAGCCCAGCGCCGAGGAGCTCGCTGATAGCAGCTTGTCACCCGCGTCTACGCCCGAAGGTGGGCTGAAGGGCCCACATGGCGAAGCCCGCGCCATGGGCGCTCTCCTCGAAGGTGAGGACGCGTCGCATTGGATCGTATCAACCGCAGGCTGAGGGACAGACAGTCCAATACGGGTACAGCCCGGACGACATCGTGTATCTCTTGGACCTTCCTGGTTATGAATACCCGACAAGGGATAACATTGTACGTCTATCCTGCTCCATCCCCCTGACAAATTCTTACCGAAGGGACGAATCTAGCTCAAGTACATGAAGCTCCTCGTCCAAGATGCCGACAAAGACGACCACTTTTTCATTCATTGTGGGAAAACAACCGTTGAATACGATATTCTGTCCACTCACGATATGTTAGTCTCGGGACACTCCGACCAAGAGGACACCGACGACCCCGAGGAGGAGGATGGGAAGAACGAATGTGATTGCCTTCTTTGCAGACGACGAGTACGTCCTGACATCCCTAGACATCCTCACTTGCTGGAACGAGAAGATACTGGACGACGTAGGTTCCTCGCTCAGCATGAACGGATCAACCTTCATTTTTTCTAGGAGCTCAAGGCCCATCTCGTCACCCCTCTTCCTGATGGTTGTACTCTAACGGTGCGTGATGCTCTTACTATACCTTGACGTATTTTTATCGACGTTCAATATAGGCTATCTTCGATTCCTGTCATTCCGGCACCCTCCTCGATCTTCCTCACTACTTGTGCAACCGCGTGCATCTCCCTTTCGTAAACAAGGGCACTCGAAGGACCAATCCTCTCTGGAGGATACAAGGTGAAGACATCGCTATACCTTCATTTTTTGCAACTACTTAGCTCGATTCCTAGCTCGAAGACGAGCTATTCTACCTGGTACTAGAGAGGCTGTCTGCGAACAGCCTACTAGGATCGAGGCGGTTCCCAGCAGCTCTCCGACTCGTCGGGTGTCGAACTCGGTTGAGCGAGGCAATGCTGCCGGTCCAGTGGCCAAGACGGCCCTCTCCGTTGTGACCAAGCCGTCGAACGAAGCTCCATTGCTCTGCGAAGACATATGTCTTTCCCCGATTCAAAACCACCAGTACTGTGATGGCTTTCAATGCGTAGAATCGCCAAAAGGAGGTCCGAATGTGGTATGTCTCTTTTGACAAGTTCAACATTGGAAGCCTATGAGACCTTGCTCGCTGTCAGATCTGTATTTCCTCCTCCGGCGACGCCCAGGAGACATGGGAGGATGAGAATGGCACTTCCGTCACGGCTGTAAGTTGGCCTCACTGGTACGGGTCCTTCTATACTGATCCCCGTCTGTTTTTAGGAATTGATCGCGATATTTTGTACGTACCTAGACTGCAGCCCCATTCGAATGTTTGTTTGACGCTCGTTGCAGCAGTCAACCCTCATCCTGTACTCACGGAGGTCATGTCGACGATCTCGTACGCGATTTTTTTCACTATCTGCCGGTCTATCCCCATAACAGTTTCATTAGATATCGAAGGCACGAGGCCGCTTGCATTTTGCACCAGCAGGCCGTTCAATTTCGAGAGGAGCGCCGCTTATTACGACTGCGAAAGAACAGAAAGGCACGCACCGACGATTTCAATCCCGAGATGGTTAATTTCCAAATACCTCAAGTGAGCCTCGTGTGGATTTCTTAAAAAAAATTCTTGTTGACATGCCGTTTCGCATTTGAAAGCTTTCAAGTCTCAGGCGTGTGGTAAGGACACTCCTTATACATCAGCGCAAAAAGCCACTAGTACTCACGTAAGCTTCAGCCTTTAAATCAGTTCTGGGACCCATAGAGCACGATCCTGCCCACATGAGCCACTTTTCCTCCCCCCCTGTTGGCTGTTCGACGGTTTTGCCCACTGTACGTCCACGCCAATGTACGTTTTTCTGTCACCTTGAAGGTGACCAAGTTTGTGTAGAGGTTTTGATCATACTCCTTACCTATATATCCGCCAATTTATCTCATACCACTATACTCCTCCACTACCTATCCCTACTGACCCTTATATTTCGATTTAATGCTTTCATACTGGCTCTAAGTACTTAAATGATAATTTGTACAATAACTTCAATCCTAAGACCGGCTCTCCCTCGGACCCGGAATAGCCGGTCAGCTTCGCCACCGCGTCATTCCTTTTCCTCTCACTTGCTACCTTCGTTCGCCTCAAATTTCGCTGCCCTCCAGTTACCGCCTTGAAAAGTCGTGGCGAGGCCACGGATTTACGAAGGCTTGCGATTACAATCGGCTCCTGCTCACAGGTAGCCGCGGTCTGCTGACTGACTCGTTCCTCGTTACGCTGGCCTTTAGCTTCGTCCGAAGGTCGTTTTTCGAAAGGACATTTCCATCCGCCCTGTTCGTGCATGGATGCTGTGTGGGCATGTGCTCAGTACACGTATCTGAGTCTCACACTAGTCGGCACTGGCCAACTGAGGTGGGGAGGCCCTCTCGAGTGCTCGTACGCACCGACCTCCCAATGTCATGGGGCTTTGGGGCGATGTTTTTCCTCGCGTGGCACATTCCAGAGAGCATTCTGGCCGCCAAGATGGTACATGCAGCGGTCGTACATCTGGTGAGTCTGTGACGTTCTCAATCTCGCTCACGAATGAACTGATTGTCTTGTTTCGATAGGGTGATTCGACGGGAATGCTATACACTCCGCAGTATGCAATAAGAAGGCGGAACATACACCCTCTTCTTCGCGTACTCGTCATCACCTCTGAAAACGGCTCTGGTTTTTGAATTCACAGAGCGCGGTTTCCTTGCTTGTTGTGGCTGGAAACTGCGTGTTTTCCTCGTGAAGCATGTCTAAAGCGGGTGTTATTGGCTCAACAGGGTATCCTCCAAGGTCGTTCATGCAGAAGAAAATTTCCTGATACCTAGATGCTCGAAGATGAGGGCAACGAGTATTAGGAGTGGGTGGATAAGTTCGCGATTAATTGGGCTCTGTGTTTCTTGAGAGGGGTCCTGTGGCTGTGTTACGCGACTATCACGCACGGAGAGCGCGTGGTAGGCATGGAAATGAACCGACCACCTGTATCCCACTTACTTGTATTCAGCAGCGTCCAGCTGATCTCCTGGCTGTGCAGCACAGTCTCCAGAGGGTGTGAAGAGTGCTGAGCGTCACCGCCTTTCGCCCACAACTGAGGACGGTGTCCAATTCCCCCGACCAAGCTCGTCCCTAACTCCCTATAAATGCGGTGGGGAGAAAGTCCGCTTTCTAATTACTCGCTTTCTCCCCACTGCTCAAACTTTTCCGTTCGGAGCCCACTCGTCTTCTTTGGTTCGCATGACCACGAGTTCGACAGATGGAATAACAAACATTCGCACGTTAGTCGTCTGTTATCGTGATCCCCTGTCCTTGCTTTCTTCCTTCACCTACTCATTGAAACGGGCGATCTCCCAGCAACGATTTCATTGACTTTGCTCTCCTAGGCGCGACTTATCCAGCGGCAACAATGGGAAGCGCAAAGCATTGATCATCGGCATCATCGGGCCGACGTTTGCTGAGCAGATTGGCGCACTGAAGGGTCCTCATGAGGACGCGAAAAGGGTTGGCTGCTTCCTGCAAAGTAGCTCTTTCTGTTCAGGATTCTGCTCATGTTTCGGAGCTCACGGGCGCGTCCTGAATAGAGCATTACGGTTACGACCCGAATAACATAAAATATCTCCTGGATGATCCCGATTTCGAGCAGCCAACGAAGGACAATATCGTGCGTTCACCCCCATGTCGAAGGACTGCCCGTTCTGATGATCTCACGTCATAGATCAAGTACATCGGCCTCCTCGTGAACGATGCTCAGCCAGGAGATCATTTCTTCTTTCACTGTTGGTCGCCTCGTCTTAGATCCCTGTCTATTATATCGCTTATCGCTAAATTTATAGACTCTGGTCACTCCGCTCAGCAAGATACGGATGATCCGCAGGAAGAAGACGGAAAGAACGAGTGTACGCTCTAGCTTACCATCGCACATTTTGCGCCTGACGTACTATTTCTCGTAGGCATAGTCACATCGGACGACAACTATATCCTGGACAATGTGCGTCGCCATTATAGGCCTTTTCTTCGACTCTGCTCATGGAGGGTCTAGGAACTAAACGATATGCTTGTCAAACCTCTTCCTGTCGGAGGGAATTTAACCGTGTGTCCCTTCGGCGTCCACACCTCTCATCTCGTTTTGATGGACCTCCGTTAGGTGCTTCTCGACGCATGCCATTCTGGTACTTTGTTGGATCTGCCCCATTACCGATGCAATGGCGTATACTTGCCCTGCGTCAATAGAGGCCAAAGACGAGCGAACGATCGTTGGATGCGACAAGGTGCGTTCCTCCAGATACAACGACGATCTCGTAGACTCATTTGCATTAAAGTTCGCCGAGGGGCTATGTATCCAAACAACTCGACGAGGGCCATGATATCGCAGCAAAGACGAAGGTCATCCAACCAACAGCTAGAGAGAAATTCTACTGCCCTCTGCGATACCGGTCCAACGTCGACCTCGTCATCGTTTCGTACTAGTAGCACCCTTTCACTCAAGCCCTACGCGAGACGCCAGGGTTCGCTACATTTTTGTGAAAACGAGAGGCGGTGTGCCTCGCCGGATCCCGTCTTCAGACACTGTGATGGGTTCACATGTACAACGTGGCAAGAAATCGAGGAACCAGTCGCTAATGTAGTACGTCCCGATATCTTGAGAGTGATAAATCTAGACACTAACGTGCTGCTGGAATATAAAAGATCTGCTTCTCGTCCTCTGCTGATCATCAGCGAACCTGGGAAGACAAGGATGGTAATTCGATGACAGATGTGAGAACTTCTCCATTTCTTTTTCTTTGCCGCGTTGCTAAATAGCGTTCTAGGTGTTTCTGAACATGCTTTGTGCGTGAACAGAGCCCTTATTTAATGGCAGAGCAGCTGAGGAAACCTACAGCAATCAACCCGTATCCCTGTCTCACAGAGCTGCTCGCAGCCATTCGGTAAGCTGATTTGTCCAGGATGGTGCGATGCCAGTCTTTCTAATATGTTTTGCTAGCCTGGGCTGTCAAAATTCTGCTCTACGTCTCCATCCTGAAGCCGTTGAGTATCATAAAGTGCTTCGCCTCAGAAACAAGAGAAGAATTGCACGCCACAAGATGCCTTTCGAAGACAGAATCCAGCCAGAAATGAACGACTTCCAGATACCCCAAGTACGTAAATTAATCATTGCAGAATTCCTCGTCGAACCTAACACCTTATTTCGCCTTAAAAAAGCTCTCCAGCCTGATACCATTGGTGAGCAACTTGTTTTCGCGTCGAGCGGCTTTCTAATCCTACTACTCGCTCTCTCCTAGCCTCTCGACCAGAAATGGGATCCTTGAGCACGAACACAGCAGGTCTTGTACTATATACCCGCCCTATGATATACCCTTCTTGTGGATACCGTGACCCCTGTCTTCCTGTCCTTATCTTATCAATCGCTTATGTAAGATCAATCAGCAGCCAACGGAACCTCCCGTGTTTTATTCCTCGACTCCTCCACTAACGCCTCTAAACGGTGTGACTGGAGGGATTTCGTCCATCCTTCCTTCGCTGTCATTACGCCATAAGCGTGTCGTGGCTGACGCGGTGACCCTCGCGGTGCAGTACGGTCGATTGGACTCCATAATTAGTCTTATCCCGACGCGCGTCAGCGAGTCATTCTTCGTCCTTTCGAAAATCAGTTGAATTTTGCCTCAATCTGAACTGCTCAGGCGGACAGGATCTCAAAAGACTTCATCGATCCTATCACGGTGGCCTCGTCCCCTTCCTCCGATGTGAAGCCCCCTTCCCTCACAACGAGCGCCGCGGCATATCAAGAAATTTTTCCTTGTTTCCATAGTACAGCGTTCAGCACGACCCAGTTCACCGGGGAGCATAGCTCTGGGTTTTAGATGGCGACTTGCAATTAGCGCCCGTGCCTGGACATAAAGATGGAAGCTGTGACTAGGCACAGAGTCCGGATCTAATTATCGGGGCGCTGCCAGTATAATTTGATACCTATTCGTAGACAGGTATGACGTTTTTTCCTTTCTTTTCTACTCCGAATCAAGATCTCGTCCCATATCAAGCCCGCGCCTGAGATATGGGCTCGTTCCGGAATCAAGAACGCGATGGATGCCGGAACTCAACACCCCTCCCGCTCGGATATCCTTCAATTACGGAAGCTGATTCCGAAGATTGGCCAGAAGAACCACAACAATAACGAGGATCATTCCAAAAGACGTGCGTTTGGATGCAATCACCTGTTTTGCGGAGGTTGTAACAGAGAGTTGATGACAGACGCCGTCGGCGTTTGGTCGGCGTGATTGAGGTGGTGAAACTCGCTGGGTTGGACTATCCCTAATCTGGGTCTCCTTGTGCGGCCTACATTCATAGCCTCCAGGACATTCTCGCCTATAAGTAAGCCGCCATGTATACGCCTTTCGCACTCGCCATTTGCTTGAATAATTCGACGCCTTCTTCATCGACGTAACATCCAATCACGAGGGCCGCCATGACGTTGACGGACGTTTCTCACATGTTTGTGGGACGCTTTCGACCTCTCTTTTCCCGTCTCCTTCAAGCTATCACCCGCTTGAGATCGTGCATCCCCCTCCAGTTCAGTATTTCCCATGTCCTGCCGCCCTGCCTCCGCCACCAGAAACGTGAAGCCAAGCGGAGGGCCCTGCTCATCGGCATCAGCAAGATTGTCGAGACCAGTGATTCTGTCGCTGGCTCGTCAGAGCCGCCAGAGACCGAGGATGGGCTGAAGGGTCCTCACAAGGAAGCCGAATCCATGGGTGCTCTCCTACGTGGTCAGTTCACTCACGTTCGCAGTCATGTGGAAGCTCACGCATGGACAGACCAATACGGCTATCCTGAACGTCATATCAAGTATCTTTTAGACCGCCCAGGGTATGACTACCCGACTCGCGAGAACATCGTGCGTCGTCATGGCCCCTTGTATGAGACCGACAATTTATGACGTGGTTTCTCCGCTCAATTAGCTCAGGGAGATGAAAGCCCTCGTGAAGGGCGCGAAGGCAGGGGATCGTTTCTTTATCCACTGTGCGTATAGAGACATCGAATGCGACTTCAAGTACTAAGGAGTTCCCAGTTTCAGGACACTCCGACCAAGAGGAGACAACAGATCCCGAGGAAGACGACGGCATGAATGAGTGTGAGGCTTTAAAAACTTTCCCGTAGCTAAATCTTACATCTCGTTCTCAGATATCCTTACTTGCCTAAGCGGTGAGAAGATAATGGACGATGTATGTCATCCGTCTATCCGTACGAAAGTTTGCTTTATCAGCATGTCTAGGAGCTAAAGAGTTGCCTCGTCAAGTCGCTTCCTCCAGGATCGCGCTTAACAGTGAGTAAATTGCCCAAGAGAGCTTCTTCCTTTTAACGTTTCCCGGTCAGGCTATCTTCGACTCTTGTCACTCTGGCACATTACTGGATCTTCCCCACTACAGGTGCAATCGCGTCCACCTACCGTTCGAGAACAAAGGTGTACGAAGGACGAAACCACTCTGGAGGAACATCGGTGCGTTCTAGTGTGATCATGCCATATCTACTTTACACTAAGGTCCACCTAGTTCGACAGCAGGCTATGTTGCCTCAAAGTGTGGAAAGGACCTCTCGGCACGTCCCGATTCCTAGGAGACGAGCGTCCAAGTCCATGAGCCGTGTGCCTCTCTCGGACGCTGAACGATCGTTGTACCGAGTATCCGACAGCGGTGGTCGACAGATTCTTTCCATCAACACGAACATCGAAAGAAGCATATCGAGCGCACTTTGCGAGGACTCTCGCTGGTGTGTGTCCCCGGATGATAACCACGAGTACTGCGACGGATTTGGGTGTGCCGAAGGAGCCAAGGACGACGGACCAGGGCCCGATGTGGTATGTGACGCGTTCTGAAACTAGATTCGCACCTTACGGCCTTCGAGATCTGCATTTCCTCTTCTGGAGATGGTCAAGAGACCTGGGAGGATGCAGACGGTTCCTCTGTTACGGCAGTACGTCCTCTACAAGATGGATCTTGCACAGCTTGTACTGATCCATTACTGCACTAGGAATTGATCGCGATTTTCAGTGAGTGAAGGTGAATACCATTAGCTGCGCTCAGGCTGACGCCCGACCGCAGTGGAGAACCCACGGCCATTACTCTCCCAAGTGATGTCCACAATCTCGTACGTCAGCCTCTGTTAAACGCTCGTGTCCTTCTCTTAAATGCCACTCTTGTTATAGGATCCGAAGACACGAAGCGTTTCGCTCGCTACATAACCACGCAGTAAAGTTCCGCGAGAAGAGGCGCTTTCGCAGATTCAAGAAGAAGCAGAGGTCTCATTCATCGGATTTCAACCCCGAGATGATTAATTTCCAGATACCCCAGGTATGTCTTACATTGTACGACGCCGTGGTGTTCTGAGCCTTATATTACTTCGTTCGAAATAGCTGTCAAGCTTGAAGCGGCTGGTAAGCGATCTCTGTCTTCGAACCTTGTACTGGCAGATAATCTGACCTTCTACCCTACATCTTAGCCATGGGACCAGCAGTGGGATCCCTAGTTCATATGCCCTGCCCATCACCTTCTCTCAACGATCTTGGTTCGAAGCTTCGAATATTTCAAGTGCCTGTCTTGGATCAATTTAATCTCAAGCATCCGTGTTGTATCCCTACGATCCCTCATCCGCTCGACGCTTCCCTTTAACCACTAATCCTACTTCAAATAGCCTTAGGGCTGGTAATCTGGTAAATACTAAACGTACATAGTTATAATTTTTATCGTATAGCTGTCGGATAGTAGTGTAGCACGAGAATTAATATTCCAAGAGCAAGTTTTCCCAGAGTGCTTTCGGACGTACGAGATCTGCTTAGATCTGCATAGTCTCTGCCGTAGTCCAAAATGTACATACTTAGACCGGTGACCGTCTGTATATGAAGGTAAACCTGTTGAATATCGATTGTCATATTCAGGTTGGTCACGAGCCTAGTACATACTAATAGGCGACTCGACGCGACGCGACACGTCACGTGCTTCAGTTACTTAATCCAAGCCGGCCATCCTCGAGTCCGCCCACAAACAATCCATGCAAGAAATGTTGCTCAGGTATAGTCATACATCCGGCTGCCTATCGAATATTCTGATTAGTGACCCCCCAGTTAACTGCGTCGGAACTGCGTCGAAGACATCCGTCCTTCACCATTCTAGAAGTGTATTGAGCGCATTTTGTTACTGGGCGGGATCATAGCCGACATCCATCACAACGCCCGAGCACCTTCGCCTCTCGTCGGAGGTCCGTGTCGCATCAATCCCCAAGTTGTCATCGCACTTAGCACAATTGAAGACAGTCGAACGGCCGTCTGCACCGTTGGGTGAGTAGCGCAGGTCCTGGATACCCCCAACCCACGAATATTTCACACCTTGGAGCCATTGTACGCTCGGAGGAATTTCTGCGTACAGCCTTAGATGTGGACCCATCAGCCATGCTGTCGTATGTCTGTGCTGTGCTCCTTATTCTCTCTTTCTCGCCTGCTGCGTTGCCATTTGACTGATGTATTCTGACCCACCCTTTCTAGATCGTGTCTCGCAAGCTCGGAAGAAGGCGTCGTCGCTTTATTCCCCCGGCAAATGTATATGCATGCAGTATGGCCCACCGTATGTCCTCGTTTCGCGCCTCTATCAAACGATTATTAATGAATTACCACAGCAGAGTAGCCTTTAGGCACTACACTCCCCAAAAGCCACCCGACCCATGGTATCATGAAGAGCGAATTTCTTCTTCCCCTGCTAAAGAGAGTTCAGGTGGGCGCAAGCAAAAAATATATTCACTATCGAGGAGAATTCGGTTAGACCCAACGAGACTGATCCTTTCGTGCAATATTTGACGTGCTCTGTACACGCAACAGTCGGACCGCCTGTGCACGTCGAGGATCAAATAACTGGGTTCGTGGCGGTCATGCAAGTCGTATCGGCGATGAACATGTGTATTGCGGCTGTGATTTTGTGCACCTCATTTCCCCGCCGCCCGTGCTCTCAGGCCAAGTATGGAGTTCGTCGGCCGCACATAGCCTTTATTTTCCCCCTCTCCCTTCACTATACAGTAAACCTATGTTGACCTGCGGTATTTCTCAATCCCCTACTTACTCGAAATACCCTTGTCGCTCATGGCCCATGGTTTGGCAGCCCGAATGATGGAGTCTGAAGCTGACGGCCGTCTTCTCACGTGCGTTGTTCGGTTTCCGTGGTTCATCCTAGTCCCTCTTCTTATCTCCCCTCTTCCTTGACCAGGGTATCTCCACCACCTTCACTGACTCCCTCTGGCAAGCGCAAAGCGTTGCTCATCGGTATTAGAGGGCCCCTCGCGGTCTCCCAGGATGTCGGCAGTTCGGAACCTCCGTTCAGGCTGAAAGGCCCTCACGAAGAAGCAAGGGCAATGGGCAATCTCTTGCATCGTGAGGATTTCAACTTCTGTCCACAATTTCAGTTGCTGATACATACCTCCAAAGTGCGTTACAGTTATGCTCTGGATGACATCACTTACCTCTTGGACGAGGAGGGGTACGAACAACCAACAAAGGAGAATATTGTAAGCGGCTCGGTCCACCGACCTTTGGCCGCTTGGCTGATGGTTGAATTTTGCGTAGCTCGAGCATATTTGTCTCCTGGTACAGGATGCCCAGCCCGGCGATCGGTTTTTCTTCTACTGTGCGAACTAGTTTCGAATGGTCCCAGGGCCCGATTCTGAAATCTGAACGCTTTCCGGTTATTCAGACTCCGGCCACTCTGATCAGCAAGAGACGAACGACCCCAGCGAGGAGGATGGGATGGGCGAGTGTAAGCCTCTTACTGCGGGTCGACTACGTTCTCCTGGCCCCTTATGCCATGTCCCTACAGTTATCATCACCTGCGATCCACAAGAAGAACATATTCTCGACAACGTAAGTAGGTCAGAAATCTGGTGCTGATGGACGATTCTAAATGAATCTCCAGGTTTTACACACTGCCCTCGTGGAGCCTCTCCCTCCTGGCGCCCGCCTAACGGTATGTCCCCCACTAAACTCTGCTCGTTTCCCAGTGACCGATCATCTACGAACGCGCCACTAGGCTATATTTGATTCATGCCATTCTGGCACCCTTCTTGATCTCCCTCACTACCGATGCAACGCCGTTCATTTCCCTAGCGTGAACAAAGGGAGGAGGGGAACATTGGCACGATGGAGAGCCCAAGGTATGCGGTCATTGTAGTAGCCAAGCATATACTGATTCTCCTCCTCTCAGAGCGGCGCAACGCCTTGTTCTTTGATGATTCCGACTTGAGCGATGATAGTTCAATGGCACTTTCACGAAGGCGGACGACCGCCCTTTCAAGACCCTCCTTGGCAATCCGAACGGATGCGATGTGGAGTGGCCATCATGAGTGTGACTCTCCAGTTCCGCAGAACAGGTACTGCGACGGCTATACTTGCATGGCATGGGAGGAGAACCTGGGTCCAGTCCCTACTGTGGTACGCTTCCGTTCTTCAAAGAATGTTGTCCCTCTATCAAGACCACCACGATGTAGATATCATTTTCTTCTTCGGCCGATAATCAGGAGACTTGGGAAGATGAAACTGGACGCTCCATGACCGGGGTCAGCAATCTTTCAAACTTATCTTTCCTCCATTCGCTCATCGTTTCATAGATCCTCGTCAAAATGCTACGTAAGCAAACTTCAAGATATATCCTATCGCGATATCGTTATCCCTATCTCTCCAGAGAAAGACCCGCATCCATCTCTACACGGAATTCTCTCCACAGTATCGTACGTATTTCTTGCCGACATTTTCGATGACCTTTCATCTAACGTCAGCCTGCTCGATTTCAGTCTCGGCCTTCATGAGATCTACATTCAACGTCACAGAGATGCTGTTGAATACCGAGAGGAGCTTCGCAGATTCAATGACTCTCGGATTAGGAAAAATAAACCACCCTTTGTCCCCGGGTTCTTGCCCGAAATGTCGAATTTCCAAACGCCTCAGGTCAGTCTCCATATTCATCTTACGCTTCTTCAGCACACCTGACAGCCTGTCACTTTGTATAGCTGTCGAGTCTTCGTCCGATTGTGAGTCTACGATTTAAACCACAACCTCAAGAAAGCTCACAGACATCTTGCAGGCTCCAGACGCAAAATGGGATCCTTGAGCTGTGTATTTGACCGCGCAACGTTCATGAACGGACTTATGCAGACCTTACCACCCATTCGCTCTCCGTAACGTTAGACCCCGTCTGTGCCCTCTACATACCCTTCTCGTTATTTATATTCTGGGCTTCGTTTCGATTTCTTCCAGGTCGCTTGTTTGACCAATTTTTTATTCACTCGTAGAGTACGGTTCATTGCTTGGGCATACGGTTATTTCTCCCAAGTATATTAGAGCAGAATATTCTCTGTGTAATACATCATGCATCTGGGTTCCTCGAGGGAGTTTCTATCTGGTGAGCTCCAGGTCAGCGGGCCGTCCGTGATGATTCCGTGACTACCGTGACAACAATGAGCGGGAAAATGACCAAGTCGCCCTTGAACACGACCACAACAATCACAACACACTTTACTGTTTATCTACTGCGGGGCAATGAGATATCTCAAACTGGCTATGCATTTGCCGAAAGCCACCAACGTTTTACTCTTGTCTCCAAGAGGCAGCCCGGAATGCAAGTTCAACCAGAATAACTCGCTTCGAAAACATGCAATGAAATATCGGAAAAAGCAGGTCAAAGGTGGCAAGTACAATCCTTCGAATTTACTTTTGGTTAATGTCAAAACCTTTTATATGTAGATCTTGACGAATTACGCCCCGACACGACCGAATGTTGCTATTAACCGGTATTTTCTACCTACCCGGAAGACGCCCATTGACACCAGCTGTTGCATCGTGGGCGTCGCATATCGGATATGGTGCAAGTATAGGACATGGGCATCTTGTACGTCGTCATTATCTGCGTATATATTCACCATGATTCTTACACATCTCATTCAATTTTTAAGTGTTCACCACGTCATAGATTCTCCGATTGACGGCGAGAAAAGCACCCCGGTGCCCTGTCTAAGTGTCTTGCCTCACTCTATCAAGATTTATCCATGATAGACGTGGGATAAGGTCCGAGGCCATCTCCCTACTTCATCTCGGCGATGATCTAGGTGTGCCGATCGGGATCGATACCATCCAGACATTAAGGGCGTGCGTGAAAGAAACGCCCGAAATGAGCCTCTCGAATACTCTTTGTGGGCGTCAATGCAAAGGCGAATATGCTTGCGAAACCAAACTTGGGAGAACTTCCTCTTTCGACGTACCACGTGTAGCATCGATAAGGCATTGGAAACGTTGGGTGGGGACTGCCAAACACGAGCACCTCCTTCCATTTCACTCGTCACCGGTTCTCAAAACCACGCCGCTGATGGATGGATAATATAAAGCTGGCAGTCGTACACCTTCGTCCCGCATCAACTGCATTCCGCCACTATGTTCAACTGGTCTAGTCGTTCGAAAGGTTACGACCAACCTCCTTCCTCTGGAGGTTTCTTTCGCAGAGTCATATCCTTCAACCGCGGTTCCAGCATTCCGCGACCTCAGACACCCCAGACCTGGAATTCAGAACCTCCGTACGGCCCTGGACCTCCTCAAGGTAGCGGTATGTCTGTCCAACAGTGATTTGTGCATCCTAAACTGAAGTAGATTTGTAGGACCATCGGCTTTATACAACCAATATTACGCGCAACCACAGTATAGCTCTCAAAACGCCCGACCGCAGCACAACTCATGGCAGACGTCATACGATACACCACCACCTCGTAGGGACGAACCTAGGGGCCCTATACACCCACCTAACTACAGTGGCCCGCAACCTCATGCTCTGCCTCCTCCACCTCAAACTGTTCCTTTACGGGAGTATGCTCCCAAACGCTTGCCCAACCCAGACTACAGGCCTAGCGCCGCAAAACCACCCTCGCCTCAAGTACCACGTTACGACCCCTACACTTATAACCAGTCCTCGCACTCTGCTCGAAACAATGGCTATTCGTCGCATTCAACAGTGCCATCTTATCGCTCCGACCCGCACTCCCAGTCTCGCCCGATAAACAACGATTATTATTCATCATCTTCTCGACACTCGTCTCGGGCTGACCCACCCCCTCGCCCGCGCCGAAACAACGCAGGGCACACTCCCTATTTTGATCCTCCCGATTTCCTTCAAAATCGTCGAGATTCTGTTGGATCGCAGCATGACAGCACTTACCATAGCTCGAACCAGCGACCTCGTACCAATCCGTACGCCAACACGCCACGTGGAACTCCTTGGCAATCCAGTGCATCGCTGGCTCGAACCGATGAGTCTGGCCGAGCGCCTTCGACTCGTTCACGACCTGACTCGGTGGCGCCGCCCGCCAACCCCGCCTCGCAATCGCGGACATCGGTGGGTCGTACGGGTGCCCTGGCAGTCGTCAACCCCGATCCTCCAAGCCCTAAGTACCAGCTAGCGCCAGAGTTGAGGATCACAAGCAGCGGCCAGTACCCCTGGATCAATTACGCGATTTGGTTGAAACCGTCTACGGCCGAACTTATGGTCGCGCAGGGAAAGGCAGTGGATGTCAAACACCGTGAGTTGGCGTTCAGCCCGCCGGTGAACTATATCAGGATCAAAAGCTACAAGCACGACGACCCTCTGTCTCTTGTGATCGCACGTTGGGGCCCCATCGAGGTCGGAAGACCCAATGGTACAAAAGCGCTTACCGTGTATAACATCCTTTTTGAGATCTGGGACTACTTCCAGAAGTCGATCGAGTCGCATGAGTGGCCGGAATTCGAGGCGAAGGAGGCGAAGGCGCTTATGTTCGCCATCGAAGCGAGCTTCGACCATCGTCAGACCGTTCCGGACACTGGAATACCATGGGCAGAGAATGCGAGGGCAGGGGCGACGCGGGTCGATACATTGTGGAAATATTGGATGTTCGGCGGTCTCAAGCTCGACAAGGACTTTGAGAAGAACCGAGTAGTGCGTATGAAGCTATCTAGTTTTGGTACCTATGATGATCGATAACTACTCTGCTACTATCTACACTTTTTGCTCGTGCTGTTGTTTATTCTATTGTAATATTAGGATTTTGAACACTGAACAGATTCTGAAACAGAAGCGGGCCGCCGCTACACACGTGTGATCTACGCTTTCGGCTACTAACTAAGGCTATTCTTTCCTCCGTAACCACGACCATCTTCTTCGCAGTATAAGCTTGGAATCGCGCTGTATGGACGCGAAAACCCTATATCAATTCTGCTGGGACTTCAAATGAACTAGGGGGTACCGCCTTTCAACCAGGTGTAAGTAACGCAGAAGTCCTACCTTCTGCAACTATCAACAAAAAATCCATCGCTTCTGCAATACTGAACTCCATCTTACGAAGAGGTTTGTACTTTTTAAAAGTAAAGATTCAAGTGTTCCCTGATATCATTTAAGGTAAGATCGTCCTTCTTCCTGTCCTCGCTGCAAATCTCACATCGCTCTACTCTTTCAAATGAACAGTGGCCGCGTCTTATCTTCGTGAGTGTTAAACGTGAAACGTTGTCCAGGGTGCGTACCACCGTGACGTTCAAGGCCGAAGCTGACGAGCACCGGTTAGAGCGAAACGTTGAATATGAACATGCCGGCCGGGCATGGAAAATTAACGAGTCCCTTCGGGTGTCAAGGATGAATTTTTGCACAATCGGCCCCTTTTCCTAAGTATCCGTCTAATTGTAAATCACCTAATACGAGTTGTATAACCCCAGTCGAGGCGATATATACGCCATTATCGTTATTACTTTCAACATGTTGTGGTATTTTTCTCCTCCAACTCGGTGATCTGATTTTCGGCGCCTATAGATGATCACATTTCCTTTGGACTTCAGAGTCAACTTCACCATATCTCGCTGAACCATTGGGGTGCGTACATCTGCTCATTTGATGGAGGGTATATTTGACGCCTTAGACTCTGTTGGGTGAATAGGTTCGTCTGACTGGCTTACTTTCCCTAGCGCTCTTTCTTCATGACTGCCTCCCTGTCATCTGTTCCTTCGGCCTCTCTCTTCTGCAAATACATTTCTTATGGCGACAGACCCTTCGCAGAGTTTCAGGACACCCTCTAGATGCTTCTTGAAGCTTCGGACTCCATGTCGCCTCGCGACTAACATGAGGATGCTTCATGGATGGCGAACAGAAGCTCCTCCAACACAATCGATACGTGGCTCACGGCTCCAGACATTGCTATACTCCGAACGATAGGAGATCTCGCAAAGAGTCCGTCAATGTAAAGTTCACTATTTGAAATTTCAACGATCACACGCTGATAGAATCCTCGCCTCAAGGCGCCGCGCTGCTTGTTTATCATGTTGGATTTGGAGAGGCAAACGCGCCCGAGCAGCGCACAGGTTTCACGTATGCGGCTCGTGTCAGCACGGCCCGTCTCATGCTTGGAGATAGGTATTTTGTCTTTATGTTAACTTTCATTTTACTTCCGTCTACTCTACTTCACATCTAGAGTACATATAAACATTCTACGTTATCTCGTTGCCGTTCTTATCATGCATCGGCTGCTCTTTTGTGTTTTATCTTCACATGGCTCTCCTGGGCAGTCGAGCCCATTTATACCGCGCCGTTTTCGTTAGCGCTCCCTCAGCCGTTTTTCCAAACGCTGAGGTGAGCTTTCTAGTTTATGATCTACTATTCATATGCTTACATCCTGTACCTAGCTATTCTTAGGTACTGGTCAATGTTATAGCCGTTTTTCCAAACGCTGAGCTATTCTTAGTTGTTTCACATATCAGCCATTATTTTCAAGAATAAAATTGACACGTCTTATGCACCTGGTCAGCTGCCTCCTTCGCCTTCCTTGTATCTACTTGCTGCGTCAGTTATCCTATCCTCCGACCCTTTCCCAAGCGATGTCAAAACCTCAAAGATATTTCAATCAAGTCGAATTGATTGGAAATATCCTCAACGCCACCTCGCCAGCCAGGTCACAGGCCACCCACCCTGCCTCGTTTGCTGCCACGATGCGCTCTCGTTCGACCAGGGACTTTTCAGACTCCATACGACCAACAGCTGACAGGCGGACAACGCGGACCGCTTATTAGACGCTGAGGCCGGCGCCAAATAGAGAGTTTGTGCAACAGCCAGAGCCACCCCGTGGCTGATTTTCATTGTGCATGACCATGTAGCCACAGGTTCGCAGAGGTAGCTCTACCCAAAGCTTTCCTCGATAGTCTCCCATTTTAACATAAATATATTATGGACATTGAAGCTCGGTATTGGCAAAGAAAACTCAGACCCTGCCAGCGCAGAGGAGGGAGAACTGACATCTCACCCAGGAGCCACGGGTGGCGGCCCGAGGAAAAAGTTCGTCTCTTTGAACCACGCTCCCATGCACATTTCTTTGGATACTGTCAAGTTCCCTTTCAGGAGTCCAATATGTGCTGCTAGTATAGTACATATGTCTATAGAAATTCACTGTCTACCAAAGGAAGGAGCAGCACAATGAAATTCAGCCACGGTGTGGCACTGTGGCTGATGCACAAACTCTCTAATAACGGTCGCCGAAGCTGTCTGACTCCATTTGTCTCGAGTCACCATCCTGCTGCCTCAAGTAGCGTATAAAAGCGGGACCATCTGATCTCTTTCGAGTCGGTTAAGACACCAAGAAGACCTCACGTATCATCATCGGGAGCACCTACAACGGCACCAAGTACCGGGATTATAAACTCGTAATTTTTCTCAATCGTGAGTTCTCGTCAAGCTACATCTCTACGAATTTTCGCGTCACTCACGCATAATTACAGTTGTTTCCCGCTAGCGTCCATACGTGTCGCATTTCAGTTGCGAGCAGTCGAAAACTGCGTATTGTACTGGAGCCACGAGCGCATATTCCTGGCAAACGGCTGGAACCATCGGGATTTATCTCACCGTTTTACTAATTTAGCTGTGCGCTTTTTTCCTACTGGCGCTGGCATTCTGTCAATCTATTTTTTATTACAGAAATCCAGCAAATATCCTCAAAGTTCAATTCTTGTTCGCCTCTTAACGCATCTCAAATTTCTCTTCAGGGCAGCAATTATTTGATTAGTTCTCCCCTGGGTCCTGCAACCGTGTGCACCAAGCATCATTCCGTGTTATTCCCTGCTCCGTGCAGCTACTCAGCACTTCAGGAGACGCATCCAGACCTGCTAGTGGTAGAGACGTGTTACACTCTAAGGTTGTTACCAAACACCAGCTGCTAAGCGACCGTAGCCTCGCTTTGTCTCGCATCACCATCGAACCTCCTTCGAGGCCTCGAGTGGCGCGTATAAAAGCGTGTCATTCGAGGGCCTATCGAACACCATTTGAACAACGAGCACGCTCGTGTCTGCAAGATCGAAATTTTAGGTCTTTTTCGCTCGGAAAATAGCCCATTATGCGCCAACCGCCCAAAAATGTCGTAATCGAAATCGAGTCCTCACCTGAACCACCTTCGCCCCCCATCCATCCTCGCTCTCTCCGGGCACGCTCACCCTCGAAGACCCCTGCACGATCTGTAGGCCATGCAGGCACAAGCGCGAAAGGCAAAGGCAAGGCACGAGCACCGTCTCGTACTGTCAAAGCCATGGGCCCAGTCATCGAGCTAACCGACTCCGATTCCGATGAAGTGGTTCCTGTTACACCAAAGCCTGCCCCTGGCCCTTCGAACCCCAAAACTCTTCGTCCAAACCCTGCCGGAACGTCCACGTCTCAGGAAAACATCGGCTCCGTCGCGCCGACGTCCAGCCGGCAGAAGAGAAAGCTTCCACTATTCCTGCAGTCGCAGAGCGATGAGGAGAACGAGCCGCCGATGTTCCGACTCGACATGTCGTCGAGCCTGGCTGGCCTCTCGAGTGGCGGAAGGTCGGCGAAGAGGGTCCATCGAAGCGAGAAAGAAAGGGAGGACAAAGGAAAGGGGAAGGCGACGGCGGTTGGGGTCGAGGATGGGCCTGTGGATCACGCGGCGCCAGCAGCAGCGGAAGGAGAAGATGCGGTCGATTGGGACGCGGATTTTTGGAACAAGCCTTTCCCTTTCATGATGGACGGGTACGGTCTGGCGGAGCCAGAACCCGTTCGCGATCCAACACCTCACCCTCAAGTTATTGAACCAATCCAACCTCCAGCCCCAGTCCGCGTTCCGCTACCACAGCCTCAAGCACCCCAGCCTCTTCAGCTTGTCGCGCAACCAGTGCCGGTGCCACCAGCCCCTGTCGCTGAACCTGTCCCAGAACCTTTCCCAGAACCCCCACCGGAACCGACTCTAGAAGACCTCGCCTCCCAAGTCGTCGCCCAAGTGCTCGAAATCATCCCAGACGTCGAACCTACTCACCTGCTCGAACTAGTCCGGCCTGAGGTGGAAGCATACGGTGTGCAGGGGTGCGTCGAGCGTGTCGTTGGTGCTCTGTTCGAGCAGGCTGGTGGTTACCCGAAGGTCGAGAAGAGCAAACCCGGGCAGCAAGCTGGTGAATCGAAGCAGAAGGACGGTGGGGGACAAGGCAGTAAGAACGGCAAGGAAAGGCAAAGGGACGAAGAACCAGAAGGCGCTGGAAGGGAAGCGAAAAGGGTCAAAGTTGACTATGCGAGCGTGGAGAGGGTTTTCGAGGGTGGTGTTAGGTACTTCGACGCAGCACTGGTGAGTTCTCCCCCTCATTTTGTCGATCTTTCTTTGTTCTCGTCGTGCTCTCTACCGAAATATCTTCGTATTGTTTTCAGTTCTCTGCACCTGCACCTTCTTCCCATCTCTAGACATGCATAACGCGTGTTTTCGTTACATCTATGCTCCCTTGTCTCTTCGTGTTGCGCTGTCATGTTTTATGTTGCTGCTTCGCCCAGGATCAACATAATTTTATTACTTTCTTTCATCGATGCAAATCCTGTTACCTTCCTTTGATTTCATTCATCCTTTGTTCTTCCAATGCAGGACGTGTCTTTAAACTCGAGAGGGCCACTCGTTCTCTGTTCAAAACTCCCACCTCCGTTCCTCTTCTTCCTCTTTTCTTCATATCTCTTTCACCACCGTTCATGTCTGGCGACGGTTCAGTGTTGGTGGTCGATATTCACTTAGGATGGACGTTGATCGTCCTCCTGCTTTCTGTCTTTCGCTTTTCTTTTTCTCGGATTGTGGTCGTTCGATCTGGAACGGCGGCCAATTTGTACCGCCACACTGAGACACGCGATGAGGTGCTGTTTTATTTCTTCCGTTTGACGTTGTCTCCGTAATTTGCTTTTTTCCGTTGTTTGATTCTTTACTCCCTGACGATTCATTCCCGTCCTTGTATAGATTGTTATAACCTTGTTCTGACCCGCCACCCCTCTTTCTAGACACAACTCCAAGCCGACTTTCCATTTATCCCCAAGCCTTACCTACGACGGCAGCTTCAAGCACAAAGATCCTTATATGCGCCGACGCACCTCAAAATCGCGGCGGAAGAACGCGAGTTAGCTGTTACAAGAGACCGTAGACCATACACACTCAAGGCAACCGCGTACAAGGCTCTGAAGGGCAAGGGTCGGGCTGTCGTCGACGAAGCATTCGAGAAAGAGAGGCGGTGGTTGGTGGCGCATTTGGAAGGGCGAGAAGCTGGCGATGAGGAGGGCGCAGCTGAACCGCAGGTTGAGGTAGCAGCGGATAAAGGGAAAGGCAAGGAGAAGGCCGCAGACGAAGAGCCACCCTTGGAGGAGGGCGAAGGTATTGAGTGTCAATGCTGCTTCTCCGAGTACCGTTTCGTGCGTTTCCTTTTTCCTCGCGTTCGTACCATATTCATCCGAATTACTGACTTTTTGTGGATCTCCAGGACAAAATGGTCCAATGCCCTGAAGCTCATCTTTTCTGCGACGACTGCGTCTCCCAGTACGCTGCCACCAAATTGGGCGAACACGATGTCAATGTCGTTTGTATGCATTCCTCCGGATGCGCTCAGCCCTTCCCAACCTCAGAGTTACGCCGCGTCCTCACCGAGACGCTCATGTCTTTGTACGAACGGATCAAGCAGCAGAAGGAGATTGAGGCTGCGGGTATCGAGGGGCTGGAAGAGTGCCCATTTTGCGAGTGGAAGTGTGTCATTGAGGCTTCCAGGGAGGAGGAAAAATTGTTTAGATGTGGGAATGAGGACGGAGGATGCGGTGTTGTTAGCTGTCGGGAATGCAAGAAGCCGGTAAGTTATCGATCGTCTCGTCCTTCAGTCCATTTTCGCTGAATTACGTTACTAACCCATTCCCCATCCAGGACCACTTACCGAAGAGCTGCAAAGGTTCGTCAATAGCTGATGGCTCTTGAAGTGTTCTTTGGCTAATATCCTCATAGAAGTCGAAGAAGACAAACACCTCGACGGTCGGCATGCGATTGAGGAGGCTATGAGTACGTCATCTTTTTCTTCGCTGATTCGAAGGCTCATCATCCATCTTCCAGCTCGCGCACTCATGCGCAATTGCCCCAAATGTAATAAAGGTACGTTGGTTGGTGTTCTTATGCGTTATGTGTTGACCTTACGGATACCGTCTAGCCTTTGTCAAGGATGCCGGCGTACGTCTTTAAATTTCTCCATTCACATCTTTTTTTTAATGCCGATTTCTGTGTGCTGGTGTCTAGTGCAACAAGATGACGTGCCCTCATTGCCGTACTCTGTCATGCTACGTCTGTCGGAAGGTCATCAACGGCTACGAACATTTCAACCAAGTAAGTCGTGCCTTACATACGCTCAACTTTGTTTTCTCATTATACTCTTCTTTAGAATCCTCCTGGCCGTCCGTCGACAAGTCAACAGAACGGGAAATGCCTGCTTTGGGACCAAGTTGAAGAACGACACGCCGCAGAGGTAAGCGTCTCTGCATATTTCTTTCGCTTGAGTTGTTGAACGTTTGCTGACTGAAACGATAAATAGGTGAAAGCTGCAGCTGAAAAGGCTCTCGCCGACTGGAAACGCGACCATCCTGACGTCGATGAAGAGAACGTGAAGGTCGATATTCCAAAAGCCGTTCCCCAACCAGCACCAGCACCCGCAGTTGCCATGCCAGGTGTTGTTGGGCTCCCTCACGGCTACCATATCGCCATTAATTTCGGTGCACATCCACATGCGGTCCCACCTAATGCTATCCAAATAGCGGCGAATAATGCCATGGCCCGGATGTATGGGGCTGCCCCTGCTCAACCTCCAGTTCCCGTAGTTCCTCCCGTTCCTGCTGCGAGACGTGGCCGGCGTCAAGCACCTCGCGCTGCCTTAGCTGCTGCACAAGAAGCCAACAGACAGTATCTCCTGAATCTCGAAGAGGCTGAGCGCCGTCGACAACGTGGTATTTTGGATCAGCAACGACAACAGCAACAACTCTTCGAAGCCGGCCAGCGCGCCATCCAACGTGCCCAAGAAGTCGCGGATGCGAACGCTCGATTCCAGCAACAAATCCTCGCCGAGCAGAACCGTCTCCGGCTCGAGGCTGAAAGACAGCAGCAGGAGCAACGTGAGCAGGAGCAGGCTCGAGAGCGGGAACGGGGGTATGCCTATCAAAGGCTAGTCGAAATTGCGAGGGCGGATGAAGCACGGAAGCGAGAGGCGGCTGCGAAGATAGAGGCGGCGAACAATCTGCAGCGCGACAGGGCTCGAATGTACGCTGACGCGATGAGACGCGACCAGGAGGCCAGGCAGCCGCAGCTTCAAGCCCTTGCCCAGAATCATGGATACCTCCATGCACCAGTCCCGCAAGCCAACGTCAACTTTGGTGTCGGTGTTGGTGTTGGGCAAGCGGGGGCCGCAGCTGCTCCGTTTCATGCTGTTGCTGCACCAGCCGTGAGGACGAGGGCGCAAGCTCAGGCCAACGCCGGCGCTCAGGCTTTCCAGCTGCCGGCCCAAATGACGAGGGCAAAGGCTGCTGCTGTTGTTCCGCCTCCTGCCACACAGAATCCCTTCGTTGTCGCGGCGCCTCCAGCGCCTCAGGCTGGTCCAGCTCGTGCTAAGACAAACCGCAGGCAAGCGCGGTAATGATTGTATTTTTTCTCGACTTTCTATTTATTTCATTCATGGATTCGTTCGATCATCTCTCGTTATCTTCGCATTCATTTCCCAATGCTGCCTTGCATGTGTACCGTTTTCTCCCTCTACTTAAAATTCGGCATGCACATTCCATTGCCCTGTTACCCTATGTTCTCTATGCAATTACCTCACGTACTCTACTTGCATTCGCATATTATTCTTGGGATCATACTTCATTTGTCGACTACTATGCCTTACTTCACGCATAACCAGAAACCCTACCTTACCTTCCATTGTTTGATACGTACACACCATTTCGATTTGTCGTAGCCCCTATTACTCGACCTTCGCTAGTGCATTTAGTGGTGCTGGCCCACGACCTCCGTAATCGCCAGCAGTTGTCTTTGTGATCACAGAAGGTAAGTCTCCTAATCAAACAATCGCCTTTGAGCTTGACAACAGATACTGACTATTCGTGGAAGAAGGGCCCACGAGGACTATTGTTAACGTCAAAGGCATCTATAGACGAGGCCTGTCAAGATGACATTCGTCGCTGGTCCAAGGTCGTTCCGGGAGTATATATTCGAGCTGAAGAAGTGGACTCTGCTCAGGCCATCCTTTCTTCTTCATTTACCACTTTCGCCTCACGGTCGACGACCTCAATACTGGACATTCGAGGATTGGCACTAATTATGCCCTGTACCCCTATTCCATACGATGCTTTCGCGCATGCTCCATCCAACACCTATATCACGATAGAGGGAAAGAGGATACCGATGGAAGCCCTGTGGGATCGACATGCCACCTCCAACACCGAAGACGACGGTCCCGAAGACGACGATCTTGAAGATGATTCGGAGAGAAAAGCAGACGCTGCCGGCGAAACGCAGCCCGTTGATTCTCGCCCCGCCATAATGGACGCCGATGGACCATACTTTGACCAAGCACCCGAAAAGCACGCCGTGAGCACCTCTTGCACCTGCAAATTCGACCGAACCTGTGCCAGGTGCATTCGCCTTGCCCAATCCCGCCACGAAGACGATGCACATCCGCAGTGCATCAGGGAGGAAATGAAGAAGAATGACGAACGATTCAGGCGGATTGGAGCGAACCTCTATCCCGATTACTCTCCGTACATCAAACTAACCGCAGAAGCAAAACTCGTTCGACGAACGGAGGAAAAAGGAGGGCAGAGGTCGGGTCCGAGGGGTAAGGACTCGTAGTTTTGCTGGGGCAATAGATGGGCTTCATGACGAAGCTCCTTATTGTTGTAGTGGTCTCGACAGGCGACAGCGGGGTCTCAAGATCTCAACAAGTAATTGTGATGTCTTATCGTTCCTTCAAGTTCTGACGCATTTCATCTGTACCATATGAACGACTACCAAACGTAGACTATAACAAGATATGAAATCTTACTTTGGGCTCAATACTTATATGCTTTAGGATCTTGAAGGATGACCGCAGGTGCCATGGATCCATTTCGCACATCATCAAAACGTTTGCAGAAAGATACGCATAGCAATCTGTTGAGACAGTCTTCTTGGAAGTTGTGCGCCAGCGATTCGCCCTCGCTTATGGCAGGACTCAGTGATGAAGGTTTCCAAAGGAGGAAAGATTTTCCCCGTAAGTTGGCAACGCGGAAATAGTACCTTTCTTTCCACTTCGACTTTCTCCTTGTCTACATACATCTTCCGAACAGTTCCGAACTTCCCTGCTATCCCAGATTCAAGGTTTGGTGTACCTCTTTCGTAATGCATTTCGGCACCGATCATTCTGCCTGCTCTCGATAATCCTAACGTAACACGAATCGTCGTTCCTCCATCTCCCCTTGATTCGGTCCGAATTTCGAACTCTCATGCACACAGAGTACGTCAAACACCTGCCCACTGCGGTGCCTAGCGGATTTTTTCTTCTGTCTGGTCCCTCACACTAGGCAAATTTGGCTCTCACCACCAGTTTAACTTTGTATCAGGGCCTGCTAATTTCGGGGTACCTTTGGATGGCGCGGGCCATTTCCGCCACATATCCGACAACAGAAAAGCGGCTACAACCAGAAGATTTCAACGTTAGCTCGAATTCAGGTGCCTTGATGGTAAGTGACGCCTATAGTTCGCGTAGTCCGGAACGCCTCTCACCGAGAATATTGGATGACTAGCGAGTGGTAAACCTCAAGTCGGCACACCTTTCTTCGCAGTGACCACCAAAGGGCGCGGAGGTTGGTTTTCTCCTGGCATGGATTCACACACCTTTCCAGCGTAGATGCGCTCAACCTCCGAACAGACACCCAGCCGGATTAATCCATTCGCCGCTTAGAGAAGAGCGGGGGCAGAGCCAGCCGAGGGTTCTCTCATGTTGCTTCTCTCCACTAATATTTGGAATGGGTCCACAACTATTTACGCTGCTTTCCAGTGCGACAATCCCGGAAAGAAATGAGATAACCTTATCATGCTTCGAATCCAACGGTCCGCGGATGTTGGCCCGATAGCAACGGCCCGATGTATGTCGAATCTTATTCCATTGTTAACAAAACTTCAACGAAAATAGGTCGGCTGGACGAATGTTTGAATATAGGTATTTATGGGGATAAGCTTTCGCTTGTTTCCTCCAGGAATATCTCTGATTTACAGTGCGTGTCTCCATTAGAATTCCTCCTTTTTTGATGGCTTCTCCCAGAAATCTAGATTGTTGCAGGACACGAAACACTTCGTAGGCTGGAAGCAACCTCGAGAAGAGGTTCTGAGTCTTTTCTCCGAGAATTCTCCTGAACACCACGAAGAACGTGTCGAATTCCGTCACAGATAGAATTTTAGGCGGCCAAACGGTGCTCAACAGTACCCGACCCGGCATTAACCCTATTTACAGATTCGGAAGTTATTCCCTTGGGAAATGTGGCGCGACGCGTACGGAAGACCTACCCAAAATAGACCGGATCGGCAGCGAACCTTCCCAAGGAGTCTTTGAAGATTGGCCCACAACACCATTCGGACGATGTGTTCGGATAAAGCGCTTCCTAGGATGCGCATTCTCATCACCGCAGGGCCATACTAAGACCGGCACAAGGGCATCGGCACGTTGGAACTGGGGGCGCTGCAGGTCAGTATCCCATTGCTTCTGTTGAAGGAAAGAATTGATTCGAAGCCTGTTGGTCTCTCGGTCGAAGGACGAAGCCGACTAACGTGAATGGTAGCTCGTCGATGCACGTACCTTGCTTCCATCACTTCTTTAGACAGTCTTCCTAACGAGACGATGACGGGAAGATTTTTACGGTGCACGTATAAAAGCCAAATTCACTACTCCAGAACATACCATACCTTTATTCCTCTCAGTCAATGCTTAGTCTCATTGAGCTGCCTTATCTCCCGGTAACTCGCACTCTCAGTTTCTCTGTTGCCCAACGCTACCCTACCGGAAGAGAGAACTACTCTAGCAAAATGACCAAGGTATTTGACTCGCTACCTTAAGCACCCCAACGTAGCTGACCCTAGCTTCCAGAACGTGGAAGCTCAATTCTCTCCGACCTCACCTGACGACATCCGCGACGTCCTCGGTAAATTCTTCGATCGCTGCAAAATTCCTTATGACGAGCTACCCTACGACGTCGACTTGCACAACCTCTGCATTGAGGAGGCGCATAAATTCGGATATCCGGTCGACCCCTCTTCCGACGTTCCGTCGATCTTGAAGGCGCTTCCAGCAGGTGTAGCGATCGCCGCGACAGCCTACGCTCACCTCCACAACCGCGACATCCAAGTCTTCATCGCGCTTTTTACCGGCTTCCTCGTTTACCTCGATGATTGCGTCACTCACAGCGTCAGCGGGGTCGACATGTTCGTTGAACGTTATATATCAGGGCAGCCGCAGGAGAATGACGTCCTGGAGTCGCTTGCGTTCTTCCTTCGTGGGACGTACGTCCATTACACTGGGATCCAGGCTAATATCATCATGACTTCGACGTTGAACTTCATCACGTCGGTCGTCTTGGAGAATAAGACTCAGACCATGCAGGTGCGTCGAGATTTGAGATCTCCGGACCGTTTAATTGCTTACCGGAACTCCTCAGCCATCTCCAGACGCCCATGGATATCCCACATTTGCTCGATATCTATCTGGAGTCAGCGAGGCTTACGCGTTCTTTGCCTTCCTACCCGGCACCCCTCTAAGGGATTACATTCAAGTAAGTCGTCGTCCGGACACTCTTTCAAGGAGGCTCTAACCAGCCTATTTCTGATAGGCCCTCCCCGAGATGTCAATGTTCATCAATTGCACCAAGTAGGCTAATTTACCTTTCACGAGACGCTATACTGAGAAAACCTTCTGTTCAGCGACATTCTCTCGTTTTACAAAGAGGAGAGGGACGGCGAATCGTTCAACTACATCTCGATTCAAGCTGGCTTCCGTGGCAAATCCAAACTCGAGGTCTTCAAAGCTCTAGCGGATGATGTGGCGACTTGTTTGGAACACATCATGCGAATCATTGATACAAACGAAGACGCCAAGGCAGCTTTTGGCGCCTTCGCCCAGGGATATGTCTACTTCCACACCTCGCTACAAAGGCGCTACCACTTGGATGAATTATTTTCTGTCTGAAGAATTATATTATTAGCTACTTGATCACAGAAACATGTAGGATCAAATCGAGATCAAATAAAATCAATGTGTATGGGCAGCCAGAATTCAGCGTGAGCTGAGGCGACAGGCGAGACTGAACAAACTACTTACGCCAGACTATAACCTCGCTTGTACCTACTTACCAACCTCTCTCTTTCTCGCTTCGCCTGAGGCCCCACAACGAGTCGTGACCAGACCGGTTGTGGTGGAACTGGGGAAACCACTTCCACCACGCCCGAGTTCCACCAATCTGAGATGACTTCACCAAGCTGATCACGTGAGAGACGCATCTGGTGTTTATGCCACAGTACTCAATGCCCCTTGCTTTTAAATAATTTTCCCATGAGGCCTGGTACCACTGTGGCTAAGTTCTTTATTTTTCATAAAATTTTGACCGCTGTAACACTTTTGGAACTTCATTTTAAGTCCTTGATCTACTTTTCCTGGTCCAGCACTTAAGTAGAGTCATTACATGAATTATATAAGCACATTTATCAATAGCTACAGACAGCCATCGAAATCGAAGTCTATGTTTGAGTTCAAGAAGGCATACGAAGGCTCCAATTCCAGATTCAAGGGCGTGAGATATCCCCAAGAGCGTTCCGGTGATAGGAAGGAGGGTTGCAGGCTACTCGGGGGAATATTCTCCTCGTTGTGGTGTCCAGAGAAGAAACTCCGTCACCTTGCCCTCTATGAGAGGAGTATTTCTCATCATCCAAGCCAGGAAGGACCAACACAGGGGGTGTGAAATCACTGTCCTCGCCCTCACTGGAGGATGCAACATTGCTGTCATCGGGAAGCCGGACCTTTCCTCGTGACCCGCGTTTATTAGGTGATTTCTTTACACCTTTCTCGGTCTGAAGGGTCTTCTTTTTCTCGTGAAGCTCTTTAATCTGATCACGGCCGTCCTTCTGCGCTTGCGTTCGATCTTTCAGAGCCTGTGTCAGCGTATCAATCTCGTCGTCAATTTCCTGTAGTTCGTTCCTGGCATCTTGACGACTGGCAGCTAATCGAGCCCTTCCTAGCTGTCGCTTACGGTTGGCCCGATCGCATTCGAGCTGAGTGCTGTATGGATTAGCGATCACACAATTCTATATACTCCGCCACAACTCAGGACAATTTTGTTGCGGTTCTGCGCCACAATCCCCAACCAATGACACTGCCAGACAGGGGTGCTGCGTATCTCGGCACTGATGGCTCAGCAGTTTCCGGATCGGCCATCGAACGGCACAATCGTCGATAATCGTGAGCGCACATTTCGCTTTCTCCTATGACGGACCCCTAGCTCAGTGGTAGAGCGTGAGATTCCAGCGCAGCGCGGGAAGCTACTGCCTCCCCGCAGTGGCCTCCCGCGCTACAGTTTCCTCAAGGTCATCCGTTCAATCCGGGTGGGGTTCAAGTTTTTTGCAGAGTATGTCCTCATTTGTACATGGGTCTTTTTAAATCTTTCTACAGCTCATAGAGCGTTTGAGGCCTTCAAGGAGGGAATGAAACTCTTTACGCCACAGCCCACAATGGGGAGAACGAGGGGTAGTACTTGTACTTACCCATCCATATGAAGAAGTCCAAGGCACACTGACGGTGACAAATCTCGACGTTTGCTCGGGGGATTTGTTGAAGTCGTCAGTTTTTTTGAGACGTCTCGCGAGTTCTGACTTCTCAATGCCTTCTCCTCTATCGGTGAGTTGCTTCAGCACCATTTGCCCTCCGAATTCTGCTAGCTCACCTCTATTTTCATCACGAAAGACCTGGCAAGCTCTCCGCTACCGCCAACAAGCACCATCTCGATTCTGGACCATGGCGCCACATAGTTATACTGTCTTCTCTCAGCACAAAATCGACCCCGACGAGTCGCCTGCTTTCCAACTACGCCGCTATAAATAGCCTGCCTCGCATGTCGACTATGAATAGCCTTCATGCACCATAAGCTCAGCCGGCGACGAAGGAGCAGCGCCGAATACGACATCGCAGATAAGGATGGCGCTAGCAATCCCAGGCCGTGCCCCAGGCTACTTAAAGCCCACAGGCCGTCAAGAAGTGCCACGTCCTTCTCCACTGTCGACCGCTGGTGTATCCCTCAATCATGGCTATGGGCGTGGATACGAAAGGGGAGGGCTATTTGGAGAAAGTAGACGAAGCGAGCGTGGGGAATGGCAGCGAGTCAGAGGCAGATAACGTGCACCCTGGTGAATTATCATTCGAGGAGGGTATGTGACTGAGTCTTGCGGACCTACCACTGGACGTACTCACTCTCGTCTTTAGATGCAGCTGGCGGAATGGGGCGCCATCTTGGGGTATTCAGTTGTACCATGCTTATGTGTGTAGTTTTTCATTGTCATGACCATGAATTCTTTATCTTACATCCGTTTTCCAGCGTCGGCCGTATAATCGGGACGGGCATCTTCTCTACACCCTCCTCCATCCTCAACTCCGTAGGCTCGGTCGGAGCCTCCCTCATGCTCTGGGTATTGGGTTTCGTACTGTCTTTCTGCGGTCTCTTCGTGTGGCTCGAGTATGGGACCATGTTCCCTCGTTCTGGAGGAGAGAAAGTCTACTTGGAGGCGGTCTACAAGAAGCCCAAGTTCCTTGCGACTGTCATCTTCGCGATGAACGCGATTTTATTGGGATTTACGGCCTCTGGGTGCATCGTGAGTGATATAACGATTCTCTGGTTTCAATACTAAAATATGTTTCCCAAGGTCTTCGCCAACAAGTTAGTTCTATTCAATCAAAGTTGGTTCAAAAGGTTTAATATCTATATAGCATCCTCATAGCGGCCGGACACGCCGCGCAACGGTGGGTCGTACGCGGAATCGCCCTCGGCGGTATGTCAAGTTCGCCTTTCAGCTCTATTGAATCTCGCTTATTCCCCTACTTAGTGATATTCTTCGTCACTGCCCTTCACGGCCTGACGCCAAAGCTAGGCATCGCCCTCATGAACGTGAGTTGGATTCGAAGCTGGGCAGGAAACCCGTTAAGATTAATGCATGTTCCGGCGCTCGTAGGCTCTCAGTATGTTCAAAATCATCATCCTCCTATTCGTCGTAGTCACAGGCTGGGTCGTCCTCTCCGGAAAGACCCATATCACCGACCCGCACGCGAACTTCCGCGATGCCTTTGCTGGAAGCTCGCATAGCAGCAACGATGTGCGTTTCGTCCTCTTCTCTAGTGTCCCTGGCATCAAGGATTTCAACCTAAATTCTCTTAAATTAGTACGCCACGGCAACGTTCAAAGTCCTGAACGCCTACGCCGGGTGGTCGAATGTCAACTATGTCTTGAACGAAGTGAAGAACCCCGTGCGCACGCTAAAGATCGCGGGCCCGCTCGGGTTGGGAATCTGTGCGGTCCTGTATCTTCTGGCCAATGTCGCATATTTTGCGTGAGTTCCTCGTTCTCTCCTCCCACTGTCTTTCTTCCTTCCTTGTACTGACCCGATTTATGAGGACAGGGCGGCGACGAAGGCAGAGATACGAAAGTCAGGAGTGACAGTTGCCTCGTTGTTCTTTGGAAAGGTGTTCGGTGCAGAAGCACAGAGGGCTCTGTCGGTCATCGTTGCCTTGAGGTACGTGCTCCACGAATTAGTGTTTGAATTATGATACATACGCACCTCATTCAGCGCTCTCGGAAATGTCATCACGGTTGTACGTCCTTTCGTTACATCTAGGGTCCTTCGGTCATCAGATTGGAGATATTTCGTCAGACCTACGCTGCCTCGAGAGTCAATCAAGGTATGCACTTCTCGAATCAATCAGCTGCCCTTGTTGACCGAATCTCCATCTTCATCTTCACTAGAACTCGCCAAAGAAGGCGTCCCACTTCCATTCGGCAACCGTTTCTGGGCATCGAACTGGCCGACGGGTAAGTCGCCTCTTCCTGGACTCATCGTGCATTTGATCCCATCGGTACGTCTCACAAATACTTCAGCAGTAGTTGAAATTAGTGCTGATATTTTAGCAGGTCATCGTCATCCTCGCTCCGCCTCCGCAAGTCGCGTACCCCTTTATCCTTGACGTGGAGGGGTACCCACAACAGATTATCAATTTGTTCATCATCTTGGTAAGTTAATTTGACGCGTCGACCGAGATAGCTGATTCTTATGATCGCCAGGGGTTATTTTGGCTGAAGTGGAAGAAACCCAACGCTCATCGACCATTCAAGAGTGCGTTCTTAACTCGAAGGATCTAATCTTCTTTCGCTGAAATATTGCATTGCATCAGTTTGGCTTCCTCTAGCCGTGTTCTTTTTGGCCGCCGCCGTCTTTCGTAAGCTCTCGTCCGAATCCTATCGGCCCCATCGCTCACGCAATCTACGCTAGTTATCATCGCACCGTTCCTCCACCCAGCGAACAAAGTCGGTGATACGCCACCATTACCCTACTACTTGTAAGCGTGTTCCCATTTCTCTTCGACGTGGCGTTTATTTTGCCTAGATATTGCCTCGTCGGTATCGCCATCATGCTGTTCGGCGTTCTATACTGGGCTATATGGCGTATCGTGCTACCCAAATTGTTCAAGTACGAGCTCGTGCCGAGGAAGGTGGTGTTGGAGGATGGGACTGTCGCCAATGTGGTACGTTAATTATTTTCTTGGTCGAAGGCGATGATGACGAATTCTATATTGTCTAGTTTTCGAGGAAGAAAATCGAGTAGTGACCAGGGGTCTCCACGGTCCGGTTAGCCGAGAAGGCGCCTAATCTGACCCTCCGATATGCAACACGACTAGCAGCAACTCGTAACAATTTCGATACATATAGTTTCAGGTATCGAACGAGACATGGTCAGAATTTACTACGAATTCGAATGCTTGCTCGACTCAGCATTAGTCGCGCTTCTCCCGGGGTGGGATTGCCCAGAAGACAAGAGCCGACAGGCACGCCAGAACGACCTAGAGCAAACCCAAAGCCATGAATTCGTCAGAAGAATGTTGAGCTAAAGCAAACTACATACTATGACGGGCGGAAGGACCTGCAATCCCGGGACAATTTTTCCGGCAGCCACGCCAAAAATCAGTGGACCAAGTGTAGCTCCAATGACACCGCTTCCTGCAGACAAGCTTTACTCATTGTTGTTCAGAAATAAACAAGAGCTTACCGATGGTAATTGAGACGGCCGCATTTTTAAGACTCGGAGGAACGCGGACAGCCACAATGGAGAGAATTGTAGGGGTGTTCGGGCTGGGATCATGAGTTGTTCGAGGATTTGGAGGCAGGATAAAGCCCACGACGTACCCGATGAAGAACCCGGCAAGGGCAATCACGACCCAGTCCAACGCCATCGTATTTACCACCCATAGAACGGAAATGGCTCCACAGAGCAATACAAGCAACACCGTGTTTCCAATCCTTTCACGGACATGGACGTACGGGAGAGAGAAGAAGAGGCGGCCTGCCGTCAGCCCTGAAGCTTGAAGCCGTACGTCAGCCGACGAGCATCAAAACGAGTAATATGATTCGTACCCGCCCAGAGCATTGATAACTGGTACCGTGAGGCATCTGGTTCAGAGCCCTTAACTTCGATGAGATAAGAAGTCAACCACTGAAGTCAGAGGAATTAACATGGTAAAAAAATGCCAAACCTGGGAAGACACTTACGTTGCTGAGAGTATCAACAATCGCAAATCCTAGATTAACCAAAGCAATTCCAACCCTGAATATGGGAGACGAATCTCCGTGAATTAACTGAAACAAAGCATCCGGAATTTACTCACCAGAATATCCTCTTTCTTGAAATTTGGTGGAGTCTCGCACGCATGGTGGAGCGCTGATGGACTTCTTCGGACGGTAGTTCGTAGTTCTTGAAGACCATGAAGTGGAAGCCAATCATGACAACTTCAAGACTGAACGGGAACCAGTAATAATGCTGAGTGAGGAGTATTCAGTACGTCTACTTCAGGCGTGGTTTGATTCCCCTTCACTCACATTCCATGGGATACCGGCCTTAGCTAATCATCCAATAAGGAATGGAGATGATAACTATAGTAGACCGTTAGAATCGCTGGAAATAACCTCTTGAATTTTCTTACAGCTCCGACCTGAGACCGGTCAGTGATGTTTAGATTCGGTGACGTTGTCAGGGACTTACCCCAAAAAATGCGTAAAGGGTATTCATGGAACGCTTATCTTCGAACTTTAGCTACCTGGTTAGAGCATCTAGACACGCGATCCACGAAAGGACTTACATGCGCGACGACACTAGCCAGACAGGCATCACAAAAGCCTCCTCCGATACCAATGAATGCCAGCCCAGCCATTACCAACGGGAATGGGGGAGCAAAGGCAATCAATAGAGACCCGCCAGCATAGAATACGCCTGCAATCTGAGAACAAAGTCGGATTCATGAACAAAATCTTCGTTAAGAGACGTACCAAGAGGACCCAGCATGTTCCTATCCTGTTCTGAAGGACCGGATTAAGCATGCAGGAGACTAGGTATCTAAATGATATTCCAAAGAGGAATGTTAGCCAATCATTTAAAATGGCAATTTAAAGCGCGATGTAGAAGCTTACCCGCTGAATCCTGCCAAGAAAACCAGAGAAACGACTTCGTATGTTAAATTGTACTGCTTCTGGATTGACGGAAGGATGGCTCCTGTTGCGGTGTCATTTAATAGGGGGAGTCAGAGTGCCCGATTCTGGGACGGTTCTGGAAAACGATTTTGACCAGAATCGTTTGCCCCAGAAACGTGTGAAAACCGTGAATCGTCCCGAATCGCAAAGCGCCTCTGGAGCCGCTTTTGCAGTCGAGAATCGGCGATTCTGGTTCTGTGTACTCGCCTCCCCCTTCTTAAATATGCAGATTAATTCATTAAAATATATTTGCCCCTTCTTCCCGTCGGTCTGGAGGTTTGGTAAATCATTTTTTGTGATGGTGAATACGATCTGAACGCTCTTTCATCATCTCGCTCCCTTTTTCGGTGCAATTGATACAAAACTTGACAACGCGGCGGGGGGAAAATGCCAAAAAAATATAGGAGCCCCAGGCAGTTGAATTATCCGTGAATCGCAGCTTCTATACTCAGGATTCTACAAAGGGCTGCTTATATCAAGGGCAGACAGCACCGAAACGGACAAGACGATGGAAATCGCACGAAAACACGAGTTTCCGGAATCGGGGTGGTCAGAGTCTTCCGCCGGTTCTGGTCCGATTCTTGGCGAAAACCGAATTTTAAATCGTGTCAAAACCGTCATCAGAATCGCCCCAGAATCATCGAAAATCGCCCACTCTGACTCCCCCTATTGAGACCCACTGCGAAAACTCCTATGCAAGACTACTTTCAAAAAAGATGAGATCCCGAGTCTCCCCTAAAGGCTTCATTTACGGGTACTCACCGCGACTAAGTGAAGGAGTTTTTCTTCAATAAAGATATTTCCAATGCGCACTCCAGCGTTCGAAGAACGAAGTTCAGTAGTATTCTCTATTTGAACGGATGGTGCTATGCTGGCAAGGGGGCTACGAGGTACCGTCAAGATCTCGTCCTCATCTACCTGATCAGCTTTCTTGCTGTGTTCGAAATTTTGACCGCGTTCGAGGGCAGGGAGTTCGTCGAGTTCAATTGCAATTATAGCAGTTTGGGTCATCGAAGAGTCTTTCGATGGTGGTTTGCTTGTTGAAGAATGACCGAAACTGGGCCAGGAAGATATACTTCCTTATCCTCGAGAAATGACTCGATCGCAGAACACTGATTTGTAATGCCCAACTAGCCAAGCCAGGGCGGGAAAGAACACTGACCTCATGCGCCCCCAACATCGGGACGACTTCTCCGATAGGCCGTTTGATGTAAAACAAAATAGTTCAAGTAGAAATCGTTGAGGAAATAAGCTTCAAAACGCACCGCACGTCGCATCAAATTTGGGATGAGGCAGGATCACATCGAGACGCGTACTGCCAGGTTGCTCATTTGAATTTTGACCTTACATGATAGCAGGAAGACCGACCTTAACACGAGGTTCTCGAGCTCGTAAAAACCTAGGTGACAACTGCCTTCGTGTACCTATGCCTGGGTTGGGAGAGGAGACAGATTGGAGACAGACACCAGAAATTTAAAGGGGCGACGTTTGTTTTCCGGACCGGTTCCCGGCTATGCGCACGCTGATTCGTTAGCGCACTCTTTCGTGACTTCGACTCGGACACATTACCAACATCCTCGACTCTGCTGCGAGACATACACACTCATAACTCGCTATCCTCGTCTTTGTTGTTGGAAATGCGACTCTTGGGGTGATAATTTCGCAGTACATACTCGACTAAATGGTACTCGGGAGGCCTAAGGCTAGGGTTGACTCTCGCCTTGGATACGCTGGTGTTGAGGTAAGTATCTGTATTTGGATTTTGTAGGCCGATCGCTTGTCTCAATGATTCCTTTTCTTAGTTGTACCATGTATTTCAGTGTTCCTGAAGAAAATTCTCCCTCTCTCGAGGCGTCATTGCGAAAATAACTGAAGCCGTGACAATCTCGAGTGGCTATTATCGCCCACTTTCTCGTGCTCGACGGCGGTGTGGGGATTTGTTCGACTGGGCGTATACCTCAGACGTAAACGAAGACTTCCAGGCAGAAACATAAGGAACCGACATGGCGGGTGAAATCCACGAAATGGGACATGAGTTCAGGACCCGGTCCTCGCGAACCGTCCATCGGACACTGCCGGCTTTACCTTCAACCCTCAAATTACAAATCGACGACAGATCATCGAGTCGAGTCACTTCGAAGAGACAACACTAGAGCATCCTCAACCTTCAGCTTCAACCTTCAATCTCCTTGCCAGTCCATCTCACTCAGCACCACTCTCCTCCACATGAGTCAAATCGCCGTCTCCCAAATCGAACTGGACGAACTACCGGCGTTGGAGCGAGGCAGGCGGTCATTCGAGCAGATCAACGACACCGCGTCGCACAAGGCAGACGTCGCCACGCAGAATGAGATCTTCACCGAAACTCGAAGCGCACGGTCTCGCATTTTTGTGGATGCGATTTCCGTCGAACGTGCTGCAGAGCCCCAGGCACGAAGGCTTGGCCTGCGGATCGGGAGTGTCTATATTGAGGAGGAGATTTTGTATTTGCTTGGGGTAAGTCGCGGAATCCGTTGCAGCGCGATAGAAAGCCAACTTAACTGCCATTGCTACTATAGTCGTGCATGGGTTTTTTCGCCGCCGGCCTCAGCGACACTGCCACCGGAGCGAACCTGCCGTCTATTCAGAGGCATTACGATCTCTCCTACGAGGTCGTCTCTCTCGTCTTTCTCGCGGGGTTCGGGGGATACCTAACCGCGTGCATGCTCAATTCGGTGCTTCAGAACGCCATTGGAACGCGGTGGGTGCTCTTGGTGATTCTCGTTCTTTACCGAGAGTTTAGATGTTCCTCTGACGCTTTCCTCATGCTATACAGACGGCAGGGGTATTGTACGCTGGCGGATCCTTGTTGATCGCCTTCGCTCCTCCATTTCCCCTCGTCATGGTCGCCCTCACCGTCATGGGTTTCGGAAACGGTTTTTACGAAGCCTGTCTCACAAGTGTCGTTGCGCATGTGTGTTGGCCAGCTAGATGTCCTATAAACTGAGTTGAACCGTCGTCTTACAGTTTGAAAACAGCAGATTTATGAATATTGTATACTCGTTTTTTGGGGTAAGTTTTTCAGTCCTTGTTCCTTGCCTGGATTGTCAGTTGACTTACGCATCGCTTGCAGGTCGGTGCGGTAGGCTCCTCGATATTCCTAGTTTCGACACTGTGTATCTAAGTGATGGCTGCAGCTCTCCGCCCCGTTTATTATTGGAGCATTCGCCAAAGCTGCTATTCCATGGAATGTGAGTCTGAACGTCTATGTTCCCCTCCTAAGATATTGAATCACTTTGACCATAGCTTTACTACTGGTTTCCCGTTTCTTTGGGAGCAATCATCATGGCCACCCATTTTGTGCTCTTCAGGCAATATGTCATCCCTACAGAGGCAGAGACCGAACACCACACCATTCGTGCAAGGTTTACTCAGTTGACGCGAATGAGGATCACCTGGTGAGTGAGATTTCCCTGCGATATCACTGGTGACGCGAGATTATTGAAACGGACGCGAGGGTTGGGATGGTCTTGATTATCCTTGGCTTTGCTATCACCCTCACGCTCAGCAATGTAGGCCGTACCATTTGCATGAGCCCCTTATTGCCCTAATGCCTTCCATTTTTAGTGGTTGACCTCATATCTCATCGAGGTCAAGGGCGCTGGGGCTGATATCTCCCGCTATCAGTTATCCATGCTTTGGGCAGGTAAAGATGCTTGCCTCGGTCTTAAAGCAATGTAACTCATGTCGCACCTTAGGGATAACCGCCGGCCGAATGTTCTTTTCGTTGCCATACATTCATGTCCGGGATAGGCTCGGGAATACGCTGTTGCTTGCACTCCTCTGTGGTGCGATTACCGCCCTTTGGGCGACAAAGGCAAATGCTTCGAACTGGGTCGTCATTGGTGCTGCGGGATTCTTCCTGGGGTATGTTCGTCCTATCTCAAACCTCAGGCCGTTATCAATGACATCGATGTATGTGAAGCCCAAACACCCCTGCTATTCTCTCTATTGTCTCCATTCGTGTACCCCCTCGGCTGAAAGGAGCTGCCGTTTCGATAACTATCGGTACGAGCTTCTTTCTTTCTCGATCTATACTAAGTCCTTAATACCTTTTGGCAGGATCCGGCCTCATTGGCGCAGCTCTTGGACCATTACTTTTCGGAGTGGCTGTTGGCAAGATCGTTCCGGGGCTGGAGGTGCTTCCGCCTGTCATAGTAAGTCGGACGAAGAGATGGCCTCTAGATAAACGTTGCTCATGCACCGCGTAGATTGTTCTTTCCACGTTATCCGCCCTCACCTTCTGGGCAATTCCGCCTCGTGAAAAACGGGATTAGAGTTTAAGTCAGCTATGAAAAGATCTACTCGCGGTGTCGATCCTCAGTACAGACGACAGACAACGGTAGAAAGAACACAGGATGGCTATTTGTCCGAACTGACACGATTACATAAATAAGTAAGATGATTTCCATTATATGCGTTGAGTTCTTCTCCATATAAGGATCCTGTATTGTCAAATGTTCGCCAAGCAGAACGCGAGAGCGAATTCCCTCTTAAGTAGGTTCTCCATCTTCAAGTCATGCGTGGGTGACCAAGGGGTCAATCAGACTCTCTGAGAAATGTATAATAAAATGAATTGAAAGGACGACAAGAATCAATAAGAATCTCAAGAAATGTGTACTAAGCAGCTGCTGGGGCGACATCGGATTTCAGGGTCTGTTGGCCAGGATGAAGGCCGCGTGGCCTTTCCTTGATTGTCGCCATAAATCTTTCAAATGTAAGGCGTCCATAACACGTTTCGTAGTCGTAAGTCTTCAGCTCGGGATGGTCCGGTTCACTGGGGACGTCGTGTAGCGCCGCACGGAACATGTACCAGAGCGGGACAACCCATTTCTTCCACAAGTCCTTGAAGTCGGGCTGAACAAGGGCGCCAATGTCACTGAACTTCTGGTCGTAAAAGCAAGCCTTCTCTGAGTATGCGCTCGAGTTCCTGTTCCATCCCCTCATGATTTCCGGGGTTGCTCTTCGGATGGATTTCCCTCGGCGGTCTTTCTTGAATGTGTAGTGAACCGCAGCCCAAACGAGGATGTAGAAGAAGGATTCGAGGTCGTGGCGGTAATAATGTATCGGGGATGGAAGAGAAAGACTTCGTCCTTTTGCAAGTTCTTTGGCCATGAAAGGAAGGGTGCCAGTTCGATGATCAGCCGAGCTTGCAGGAACCTTGCCATCTTCGCCGACTTCGGAGGCCAAGTCGAAGTCATTGAGGACGCCCCATATTGAGTCAACTGGAGTGGGCGGAGTGGTCGACTCGTCAGGGTTCTGGGTTTGTCGCTCCGGTCGTTCGAACATCAAATTATTTTCGCTGATATCACGATGAAGGACGCGTCCGGTTTTGTAAGTGTGATAGTGGCCTAGAACGGGAGTGAGTTACATGCTCAAACATTGAGAATAGTAGCTCTTACATTCAAGGCAATCGAGGAAGATTTGCTTGAACTCTTCAACGCTTGCTGCCTCGTAGAGCCTTCCGTATAACTTGGTGACAAGAGCGTGCAGGGAGCGATCTAGAATGGGCTTCTCCGGGTTCGGCTCCTTCAACACGTCCTTCAGCTTGGTGCGGGGCAATTCTAGCTTTTCCGAAGTGTACACCGCGTTGAAGTACGTCTGTGGAAGATGCTTATGCCAGTATTCAGGAAGACGACTGCGAGCGCGGTCGAGAATATCGGCTTCGTGTGTGCGGAAGGGATACTGCCAGCTCAATTTGAGGACACGGGGAACATTGGAAAGGACGGCGCCGATCTGGGCGAGCACGCCAGCAGCGACGTAGGTGCCGCGGCCGACAATAGCTCTGTAGGTATAAAGCACTTTGTTGACAACGAAGATGATCTCCTCGAACGATTCTCGACCACCTTCTGTGACAAGCTTCCGAGACAACTGAAAGCAAAGAGAAGGTTTCTTCGATTCAGGCTGAGGACGATCGAGAGCCACAATGTTTGCCTTCGTAACAACTTGTCCATCCTCCGGCCTCTTGAACTCGTAGACATGCGGGTCGAACCCGACTTGCCTCAGGGTTGCTTGACTAAGAGCGAAGAGGGACACAGCGAGAAGCCGGGCACCTGCCTCGGTGTCGAAATCGAATGGAACCGTTTGGATGACAGCCGCACGGTCATAATACCATAGACCCGTGGAAGTGCCGTCGATGAAAATGCCAGTCGTGAAGTGGCGGCTGGAATCTCCGAGACACTCGAGTGCGTAGACCGCGAGCTGCAGCTCGTCACCACTGATCGTCACTTTAGTTTTAGCAGGTTGAACCTCCACTTTGGCTTTCTTTGAGGCGTTCTCCTCACTCGGGCCGTCTAGTTCGCCAAAGCTTCGTTTTGTAGAGGTCGAGCTGGTGCCTGAGCTGGATCCGCTCCGTGCAGTTGAGGAGGTTTGTGTAGTTGAGCGAGATTGGGTGGAGGATTGGGAACGAGCAGAAGATCTGCTTGCTTGTGATGAAATAGAATTGCTAGCTGAATTACGGCTCGAATGACGGTTTGATGGGCGAGAAGGGACAGCAAATGCGTCGCCCACGGCTGAAGGTCCATTATCCTCACCATCTTCCTGGATGGACTGAAGGGCGAGACTGAACCCTTCGCCGGACGGCTTCTTCGACTTCCCGCCGGTTTTTTTCCTAGGTGGGGTTTTTGGGGTTGGTACACTGAGACCCTTCGCAATCCTCCGCTCCCGTCTTCGTGCAATGGTCAACTTGAACTCCAAGGCGCTCTTCGTCTCCCCCCACTGGAGGATGTCCTCTGTGAATGGCGTCCATCCACGCAGCATATCAGGCTTTCTACCCCTGGCATAGGAATAGCGGCTGCGAATATACTTGGAGCCCTGACCGTCCCAAAAGTCGTCCTTGATTGTATCTGCGTAGCTGAGGTCGAGGGCGGCGCAAACCTCTTCGAGTAAAGCGGCAGAGATTTCGCGGAATGGCTGATGTAACATGGGCTCTGGTTTGGCAGTAACGATGTCGATGTAGACGTCTTCGTATTTCTGCAATGAATCTGCTCGAAGGGTCCACGGCCGGCTTAGGATCAGGTCGACTGTTGCGCCGTCGAGATCCCAGACTATCTTCACGAAGTCGGCGACGGAGATAGACTCATAAACGTGGCCTTTGAGCTCGATCTTGAGCTCCTGCTTCGCTATGGACATGGTACCTATATCAGTATTGGCACTGCTCCCTCTCGAAGGGGTCGACATGTTTGAATCTGTAAGGTGCTGCCTTAAGCTTTACATTCGCGATAACGGTAGGTAAACTTACCAGACGAAGAGTGAGAGGAACTGCAGTCGTAAGAAGACCTATCTGAGGATGTGGATGAAGCCGACGAGGTCGAGTCGGAAGAAGAAGAGGGATTTTCAATAAAGTGGGCCATATTGAATTTATAGATGAACAAGTGGCTTCGTCGCTTCTATGGGGCCACAGTCAAGGGTATACGTGTTTAAATGCAAAATGCGCTCTGTGGCTTCACTCACGGAAGAACAATGGATGGTAGTGTGGTGGCACAGGACAAGTTTGGGTGCCGAGCTATCTTGACGCGTGTTATAATATTCAGACATCACGTGATCGTGTTCAACAAGTGACCTTCAAGAGCCTTCAAGACTTTCAAGCTCTAGAGTCTAAGCTCTTCCACCTCGCAAATCGCGTCGCATTCACCCCAGCTCTTCTTCGTTTTATCCAAATATTGATGGTTCCCTTGTGCTGGATCGTCTACATTATACATACTCTCATTGTTTCGCCCGTCCAACAAGGATTATCAAAGTCGCCGCGGATGATGCACTGTCGGACCGCTGAACAGTGAATATTATTCACGCAAACACTCTCCTTCTCGTAGCTCCGCGACCTTGGGAAAAACTGTTAGATGTCCAACCTATCTTCACTGACGGAAAGAAAGTCGCTTTCATGTCTTGCTAATGGCATCTATTATCGAATGGCCTTCTCCTCTGGAACTGAGAAACACTCAAATAAAACACAGATTGGAGCATCCTCTCGTAAGTACCTTGCATCCAAGCTCTGGCTTGCACTCGTCCCGTTTACACCTTCCAGTAGGAATACTCGCAATTCAGAGTTAGATAACGCGGAAGAATTTTGGAACTTTGCGATCTTCCAGTAAATGCGAAGAATGGTTCTCGTATTGAGTCGATACATATGACCTACGGGATTGGCTTCTTGACCGAGCATCGGTCGCACCGAGAAGGCGATGGAAGGGCTTTCCACAGGTATAAGAATAGCAATTACTCCGACTCGCTGACCTCCTCATAGCCAAGCAGGAGTGGACCGCAGCGAGGCATTATGGCCCTGAAGATAAAGACTGAGGTATGTGCCTTCACCTACTACTTTTCCTGTCGGATATATATGATAACTTTTCAGGCGCAAATTCCTTACCTATCTCTGACTTGACAAGGATTTACTGTGCATTTCCACTAGAATCGTGCTGTTTCTCCGCCACATTTTCCCGTCCTCTCGTATCTCAACTTGATTCGAGTGGTTCGAATGCACGGCATTCTCGCACCAATGTTCTTGGCGCCACATATCTATATTTAGGAATTGTATGGCCTTATAAGCCGGCGAGCGGTTTTCGCTGACATTCTTTGTGCTACCTGCGTCTAGCCATGCAGTCGAAATTCTTGCTCATGGGTGCTACTCTCGCGTGCCTGCCGTACGCTCATGGCCTCATTCGTTTTGGCTGCTCTCAACTCGTCACTGAACGTTTCGACCCGTGCGTGGCTGTGGTCTAACCCTACCTCCAATCTGACACCGCGTTCTCACAATTCCAAGGTTGGTGACACCCGGAGAGGTCTCGCCTCATGTCCATCAAATCGTGGGAGGGGTGAGTGGCGATCTGCATTCTCGAGTTTGCATCGCTTATGCGTCGTTATCATGAACGTGCTAGAATGCGTAAGGCCGCCTTGCTGCTTTCTTCGGCGTGTCTTGACGTCAATATTTAATATTAAGATTCAACCTCACTATGCACCCTGACAACGACCTTCCTGCGCTCTCAACCTGTACGACCTGTAGATTCGTGGAAGACAAATCGAACTATTGGACCGCCGCGCTGTATTTCCATCATCCTAATGGAAGCTTCATTCGTGTATGGTGTCACTGATTACCCTCTTGGTTCAATCTAATACTTTATCACAGGTTCCGCAAATGGCGAACCACAACACAGGCCCAGGACTGCAGTCCGGAGGCATGACCATCTACTACTTCCAACCCAACGGAGGCATTCCGTTCACCGTTTTCCCGAAGGTGTGTTCCGCCTTCATGATTATGATGGTTGATGAGTGACAGGTATCCCAAGGGATTCCGGATGATAGTTGGAAACCCAATGAGACGCAGTAACGACATCAATCCTACGGATACAGCGGCTAAGGCGACAACATTCAGATGCTTCGAGGGGGATGACCCGGGCAGCACCATCGTCCCTGGAACCTTTCCCCCGGATACGTTCGAATTCCCCAAGACGCCGTGCGACGCCGGTATCCGTTCAAACATCTATTTCCCTCAGTATGCACCGCGAAATTTCTAGTTTGCGGCTATGGTGCTAATGCTAGGCAGATGCTGGGATGGTGTGAATGTCGACTCGCCCGACCATTCGGTCAGTCGCGCGCTTCCATTCTTTTTTCTTGATACACTAATACCTCGAAAGAGCCACGTCGCCCATCCTGTTGGCGGCTTCTTTAACACCCCTTGTCCTCCGAGCCATCCCGTCAGAATCCCGCTGTTGTTTATCGAGATTAATTGGGACACGAGACCGTTCAACGACCTCTCTCTCTGGCCAAAGGATGGTCAGCCTTTCGTCTTCGCCATGGGCGATCCGTAAGTGCATCAAAACTTCAAACGAGAAAAGAACTCACTGAGTCGATCAGGACTGGGTACGGGCAGCATGCGGACTACGTGTTCGGCTGGGAGGGCGACTCTCTCCAGCGTGCGATGGATGTGTGCACGGGAGGTACTGGCATTCCCTGGCACTGCCCGGTCCTCACAATACAAGATACGGAGGACATGAATAATTGTAGGCAACCCGAAAAAGTGGACGAGGTCGTCGACGGAGCATGTTAGTTTCCGTTTTGTTCTGCAGGGCCAACGAACTATTCTAACACACCCAACAGACATCGACAAACTGCCTGGATGCAACCCCCTCCAACGTGGCCCTGCGCAAGCGACAATGGTCCCAAATTGCGACGCTCCTTCGACAACAGTGGACGCCCCTGTGCCAACAGAGCCCCCCGCTGCGGTGAACCCACCCTGGGTGGTTTGCAACGACGGTTCGAACACGACTCCACTTCCCATCAACCCATACTGCTCGGAGTATCCTCTCCTCACGCGGGCACCGCAGACGCAACCTGCTGTTCCAACGGCCACCGTCGCTGGAGTTTAATGTTCTCGAATGCTGGAATTCCGTCGTACCAGGAAAGTAACGCATATTGAAAATATGGCACGTGAAATATGGAAACGAGATAGTGGTGGGATAACTATGATCGTCATCATACGAATGATAATGAAATAACCTGAGATGCAGTTTTTTCTCGAGACTCGAGGCATCGTGGCATGAAATTCTGACACTGCGCGAGGTTCGGTGACGGAACACAGGCCTCCGCCGCGCGGAAGAGTCGACTCCTACATCTTCTCGCTGTAGGAGCATGGTATTCATTAGGCCCTGTGCTGGTTGGTCGGCGGGGCAGCCACGCTGAGTCCATCCGGACGCACCGCGTCCCCATCGCGAGGTAGATCGGCACGAGGCAGACGATTCGCGCGCGCAGACGAAGTCTAGGACGTGGTATGAAGGCGCTACCACCACAACATATGAGATGCGGCGATATGGCATAGTACCTTCACGTCTGGTCCTGATAAAATCATTATTTCTGTTAACGAGGACCGAATGGTAAAAATCACGAATGAACCGGACAGACGGTATGGCGATGAGGTTGCGAACTCTGGAGACGATTCCCGATTGCAGCTCGTGCACTGAGAGGAAATTCTGCTAGCGGCTTTATTATAGAAGCCTAAGGATCATCTGGACGACTCCTATAAGCAAAAGGTCGACGCTCCTTTATCCAGAGTCTCAAAACAACGCCGGGTGCGAAGGGAAGCTAGAACAAGAAATAGTCAGCAGAGAGGGAAAGCTGCTGTAGTTCGATGAGAAGATCACCGAATCTTAGGGACCCTGCATGCAGCACAAGGAAATAGGAAGTTTTTGGGCTGGATAGGAGCGCACCTGCCTCATGAGAATGAAACGACGAACCTCTATCTACTTTTCCAACCGAGGTCATGAGCCTAGAACACGCGTCAGCGCTCCGATGCCATACTCAACGCTGCATCAGGCATACCTTAACTTTCGTTCTCAACAGGAATCCTCCGACCTATAACGCGACCCGAAAATACTGACATTTTGAGAAGCAGTGGCGGTAGATAGGAAAGGAAGGTTGATTATGTAATCAACAGTGTTACTAAAATCGATTTCGTTTACTTACAACCCTGACTTGAACTTCATGCATCTACGCGATTCTCTTCGAAGATAAAAATACAACCCGTACCCGTACCCGTCGAAGCCCTACCCGTAACCCGCACGGGTTTTCCAACCCCTCGCCAATCCCTACCGTCTTGCCCTCGCACTCATCTCTGCTCTTTCTTGCTTTCCCCTCACTCTCAACCAAGTCTACCTCCTGTATGCAAAAAGCCCCTTGGTCGACGTTGTCTTCGTCTTCGTCACATCTGTTAAAGTTAGTAACCCGCCCCTTCCTTCCCTTGTTTTAACCGTGACTGACACAACCCTCTGACTCGTCAGTAATTACCACCATGTCCTCCACAGTCGATGTCTTTATCAGCGATGAAAACAAGCCGGCAAACATTCCGAGCTACGCGACAATCATCACGCAGTGTTTCGACCTGGGTCCCCAGCAGGCTACCGCCACCAACATTAGCGGTGTCCGAATTACTCTCGACAAGAGGTCTGATAACGAGGTCAGCAACATCTGGGTCAAGTTTGGGAGCAACATAACCATGGGTGAGGCCAAAACGCAGCGCTTTGTCGCGCAATACCTTGAAGACAACAACAACCCTGCTGTGCGGGCCCCTCGTGTTTACCTCGCCTTTACGTGGGGCAGCTTCGGTTTCATCGTCGCTGAGTACATTGACGGGCAGATGTGCGGCGACGCCGATATTGCCCTCGTCGCCGCCGCTGTACAATCTCTTATCGACATACCGAGCCCCAGCTCAACGCCTGGACCCGTCGGTGGAGGCGTGATCGAACACCCCTTTTTCATCCACCGGACGTCTTCCATCGGGTACGAATCCGTCAAGGAGCTACAGGATCATATGAACGGGGTAAGTGTTCTCTTTTCTCTCGCCTTGACTACTCTCCAGATAATAACTCTTCCCACAGATTCTCTGCGTCACGGGAGGAAGCGGCGTGTTAACTTCGAGCCCGAGCTCGCCAGTCACGGCCTGCTCCTCTGTGTATCTGACCTGAAACCTGTTAACTTCATGAGGGATAGGGAGAATAGGATCGTGGCCGTGGATTTTGGCGGCTACTCATTCCTTCCGCCCTCCTTCGCCTTCGCGCTAAGGCACGGATGCCCTTCAAGTTTTGCACAGCGCATCGCCAGAAAGCTCACCTATCCACCATCTACAGAGGTCGGGGCATTGGTGAGCGCCTCCTGCGCGCTAGCCCTATTTTCTAGCAACGATATCGGTGGGCAGATCTCCTTGCTCTCTTTTCTTTTTCTTGCCTCTTGCCCAGCCCTTACAAGAATACCGAGTTCAATGTACTGCACAGGTCTTCCAACGGGGCTCCAGTCCAGGCTTCGTCAGTAAACGCGGCGCACAAGCCGTCCCCCGTTTAACAAGACTGTGTCTTCCCTTCTCGTCACTTAACTCTTCGGCATCTACATCAATGGAGCGGCCACAAGGTGCTCTGGTCACTCGGCACGTGTGGGGGACATGCACTGACGGCTACCCACAGTACGGCAGTCTGAATAGAACTTTGAATTCTCGCCTCGCTGATACCACGTTGTCTATAGCCGTGTTTCATTATAAAACAACGGCCCTTTCTGCTGTTAAAAGGACGTACTCCCAGACTTTTCTTTCGTGGACGGGTTCACGAAAGCGTATGATCTCTCTCTCTCCCTCAATAACTTGCTTCCTATCCCCTATTCATGAATTATCAATTGCCCGGGACTGAAGCTGGATTCCCACATCGTCGCGGGGACAATAACTTATGGCCCGAGGAGCAGTACGATATTCTGCATCCCCCTGAAGAGTGCTCTCAATGCGGCGACTACGCCCGACATCTCCTGTACCATGGATCCGGCTTTGGTGCCTCGCTAGAAGAGGCATTCTTCAACCAGGCCGAAGATTCGTTCGTTGAGGGCGTTATAGAAGGCCGCCGGCTTCAGAGAGAGGACGACCATGTCCGGCTCTCCCGCTACCACCTACGACTTGACGACATGCGGCAACAGCGCGACGAGGCGCGACTGCTCCAACTGCGGCACAATGACGAGGCCGAACTGCTCAAGGCCGAACTGGCAGATGTGAAAGATATGCTTCTCGCCGTTCAGTTGGCCTACGAGGAGCTGTCGCTGGACAGGGCTGGCGTCGATGGGCGGGTGCGCTCGTCAGCCAGAATTGGTGACGGACTCTGGGAAACAGAGGCGGTCAGAAACCCTCATGGACGAGGGTTTCCAGCTACGGACTGCGAGTCTGAGTCGGTCTCCTCAGGTTCCTCAATCGACTCCTGGCCGAGCGACGTTCCATCGTTCGAAGACGACGAGGCGTTTGAGGTCATGCAGCAGCTGCATCTCATGGACGAATGGGACAAAGAAGATGGAGGTTGGCTCGAGCGTATTCACCGTGAAGCACTGTATGTCTCATCAGAAACATATCCTCGATGCTATAAATTAATTGCGTTTATCACAGCGAAATCGACGAAAAGCCATCGAGTCCAGAATTGGTCAGCTCAGACTCCTCCGAAGACTCCGACCTTTCTTCCTCTCCAGCGAGCTCAATTGTAGATTTAGCACCGCCCGAACATGGAAACCCTGTTCCCTCCACCGCCTCTACCCGCCGCGAACCGCTCACAATTCCCCAACTCGACTTGCTGATGGCTTCAGCTCAGTATCCTACCAAAGATCAGACCGCTCTTAAGCAGGTTCGCCTCCTCATTCGGGCAGCCGAGCGCACTCCGAAGAAGAAAAGGTCGCCCGAACAGCTCTATCTCCTCGCAACCTGGAGAAAGCCATGTCTTTCGCACTCGGCGGCCTCTTCTTCATCGTCAGTTCTTTCATACGTGACTCCCTCATCAGCCGCTATTTCCGGTCTGCATGGAACTCCAGAAATATTCGTCGATGCGTCTGCCTATGGTATCGGCTTCATCTTCAAGGACCGATGGCTCGCGTGGACCTTCGCACCATACCACCCTCTCATCCCTCTCGGACCAGACAAACATGTTGTCATGTCGTGGGCGGAGCTCATCGCCGCCGAACTTGGGTTGCTTACCCTCCTCGCGGCTGGGTATCGCAACACAAAGATCAAACTGAGGTCTGACAACGAAGGAGTCGTGATGGCACTGAAGACGGAGCGTTGGACGCCGAGGTACGGCCTTGATAGCATTCTCCAGCGAGTCCTCCGGCTCTGTAAGGATGGAGGGCTTTCGTTGCAGAACGTCTGGATCTCAACGAAGAAGAACCCTGCCGATGGCCCGTCACGGGGAGCTTATCCTCCTCGTAGGCTGATGTTCGACCATTGCCCTGAGGTTCCTCAACACTTGGCTGGTTTCTTATTGCCCGTTGATCCGGCGAAGCTACGGAAATGATACGTATGGTGGCTCATATGATATCTACATCCATATTCTGAACTTTTCTTTGCCCATGACTGCTACTAAGACTGCCTCTTCTGATTCTGTTTATGTTCCTCGCATCAAACATATATGTCTTATTCGAACCGTTAATATTAGCAAGTGACATAAGGGAGCGAGCAACACCTCAACGGCGTCGATGGCAATTATAGTCTAGGATGAAAAAAGAAAAATGGCAACCACAATAACAGAAAAGCGCCTACGCTCGACGATCCAAGACCGTCAGCGCAAGAGGTGTATCACGACGAGGATCAACGCCAGAGTCATCCCGCCAGGAACCTGGTACTTCGTGAAGGCCGAGTCGAAAAGAGGAACCGTGTCGACGATAGTCCAGTTGAGGCACTCGACCAACTTGTAGGCGTCAGTGTCGACAGACGGCCCAGGAGCACTTGAGACTGTGTAATTCTGCAGCATTGCAGCCGTGTCGTTGAGACTGTCCCAGGTAAGAGCCACCGACGAAGCACGATAGTAGTAGAGAACTTGTTCGGGTTGAGGAGAGCCTTGTAACCGGAGTCGCTTATGTTCGCCAGTGAGGAGAGTGTTCCAATGAGGTCCTTGCAATTTTCCTTTATGTAGTCTGAGAGAGAGTCGACGGTAAATTCGTCTGAGATGATTCTGAATGTCTCTGAGCCTTTCATGGATGGAATCTCGAGAGACATCAAAGGGCCTCCAGGACGGTTGGCATTGCTAGCAGGAACGAGCTACAGAACGGATTGTTGAGTTTAGAGCCACGGAATTGAAGAAAAGACTCATCTCTGGAGAGAGTAGAAATGGAACGAACGCCACAGGCCAAGCAATTGGCCAGAATACGAACGTTAAATTCCGTCCAGCTACGCCAGGATCATCGTTCGAATCGTAGAATCCACTTCCGTACCACCTGTATTAAACAATTCAGCGACGGGCTAGTCTAAAATAATTGTGAACTCGCCTTCCACCAAAGACTTGATCTCGGGACCCTCCTCCGACGAAAGCGTGACCGTCGAGTCCATAGAGCACAAACACACGACCGCCACCTGGAGAACTGGCACGAGCGGTCATGGTCTGACCACCAACATTAACAGGGGTAGATTTGCCGCCGCTGGTTCCTTTTCCACTCTTTCCACCTCCTCTACCACCACCGTGGCCGCCGCCTCCGCCTCCTCCCTTTCGAGGGAAGAGCTGGTGCGAGGAGGAGAGGGGGAAGTGTTCGTCGACGATTCGAGTGTCTTCAACGTCTGTGATCATGGTATTAAGAACGATGTGGGTTGAATGTGGAGACGCCGCAGCCCATTTTATATTGTAGACTGCAGTCTGCTGTGCAAGGGGTAAGTACAAGCGGTCATTACCATTTTTGGTTGTGTGTGCGCTCAAACAATAAACGGGCAGATGGGTTGCACAGCACTGGAGCCGAATTTGGTTCCTACACACGATTTTGAAAGGATTTCAGAGCTCCGATGACTCGAAGCTGAGAGTGCGATGTTGCGATAAGCTACTTACAGTGCTCTAGGGTCTCAATGCCAGCGCACTTGGCTTCAGGCAAAGACCAGATGTCTCAGAACGCGTCAGACTTGTAAAGATGTTGTCCGAAGCGTAGGCTTGTGAATAACGTCACTTTACGGGGCTATGTAGATTCTTGCAAACCCAGAATGTGCGTCGTAATACGCCGAATATCGATATTTCTATGAGCGCATTTGTACATATTGTGAGAGCTCGCAGGGGCTTGTCTAGCCAGCAGTTCGGTACAGAAGCAATGCTCTCATGATCCATCCTGAACAACAGCATGGACTCGGATTCTAGAAAGCAGGGATAGATAGGGCGAACCAGAAGAAAAGTTGAGATATAGGCAGCGGATGGAGGTCTTGGGATCCTTCTCTTCGGAGACCTGTTCTGATTTTCAAGCCATAGAGATGAAAGACGTCGAGGAATTCTCGAATATTCGTAGAGATAAATGCGCAAATACACAGTGAGCACCGACGCCAGGTTGTACTGTTTTGGAAACCAGAAACGCGGCTACAGCAGCATTTAAAGCGGGAATACGTGAGGGCAAGCCCGACACCCTGATAAGCTTCGTGTTCGAAGGACGAGGGCGAGCTATCACCGGGAATATGACTAACGGAAGCTACTGGGACGAAGAGCAACCAACAATGTGCTCGCTTCCCATCTTCTAATCCTATGAAACGTTCCTCAAAGCGAGACGCGCACCCTGCGCCTGTAGCGCATCAAGAACCCATGTGCAAGCAGAGCCAAGGTACCAACAGAGCGCTGTCCCCGGAAGACTTCCAGCGAATTTGGAACGAAGAGCAGAGAAATTGGCGAAGGGAGCGTTGGCGCGGGAGTTTCAGTGTAGTGCCGATTCTGGCTACATGCAGAATGGTGGAAAAATGAGGGTCTGAATCACCAAGGATCGAGAGGTAAATGGTTCCGCGGGATCAACGTAAAAATTTCAGTTCCCAACACAGACTCGGGGTATTGGGCCGACGAATTTTGTGTCCCTTGAAGGAGGCTGGTGACAGAGATTGGAGTATGACGTTCCCGTGGTCCTAGATATAACTTGCGTCAATTGACGCCCGAGATGAATGAAGGTTATGAAACCAGGGTCGCCAGTCCAGCCCCAGGGGTCATCAAAGTAAAGCCATTAGAAAAGGGGAGAAAATAATTGAACAGAAGGATACTGGTTTTGCGTGTGCAGTCTTTCGGTCGTCGTGAAAGATAGGATCCAAGTCTTTGTGGGAGTCGTTGAAGTTGGAAGTTGACTTTGAGCTGCCGAATGACGGCACGTGCGTATGCCGAAGCGACCGGCCCGGGTCTTGTCATTTTTTTGGCTGCTGCCTTGTCATCGCCTGTCATGGTGGGCTGTTGCGAAACAAACGTCCCTTCATCATCGACCACGACCACCATGTCCCAAAGCCAGGAATCTTGGACTCCCATACCTCTCAGTCGAAACCCCTGGCATGAGCGGCCGCCTTCCACCCAACGGTGCTCCTGTTGTACTACTGAATGCCTTCCAGCGCGTCGGATGTCGCGACGTAGTGGCGACGATGAAGTGAGTGCATATATGCGCGTTTTCTCGCGGTGGATACGTTGTAACTATGTCTCCGTTGCTTATTGTCCTTACAGAACGCGCAAGTGGGATGACAACAGTCGCGTCTTGTCACTGCGGCCGTTGTCAAAATGAGGCAGAAATGAGCGCATATATGCGGTTTTTCTACGAGCGGTTCGTTCTATTCATCTCTCCTTTCAAGCTTTGCTTACACGACACGTAGTTGCAACATTTTACGCGGGTTCTGCTAGCACGATGCGGGGCTCTCAGTACTTCCGTAGGTGTGATAAGCAGCCTCGTGCTCGTCGTTGTGCACAACGCCTGCTGAATTCACTATCGGCCGTGGCGACAATCACGACGTGCAGTCCAGGAATACGCTATCTTGTCGACAACGTGGGCTTTCTTGAGCGGCAATCCTCATTCATTCGCGGCTTTCTGGGGCCTCTTGGTGAGCCTCTTCTCGCTAGTAAGCCCCTTTATGGCATGCTCTGGCTAGCCGGACTTTCATTGACGAATGTACCAACCCGTTCCTCAGGATTGCGGTCGGTTGAAGGCCCGTGGCCACCCCCGTTCCGAATCACATTATCTCCACGTCGTGAACGTGGTGTAGAAACGCTGAAACCTCATGTCAACACGGTAGCTGCATATAAGAGGTGGGCTATCATCCATGTTTCCACCACTCTTTTACGCTGATTACCTGGGTCAAATTTTAGGGTGTCCAGCGACCTTTCCATCCCAATCCTTCGTAATCGCGTCAAATGTTCACCCTGTCCCACTCCAAGTTGCGAAGGCATTTGCTTTATTAGTCGTCCTTCGTCCTTTCGCCTCGCCTCACTCACCCTTCTTTTATTCCATTTGTTACATTTCTGAAGAATGAAGTAAGTGTTCAGCCTAGAGTTTATGTTACACCACATGCTAAGCCCTTCTTAGTTTTTCATTTTCTAACCGTGGTCGTACGCTTCGTGTGAATCACTCAATGGACGTTTCCACGCCGCCGCCGTCACGAACTCAATCAACCCTTTACGCTATGCACCATTTAATAGGTCCCTTCGTTCATTTACACCGAAGCGCATCGGACCGACTACAGATCGTCGGGCCACACATGCTACACTCGTCTACCGTCGTCCAAGTTTTTCTCCGAGCTTTACGAAACCTTTTACTCATCTATGAATATTCCAGACCACCGAACGCAAATAGAAATTCATACTTCTGTCTCAATCATACCGCTTTCGACCTGGTTCCGACCTTCTCGAGCGCGTGTCATCGCGGTTTTCCCAGCCACCACTGTACGTCCGGCAACATTTCCTTCGTCCGCTCGCAGAGGAGGATGCTACGCCACTGATGACTATCTGTTACACCCTCATTGATGGATGAAAGAAACACGGGTCAAATGGGCTCAAACCTGTCGCGTTCGACACATGCTACTGGACCCGACGTCCGCCGTAAGCTCTTCGCTCTATCCCACTTTTCATTTCGCTGAACTTTATTCAGTATTATCTTCTCGATGCCGTGGTTGGTGGAAATTCTAACGTGAAAGAGGTGGGTCGGCCGAGCCCATGAATTCATCACGAGTCAAAGCTTGCTTATTTATGGATGATTTTTCTCAGGTACACGCGTGAGAGGGTTCCTTTGATCTACCCGACCCTCCTGAAGAAGGGTGTGCCCGAAAGAAGGTTGGGTCGTTATCTGTAAGCCGCATTTGCTCCGTTTTCTTTATCGAACTTCGATGGCCGGATTGGCTTATTTCTCCGCTTTTCTTTTCTTATTGTCTTTCTGACTTATCGAATTTTCGCAGTAGAAGAAATGAGGTGCCAGAAGGACAATTCACTTCGGGGAGCCATGTGTACAAGCTATGGATAAGTGATGTGGGTGAGGGGACACGACAAAATAAGGCGGCGACGCCGCGAAGGATAAGTAATAAGGGTAAGTGATGGGTATATGCGAGATGCAGGTATGGGATGGGGGTTCGTGAAAAGGTTCGTGAATGAGTAATCAAATCGTGTCGCACATGATGGAGGAGAACAGAGGGTAAGTATGAGGAGGATGGTCATCGAGACGCATCGGGTGAAGGGAGGAAGGCCAGCCGGGATGGTGTACCCAGTACGTCTCGACGACACATCCTTAATCGTGAGGGTTACGCATAAGCGACTATGATTACAGACCCAGAGGGTATGAAGGACAACAGAGTGGAGGGAGAGGAACGGATACAGCAACAAGTCTCGGCCCCAGAAGAACGGAAGGGGGAAAATAGGAAGAAATTAAAGTAGGCCAGGACGAGGGAGAACGGAAAGGGAGAACAGGAAAAAAAAGAGGTGCGCAAAAATACAACATATCCATACATAACGTCCAAAAAATAAATCAAAAAAGCACTTGCCCCTACAGACGCGCAGCATCTTGAACGAAGCGGATCGATCGTCGTCAGCTTAGAACCCGTGGCCGGCCATCATGTCGTCGAAGAGGAGCCCACCCGTGCCCTGGCTCCCGTCGTTGTAGTGGTGGTGGTACTGCGACCCGGCGTCAAGCGCACACGCGAAGTCCTGCCCAAACTCGAGGCCTGAGCCATCTGGGCCGGCCCCCAACGCGAGGTTCTCGGTGTACTTGGTCAACGGGAGCTCGATGGGCGGGATCGCGTTGATGTCGAAGTCGTCGCCCATCAGAACGGCAGGTTCGCCAGTGCCCCACAGCGCGTTGGGCCCGCCGCCCCACGAGAAGGCGGCGAACTCCTGCTGCACCTGCATCTCCATCTGCAGGTCCATCTCGGCCTGTGCTTGTGCCTCGAGGCTCGTCGGATCGCACGCAGCGTCCATGTGGTGTCCGTGATGCCAGGACGACGAGGACGACGAGGAGAGCAGGGCGGAGGTTGGGGTATACGGCCCGCTCGAGGGAGAGGAAGGGCCAGAAGAGCCAGAGCCGGAGCCGATCGAGGATGCGGGCGAGACGATGTGGTGCGCGGGGAGGAGGAGCGTGTCGGGCTGCTGTTGTTGGTGGGACATGTTGAGATGCTGCAGGTGCGTCGCGGGCTCGCTGTTGCGATGGCCGTTTGCTGGCGTGTTGGGGTTGTTGAATATGCTTCGCAGGAACTCGGATGACTGGAGGAATGACGACGCGATCAAGGATCAGATACGAACACAGACGGATGCAAGGTTAGACAGATTGAACGGATCAGAGGAGATCGCGGGACGTACCTGGAGGCTTGCTTCGAACTGGCCCGGCATCGGATACGACGATGGCAAATACGCGCTCTGGTTGGTCGGCACGAAGTCGAAGGTGGTCATGGCGTCCTCGGGGTGGCCTGGGTGCGCTGAGCGGCGGCTGATCATGGGCAGGAGCGAGGGCGAGGTCGGACAGGATGGCGTGAGATGGTAGACGTTGGGGATCTGGATGGACTGATACGGAGGCGGGGTTGGCGCAGACGCGGAACGGCCGTGCGGGCGCGAGACGGGGACGACAACGAGACGCTCTCGGACTCGTCGTACCCCATCGCCTTGGACGCCGCTTCCGCCTGCGCTTGCGCCGCCGCCGCCGATGCAGCCGCTGCAGTCGAGGAAGCCGACGACGCCTTCTTGCTGTTGCTCTTCGTCTTGCCGTCCTTGTCCTTCGCGCGCTGGGGGCGATAGACGTAGTTGGGATACTTGGACTCGTGCTCCTTCTTCTTGTCCTTGGCGAGCTGCTCCCAGAACTGGCGCTCCTCGGGGGAAAGGCTCTTCCACTGCTGGCTGATCGTCTTGGAGAGATCGGCCTGGCGCTGCTTCTTGGTGGGTCCTGCGCCCGCACCTCCGTCGGCGTTGGCGGCCTCCTCCTGGGCCTGCTGGCGGTCCTCGCAGCACTTGCGGCGGAAGAGGATGAACGCGTTCTCGGGGCGCTTGATGTAGTCCTCGTCGCCTTTCTTCGGCCTGCGTTCGACGACGTCACTACTGCATGATGATTTTCGGCGCTTGTGGTTGTGCGCGGGGGTTGGCGGTGATGGTGCGCGAGCGAAGGGTGAGTCGGCGCGCAGGACGGCGTAGGAATGCGGTGGGGGCGTGGCGATCATCGAGGATGAGGAAGATGATAATGTACATGGCTGAGGGAACGAACGAAGGTCGGGTTCGAAAGGAGAAGACGAGGGCGAGGCGTAAGGACTGTCGGTGAGGTTGTGGGGAGTAGAGAAGGTGAAGGCGCGTGGCGTCGGCGATACGATGTGGAGGGAGGGGGCGGCTGGTGCATCCGTCGACACTTCTAGTGCTGCTAAAGGTGAGCGCGTGCGTGGATTGAGACAATGGGGGACGCACTTCGGGACTGGGTATCGCGAGTGCGTAGGGCGGGCATGATGTGGTTGTGAATGAGCGGTGGCGCGTGGTCGTAAGGAGGGACAATGAGGAGAGAGGAGGAAAGGGAGGATAATGGTGTCGCTGCGTGGATGCGGATAGTTTTCTTTGTCCTCTGGCGCACGGGGCAGAACAATTGCACGGGCGGGGCACAAAAGCGCAAACAATACGAGCGGAGAGATTTATACTTCTGGACCCATTGGCCCGCTGAAAGGGTCCGGGGAAGGACACGAGCCAGTCCCCCATTTCGTAACCAGCTCATTGTCTCCTCCAAATCAGGCCAGCGAGAGGGTCCACCGCCCCGATGAGATGGCCTGTTGCCCCCTGTTTGCCCTGTAATGCATCTCACCACGCCCTATTGTCTTTACTGATCCCCGGTCCGAGTCACGCTTACTGCCCCCGCACATCTTATCGAGCACGTAAGATCGCCCCTTCCAAATCTCCCTCCGCGGACCCAAATTCGCCATCGACGCTTGGACGCACCACGCACGCCCAGGGGGAACACAGCGCACCCATCCACGCACCCACGTAAAAGCGCACCGAACACATAGTCTCTGCTAGGAATACATCCCCAGCCTGATAAAATTATCCACGGGTGACCAGGACTCTCTCGCACAGAAATGGGGCAGCGACCCTTCATCACAGCGAATGCGGCAACATGGAGCCGGCCGCCTGTCCTCGCGCGACAAAGTTGCTTCGCTTTCCCAAGCTCATCGACATCGCAGGTGGCTGGGCCCTCCCATGTTTCAATGGCACCACCCCCACCTCCGATCTCTCCCATCTGCATGCGCCTGTGCATACGAGGATCCGCCTATGATTTGTTTCGAAACCCAGGCTACCGCATTATGATGATCATGTTTTCTGGCTCTTCAGCGCGTTATCTTTTCGTCTGCGGAAGGTCCGGGCTCAGCTGCTGATGCTCGGGCCAGCGGAGGAAGGCGTGGAGAGCGAAGCCAAGGGGGGTCCACTCGTGATCAGGACATCCGACGTCATTCCTCTTTCCGTATCCCGGTGGCTGTGCTGCCTTCCGCTTTTAGCCAAGAACGCCGGAGCGGGTCTGGAAATGGACATCCTACCCGCATCTGTAGCCGACACACTGCGCCAAGAGATAACGTTACGACTCTCATCTGGAGTGCGCGTACGCAATACCCTCTGCCCATAATCCCCAAGCACCATCCCCATCCCCCAACGCTTTCAGACCCGTGAGGAGGGGAACATAACCCACTGCCCAACCCCGCGTCGAAAATCTAGAAATTCATACATATCTTACGCGCAGCGCCGTTCTATGTAATAAGCGATATGCGACAGAAAAAAAAATCAAGCTCCATCCATCCATCCTGTTCATTCAGAACCATTAATCTCCCGCCGCCTGCCGCCTCGTCCCGCCTCTCATTTCGTGTCAGTCCACGGAATTTTGGTGGTAATTTGCGCAGCTGAGTCACCGCTTGGCCCTCCCAAAATTGGCCCTCGAACATATCTAAATTGAGCCCACGCGATGTCCAACGTCCGACTCGGGGCGGGTTATGGTCCCATTCATTTGCTGGAATTTGAATCGATTATCATGGGCCCTCTCGCGTCGATAAATCCTAATCACTCCATATCCCATATATCTTCATCCCACAATACCTCGGCCTAGGTCAAATTACAGGCCCTCTGCCTCTCCCCTCGCCGATCGACTCACCGACTCACCGACTCAGCGGGCGGACGTGAAATTGCTGCTGGGGTAATACACTAAATATAGTAAGCCATCGAACACGATCGGGCAGCGATCGACGGACCCTAGGATGGGGTTAGGGGTCTCTATTAGTGTGGGAAGTGCCGGATTCGGATGGGTGGGTGAGATCGGGATCGGGGCCCCACCGCAAACGCCCGTTGAAATGTATATGGGTATGGGGTGCAAGCGCTTGTTGGTGGACGGTCCCATTGAGTAGTGGGTCCGGAGCGTATGTATTCAATTATCGCCCGGAGGAGGAAAGAGGGAGACGCCCGAGGTGTTGGAGGCGAGACATGAGGTGAAGGTCAGATAGAGGATAGAGGACGCCTCCGGAGCTTCAGGCCTCAGGCTTCGAGTGAGTGGGTTCGTAACTTCTACGAGTTCGGAAAAGGAAAGCTGAATGGGGGAGCTAAACACCTCGCGGCGAGCGCTTGTCAGCGCGAGGCGCGAGCGTATTACGGTAGGGGGATTTTAGATTTAATTTCTTTTCGTGCTATTATCGTATCATTTGGGGGTTGGTGCAGGACTAGCAGAGAGTGGGGATAAGAAGGCTAGGGCGAGAGGGAGGGTGCGATGGAGGAAGTGCAAGTGGGATTGGGTGGACGGGAGGTTGGTGTCGGGCACCGCTCGCCTTTCTGGGTTCGGGGAAGGACGAGCACGAGTCAGGGAGGCGCAGGGCGTGCCAGTGGCGCATACAAGATCAAAACGTTGAATGAATTTGAAAATAAAATCGATACATTTATTTGGTAGAGGTATCCGTCTATTCATTCAGACAAACCTAGTCCGAGTCGACTCGAAACACTGTACGCTGTAGTACCGTAACATCCACGGAAATTAACGACGACGGAGGACGGAGACAGTGATATTATCACCTTCGCTATGACTATAGTAGTGGAAAAATGGGAGTTGCGTCTGCAGGGTGCCCTCTACCCTCTCCGTCGTCGTCCTTGCCTATCGACCTTGCGCCAAATTCCTTCTCGTCGCTGGCTTGGTCGTCGCAGTAGGTCCGACGCCATAGCCAACATACCCTACAACGAGAGCAACGATGAGAGCAACCAACGCGCCACCAACGTAACGCCCGCCCGCCCGTCCGGCGCCTGATGACTCCAACCAAAGATAATTATAGTTCCAACCAACGATGATTACTTACGACGATGGTCGATGGTCGATGGGGGATACCGAGACCTCATCTCGGGAGGACCGGATTTGACTCGTACCTCAAAGCCGTTGTGAGCGTGATCCGGGATGCGAGATGGATCAGCGATGGAATCGACTACACGAAGGGACGATAAGTATCCGGCGCTTCGAGCTTCGTCCTCGGAAATCGGGCGCGTGTTGCTGTATAGTATATCAGCGTTGACAAGGTTGCAGCAGCACAGTTCACTCGTGTAGCGATAGGGGAGTTCGCTTAACTTACTCTACTTATGAGGGGAACAATGCTCACCGGCACCACTGTCTGTAAAGTGAGTCGACGGTTCGGGTTCAGAACGAGGTCGTTGATCAGTGATATATTGCGCTCTGTTGCTACAATATCACGAGAACGAGATGATTTAGGTGATTTAGTGCTTGGTTAGATATGCGGTATTGCTCTAGAGTACACGAAGGGCTAGACCTTCGTATTTACGCGCTAACCACGATCAGAGGCGAAATAAATGAGCTAAATGAGGGCGACACCCGTACGCGTCGTATTCAATATGGCTATGGGAGGGGAATAATGGGAACAGATAATGGGGCGTGAATACGCAATATGCCAGAGAGGCTCGCGTCAAGTCAGTGATCGATATTTCGATCAAGGTGTTCAAGGCGTTTAATGTCGCGTCGCGGGATTCGGTGGGGTGGGACGCGTAGGTCGAATATACTTTTTGATCATGACTCCAGCGATAGTGAGACTTCGAAAAGACAATGCTGAGGCGCTTTTAGAGAGGATATTGGATGGCCATTTGCATGGTACGCGGACGACAGGGTACGCGATATGGGTGGACGCGGTAAGGGGAAGTAAGGTTTAAGCTAATCGCAGATGATAAGTTACGCACGAATGTCGAATGTCAGAGGACTCGCGTGAGTGAGTCGTATTGGTACCTCGTACCCATGCCATTTAACATTTTGTGTCGTGAGCGCCAACATCTCTTTCCATAGGAAACGCCGAGCGTCATGTCACCGCAAGCAGTGAGCACATGAGCAGCAGCTGCACTGATCGTTCTCTCATAAGTGATATCTATGTATAATTACATCTCCCGTACCAACAATACCCAGTCATCTAGACAGAAATATTTAACTCATATATAGGAAGATCCCATCTGCTCTATTTACATATCTTGCTGACGGTTCACGTGCGAGAAGCTAGATCGAGAGAATTCCTTGAAATGAACTGTAGCACCGGGCGCTGACAGGGCGAGCGTGGACGCGTTCTCGCGTCGAGTCATGGCTCGTGAGTCGGAGAAGCCTCTCAGGACGAATCGGGAAGGCGATTCCTTCTTGGGATGGCGTGGTTCTGTGGGAGCTCTCACGGATGGACCGCGGGAAGGGCATCTTTGATCTCTGTGGCGCGCGTTCGCACTTCGGATTCGGAGGGTGTCGTCCTTCGTACCCCGAGGGCAGTCATTCCCTCCGAACCCGATAAAATGGACGATAGCTTCCACACCCTCCCCAAGTTATGACTTCGCTGATGGACATGCGAGAGCATGCATCAGTTCGATAGGCCTTTAGGAGGCCGGAGAGGAGTGAGGTTATTCCAGCCGCACATACGGGATCAATCGGCGTTTTGCTGCAACGGGCGAACAATGCACTGTAGACAATGTGCGAAGGTGAGAAGGATATCTAAGGCCGGGGTGCTGCTAATTAGACGCGATAGGAGTGGATATATCGTCTGTCGATTCCGCCGAATGGACCCTTGCTATTAGAGAGATTGATGAGATGAGGCTTGCAGTCTGGCGATGCGAATATTGCGGGCTAGAAGGGATGTCATGAGGCAAGGGAGATGGTGGGATTCGGCCTTGTGCAACACGAAGGTAGTTTATAACTCTCATTCATGTGGGTGATTAAGCTCATTTATCGCGAGACGCGACGCGACGCGCATCCAGGGTCGCGACAGGCACATCTCCCCGGCAATGACGCGTGTTCGCCAACATCCCCACTTGGAAATCGTCGGGGCGCCTGTCCTCTCCACCCGAATCGTCCCGAAAACCTCCTGTATCGCGTACGCCACGGTTTCGCGCGTTCATCTCCCGCCTAGCGACCTGCAGGTACACCTTGACGAGATTCCGGTAAAATATGAGGACGCCTGGACTCAAGGGGCGCCGTCCGGAGATGAACGTCGGTCACTGCCACACTGTTCTCCAGAGAATCTGATTTGCCGGGTACTATGAGGATAGGATAGTGGTAAGCTAGTGGTATAGGGTTGCAAGCTCGCGTGCAGGATACTCATGAGGCGCGGTGTCAACGTCATACTTGGACGGCAGATAGTCGCAAACGTGTGTCGGATAGGAGCGAACGGAGGATCGCGTATGTGTTATGGGCTTAAGTTCCGTCGGGGTATGAGGAGATGAAGGAGGTAAATTGATGAAAAATGGAGAAAAATAGATAGGCGGATTGGCGGACCTTGGGGATGATATTATCGACGGGTGAACTGCGCTGCGCTAGGAGATGTCTTTGTTCTCTGTAGGGTATGGTATAATCGGATTATCGAGCGTTTTCCGGGAGATTTTCCGGGAGGACGTCAGAACTCGTACTCAGTACTCAGGACCTAACTCTGGACAGACAGACGAAATGTCGTCCTCGAAGCTTGAAGGTTAATGTTCCGTTCTAGTTTTGGTCTGATTAACGGGCATTCTGTGAGCTCGTTAGCAACAACTTTGAGACGCCCAAGCCCGTCAACAGCGAATGGGCATGACTAGGTTATTATGAGCTTCCAAAACGAGCTGCCTCAGCTATCACGCTACTATAAATCATCATATGTGAAGACGACCATTCCCAAGCAGCCCGAAGATATGTTTGATAGGACGTGGGACGGAGATAATCATGTGTAGTACTAGCAGAGGATTCCCGAGTCGGCATCAAGCTTTTCTTGTCATTCCACCGCTGTGCCATACGACGAGAGTGCATCGCGGCCATGAGGAGGTGCAACGAGGCAGAGAAAGAGGACGCCAAGATGGTGCCGGCCTGGGAATTAGTCACGATCGCGAGCCGTCACACCATCATATGTTCGCGAGTCACGCGTCTGGTGAAACCTCTGAGTCAACTTTGACTCTCATCATCAGCTCTTCGAACATACCTTGGCTCGGTTCGTAGCTATTCTCGTCGAGCGGTTAACTAATAACAGCGAGCAGATATAGCCGTACTTGCTCAGATATCAAGGAACCACGCCCTCTCTGTCAAATGTCGACACGTAGTAGCTCGGGACCCGGACTGAAAAGGAAACGGTCAGCAACGCCTCTCGTTGCAAGCACCTCAGCCCAATCTCCATCTGATTCTACACCACTTTCCACCCCCAAAAGGGCAACTCCTGGCTCGTCCCAGACGGCGAAGAAGCTGAAACTCCAATCATCGTTTGTCGCCGAATCGCCATTCCCTGATTTCGAACACCCAACACCTGCGGAAGCGAAGGAGGTCTTCAATCTTCTGTCCAAGGCACATCGCCTCCGCGACCCCGAGCGAAGAGCACCTGTCGCAGGGCCCAACGCTGCACAGACCTGCGGCAATGTGCCGAACGTCATCGAGTCCCTGATTGGGACCATTCTCTCACAGAACACCTCGGGGACGAATTCTGGCCGCGCGAAGACGAATTTAGACGCGGCCTTTGGCCGAAACAATTTTGCTGCTATTGCCTCCGCACCTCTTAATGAAGTCGTCGAAGCCATTCGCTGCGGGGGGCTTGCGAACAAGAAGGCCGCGACGATTCAGAAGGCTCTTCGGTCAATCAAACAGCGTCACGGCCAATATTCCCTCCAGCACCTGGCCGCCGTCGAGGAAGGCGAGAGGATGACCGACGACGATATCATGAAGGAGCTCTTAGCGTACGACGGCGTCGGTCCCAAGACAGCGTCATGTGTCCTATTGTTCTGCTTGGGACGCGACTCGTTCGCCGTCGACACCCACGTCTTTCGTCTCAGCAAGATTCTCGGCTGGGTGCCTCCGAAAGCGGACAGAATTCTCACCCAAGCACATTTAGACCTTCGCGTGCCTAGCGAACTCAAGTACGGCCTTCATGTTCTCATGATACAGCATGGTCGTGCGTGTAAAGGATGCAAGAAGATTGATTCGGAGGAATCCTGCATCCTAAAAGAATGTCTCAAGGCGAGAAAAGCGGAGGACGGCGACGACGCCCTGGAGGTAATTGACGATGATGAAGACTGAATTCACCCTGCATACTAGGAATGTCTAAATTATGTTTGCGCAATGCAAAGTTGTTTCCTTACCGCCTCTCGTCCTCTCGTCCCTTTGCCTTGTTCCTGCATCCTCAATTTGCCTCAATAGGACTCGAGAACGTGACTAAGGTACCACTTCCTTTCTCGTTGGTCCTCGCCTTGATTCCATTTCTGCTCAGGAACCATTCTAACCCTAGCGTCCTCGATTCAATTATACCGTGTAGGGGGGTCCCTCAACAAACTCCCCCGGTAAATTCTGTCATGTCAGTTTCGCCCACAACCACCCAGCTTTTCCTGGCCAGCGTCATCCGGATTCATCACGAAGGTCATTAACAGCTGACCGGATCGGTGAGCATCGGCGCCCACGAAGCCCATGAGGCTCTCAACCTCTTCCAACGGACGTCTCGCGTCGCCCGATCTGGCTGTTCTAATTTATCATTTGACCTCTCTTAGCGCTCGTCTTTAGCGACTTCTAGGATCAGCGCCCCCAGATGTGATTAGCAGACCCGAGCCAACGGTGCGCCCGCCGCCGCCTGATGGAACTTTAAGCGCGCGCGAACACGTGTTATGGCGAGCGTGCTTGCTTTGTGCTGATGAATGATCAGGCATCCACCCTTCTCCTTCCCTTCCTGGACGAGTGGGACCCACCGTACTCCTTCTATCTAATCACCCCTACCATCTGATTGACCAGGATTGCGGAACCAACTATCGAGGACTTGGGACCTATCTGGCCGACATACCCCAGATTTATTTTGTGGACGAGCTCGGTCATCAATTGAAGATCTTTTTTTATCTTGTATGTCCTCCACATCAGCGGAACTGCCTGTACAGACGCTTGCCTACGCTTGCGTATACCATTCAACGATCGGTGCGTAAAGGTTTCTCCGAGAGGCTGTTATTAGGCTCTCCAATTGATTGTCGGCGCCCTGTTCGTCGCCTGTTCGTCTATCTGGCTCCTCGCACTGGTTTTTCTTCGAATTCGTCTGCATCTCGCCTCGATGCTAATACCATCCCGGGAACGCCGAAGAGTTGTTTGATTTGCACACCACACCAAATCATACAGACCCATTGCGCACACAGAACCATGGAAGGTTAGATCCATTCCAATCTCCAAATGCTGCGGGCTCAATGAACTCCCACCGCCCGAATTTACACGGGAGAATTTTCGCAGAGCACCGTTCGATATCAGACCCTCGTTCTTGCTTTCGCTCCCATAAAAGGACAATCCCGATGAGGCACCTAATCCTTCCTCTCCCGAGTCGCTGGCTTTTGTTATCGACTTATTGTCTCTTCGAGAGGGTTTTGCCAAAGCAACGGTTACTCGTCGACCGTTGGGACGAATGGGACAGCCTGGATCTCAGGTGAGTAGCTGAAAGGACAAATCCCTCGTCCGAGTCGGAATTCGCTGATTAGGTTGCATTTAGGGTACAACTTCGGAGCGTCGGACGCAGTGCCAGCACTCCGCCGTTGCTGTTGGTCTTTGTAAGTCTAACTCTCCTTCGTCCGATTTGTTATCTAATCACAACATTTAGTCTTCGTAGATATGAGCTGACACCTCGGTTATCGATCGATTGTAGGTCCTTCGTCGCTTCAGCTGGGGCCAATCCTTGACGCGTTGACAGTTTGTATTGATGGTTTGTGGGCGCGTTGTGGGCGTACTAGTGTCCTCGCTGACAGCGTTTGCTGTCCCGTGCTGTGCTATGGCGAGCGACTTATCCCCATCTACCCTTGTAAGTCCTATCTCATGATGCTTTTTAAACAAAATTTACTCGTGGTCCCGAACAAGATGCTTTCGATGCCGTTGTGTGGGACATGTGGGCGCTGATCCCATGATCACCCGTTTTCCCTAGCGCCTGTTATCCGTGGACGGTGGCGCAGTCTAACACGGTCTCATCAGCACCCACTTACCACGGACGCACTACGCGGAACACAGGATAGAATAACTTGGTGTTCAAAAGCATGCTTCTCGTTCTCTCGGTCTTCGGTCTGCTCCTCCTCGGATCCTTCCCACCCGGGCGTGTTCGTCCGCCACACGGCGCTGCTCCCGGATCACTATCGAGGCCTGTGCAAAAAACCAGTGTTAACCGCTCAGAGATATGTTTCAACTTCGAGCTGCTTCCTGAGGTTGTGCATCTTGATATTGGTGGTGTACCTCGGGATTCTTGAAGTTTCCGTGTTGGTTTACATCTGTCGGCTAACTGTCGTCGAGTGCTTCTCGGATATCTCGCACATTTTCTGTTCTTTTGTTTCAGACGACATTGGCAGAGGCAACACCTAATCGGCGACAAATGATATTTCAATTGTTTGCTGTACACCAGCGTTCTCCGGCGACGTTCTTTCTCTCAATATACCCGATGGGTCGTTCCTCTTGTGTCGACGACTTCTGTATTTTGTCACCATCTGTCTCAGAATATCTTATCAGCTCTGTTTGACGATGTGGACGGGAAGTATCTAATCAGGCTAGGCCTCTAGTCAGCGAAAGGGACATCCGATATCTTCTGGCGACGCTAGAGGCTCTGCTTTGCGTGGAATCTTCCCTTTCCTCGAAGACATCTCTGCGTCTGAACGAAGGATGCCCAATTGTAGGGAGGAAAATGACAAGGCCTACGGGGTGCATATTCCGTGCATCTTTCGATTAAGACTTCGACTTGTCGACAATCCTGCCTCACTGACTCAGTCGTTGAACCCCCAGCTCATTAGAAGCCTTCTAGTCTCATTCCCGCGGCACTTTTTGGGTTAATGAAGGATGAAGTCATCGTTTCGCTAATTGGCCCCTATACACGGTGCTTCGACGGCGAGTTCATGCACAGGCCTCTGTTTTCATGGGAACTCGCATCTGGCCGCGATCTGACCCTCTCCCCGTTCGATTTTCTATTCTTCGACTCTCAGCTCACCAAGTATTGTAATTCTAGTTCACCTCGTGCCCTTCGAAGAGCGTTACTTGTCGACTTCGTCTCGCTCTAACGGCTATTCCTCGGAGGAGCATCTCGCCTCCGCACCGAGGTACTATGATTGGGCATACCGACCGTCTACCCCGCCTCAGTGTCTTGGCGGCACTTTTCTTGAGGGCCACCGAATATGCAACAACTTTTCGGTCATTGCTTTGAAAGCTCAAGAATAATTCTCAGCTGACCAAGACGAAACCTTCCTTCGCGTCTCTGTTACCCAGGTCACCAAACCCCGCCGACAACACTTAGCTTCCATTTCACCACCGACATCTCCTTTGAAAAGGCCATTTATTTGACATTCTCTCTTGGACCTCGGGCATCAAGTACAATTTAACCTTCAACCGATGTCCTCAGCTTTGGTGTCGGCAGTGGTTCCTAGGTCAGCAAGAAGGGACGCGAACATTGGAGGCGCTGAGATCCGGTTAATCAATGGTCCTTCCCCGCACTCCTCTATAAGTACTTTGCCTATCAGCGACACCATGATCACCTTTGACCCCATTCAACGCTAGAACACGATCGATGGGTTGTGCAGCCCTCGCGTGGAGGCCGTTTAGTTGCCGGAGTCAGGTTCGGATCTCGAGCTTACCCCGCATACGCAAACGACCTCGGGCTTGCTTTTCGGAGACCCCGCTCTCCGTGTGGTGTCGCGACCGAGAAAGATAACCTCTTGCGCCTCCGGATCTCCGTTGTTGGCGCGGACGGGGGCCCATATACGCGAATTTGTTTGTCGGAATTCTTCACCGCCCCTCAGCTGACATGCTTTAGGCTCTTAGAAGACTATGAGCGCATCACTCGAGGGACACATTGCTGACACTGACGTCGATTATGATTCGGAACATACTGGATAGTGTGTTATCGCTGAACTTCTGGTCTGTTCGGGCTTTCGGCATGCTCAGGAATATTGCTCTCATTTATTGTAGTCGCTTCCGTGGCCCGTTGTATCCTCCGAAATCCAACCCGTTCACTAAGTGATGTCATAAACTAGGAGGTTTCGGTCCGTCCGGCTCCTATGCCTCCGTCTCCGACTCTTCCAGTCGGCACACGAGCTTCTCGCAGCTCACTATCTCCTCCACGCCAGCTCTTGGGCCGTTCAAACCCAATGGCCGAGTACTTATAATTTTCGGACATGTCCTCTCGTTCTCCAGGGGAAATCCACCGCGGATATATCTTACCTCGTTTTACACGGCGTCTCGGGTGGACCTATCTACCTCTATGGTCTATCAAATGGAAGCTCTGAGCCGTCTGCCACCTTCTGTCTTCCGTCTCTCGAGATTTATGAGCGGGAGGCGTCATGGGTCTCGAGTTGGGCAATGGGCATGTTACCGAGGATTTGGTTCCGTTAAGACCGAAAGGTAATTTGAAGACGAGGATTCGGCGTGTTCGTGCCGACCACTGCCTCGCCCTCAGACTGCCATAAGAAATCACGTCAGGTGACTTGAAAGCTACGCTATCTTTGCTCAACCCCTTGGAACTGTAAGTAAAGTTTGGGAGTTCTGAAGTATCTGTCGAGCTATTCGCCGCCAACATCTGTCTATTTTGGCACTAGTAGCCCGGAACTCATTGCTTTCAAGTTCGTGATTTTAACCAATAGATGATCCTTGGATATACACCAGGGTCCGAACTATGTGGAACGTTTGGGCATTGTCTTATCATTTATCCAGAACTCTCGTAAAGCATCTGTCTTCAGCATCCAATACATATACTTGTCGAACTCTGTTCAAAGATTGAGGGAGTGCAATGATGTACCACATTTAGAGCACTAACTTGGCTCTTCATTTCCATGCTGAGAGCCTGAAGTCTCCTTCATAGTTATCAAGTGATTCATTGACCGAGGATGTTCAACAACAACAACCGCCCCCGGTGACTGAACGGGAGATAAAAATATCGAGTACAGCACTGACGAAAGTGGGAAGCTGGTAACGTGCACCCCGAAATGGACGTGTCACTTGTCGAAAAAGAACGTCCGAAAAATCATCATAAAGAGCTGTAAGTTTAGCTTTAGGAAATGAGGGTGGGGTCACTCTCAAAGCGTTAAGAATCTTCGGGAGGAAGAATGGAGCCAAATGACAGAGTAGGTGACCCGAGGTGCGTTTAGCATAGGACAACGGCGTTCGCAACCAAAGGGCCCTCATCGTCTTGATTCGAGGGTTATCGAACTGCGGGCACATCACATGCTTGAAGAGCGGTCCCGTCTCCCAAACAAATATTCGAAAGTCTTCATTTCATTACAAGTCACCTAAAATAAATCGAAAGCAACAACAGAGCACGAAAGCTTAGCCAAACAACGAAAACAGCAACCAAACGCACCGAACACACCACCCCGAGGTCTTCATCCGAAAGCCGAGATGAATCCCGTTGGAATCCGCAATCCCGTTGGAATCCGCAGGTCGGGGTCGTCAGCTTGGGGGTGGTGGTAATCGTCGCGTTGGACGAGATCGATCTCCCACTCGCGCTCCCGGTACGAGTCCATCAGATCCTCAACCTCCCGCTCCTTGTCCATCCACTTCTGAAAGACAAACTTGCTGGGTTCGAGACTCGCTGTCCTTCGCTTCTTCGCCTGGACCTGATCCCAGACTGTGGGTAGCCCGTGGGTGATGCAATACCACTCTCTTCGAGGAGGCTGAGACCACGTGAGGAAGGTGAAGCGGTCGTCCTGCGAGCAAGGCTCCAACCACTTCTTCCAGGAAACGTAATCCTCGCTAAGCAAGCCAACGTTGACGACGAATACAAGTGATTGCAGGTTCTTCGACTTCTTCAGAACCTCCTTGAGAGACGCGACAAGGTTGAGCGCAGTCGTCTCTGGGAGCTCCGCGCGAGTACTGACCGCGAGGTCTGTGAGAGAGGGGAGGTCGGCGACGGTGGAATATCGGTGGCCGTGCGTGATGCACGTGTAGAGGTGCGTAACGGATTGGAAAATGGGGTCGTAGAAGTTGACGAGGTGGGGGCTACCGTAGTGGACGATCAGCATCGTCTTGGGGCGGATGGGGTGCAGCCTAAGCCAGAAAGCGTTCGCGGCGAGATTCTGGCTCGTAATGGCGAGCTTCGATATGCTGGTAAAAACGGGCCCCACATTCGCGAGCGCCGTTTCGATCGAAGGCCGCCGATCGTTGACCACGAATACCCACGTGTCGACCTTGTATGTTGAGAGCATCCGTGGCATAATGTGAAGCTTTGACTTCAGCGCTGGCACGTAGTTCTTGCGCTTGGGCAGAAGGATGCTCGTGAATCGAGTAACATGGTCCGGCATGGTCATGACGACATCCCGAAAGAGGACCGGGAGAACGAGGATGTTAACGTCGCTGGAGACCAATCGCAGCTGCCGAGCTTTGTTGCTACTCGTTTCTGCGAGTAGTATTAGGATTTCGCGTTTGAGCTCTAGAGGGAGCTGGTTCCACAAGTGAGGAGATAAATCCCTAGAAGCGAGAAATAAGTTGTACGATCGAACTGGGGAATGATACGAAATTTGCTTGCTGTGAGGATGCCATCGTTAGGATTCCTGGTTTCTCTCAGGTACTGGAGGAGACACTAGCAGCCTCGAGGGACTTTCGTCGTAGTGGTCGATGTCCAAAGGTTTGAATAATCGAAATTGCGGCCCTCGGTCGCTTTGCCGACCCTAATCATCACACGTGATGGCTCTTTGACGACAAGTACTTATTGGATGCTGAAGACAGATGCTCTACGAGAGAACGTTCTGGATCAATGCCCAAACGTTTCACATAGTTCGGATCCTAGTGTTCGTCCAAGGATTATCATTGTTGCAGTGTTTTCGTGTTGTTGCATTCGATGTATTTTAGGTGACTTGGAATCAAATGAAGGCTTTCAAGTCTCGAATAAAGCGTGTGATGTGCCCGCAGTTCGACAACCCTCGAATCAAGACAACGAGGGCCCTTTGGTTGCGAACGCCGTTGTCCTATGCTAGACGCACCTCGGGTCACCTACTCTGTCATTTGGCTCCATTCTTCCTCCCGAAGATTCTTAACGCTTCGAGAATGACCCCACCCTCTTTTCCTAAAGCTAAACTTACAGAACAGCTCTTTATGATGATTTGCCGGACGTTCTTTCGACAAGTGACACGTCCATTTCAGGGTGCACGTCGCCAACTTCCCATTTTCGTCAGTGTCAGTTGTGTGCTGTGCTCGATATTTTTATCTGCCATCTAGTCACCGGGGGCGGCTGTTGAACGGCCTCGGTCAATGAATCACTTGAGAGCTTGAAGTCTCCTTCAAGCTCTCAGCAATGAAATGAAGGGCCTTGTTGAGGCTCTAAATGTGGTACGTCGTTGCACTCGTGCCCTCCGCAGTCTTTCCGTCCTCAGAACATCCTTTCCACCTTATCTCAGTCAGATGCGTGGCTCGCTGCATTCCTGGCCATGCGACGATTGATTCTCAGCACCTCTTGGTGTTTCGCGGTTACCTGCCTCGGTGGAATGGATTTGTGGACCTTCGTCCAATTTCGGATTATGACCTCAGTGCCCTCTTCCACATTTCGTCGAGGTAAGCGATCAGCAGGACTCCGACTCGGAAGCTTATTTATTCTGAATTCAGTTCGAAAGAGGTACTTTCTGTCGGGGGCAAGTCGCCACCGTTCTTGGCGAGGGCGGATCAGACGCGTTGATCGCGCCTGATGCGCGCGACGATACCCGCTAATCGAACCAGACGATCAAATCTGATCGCGCCTCCACCTTCCAATCCTAATTCACAATTTCAAATCCTTGACCAGTATCAGTGTACCACCAGACTGCGTAGAGGTATGTACCCTCCTTTTTTTTTTTTTACTTCCGCCTTCGTTTGCATGCCTAGACAAACCAACGCACGCATCAAGCCGCCTCTAGGCATCCTCCGTTGTGTAAAGACAATAAACACGGTGGGACAAGGACGACCTATGACGCCCAGCCAAGGATGTGTTGGATGCGATGCGTTCGCCACGGTCAGCCGCCTTTTGCATTCATTCGGCCATGGAACACACGTCGAGATGCACCGCCTCTCCCAGCTCGTCGCGCGGACTACCGACGGACGCCGTTGATTATCGAGCGCCCACGTAGAATGAGGTCGTTCTAACCTTCGTGATTCTGAAGAACACGCATGCAGTGCTCATTGTGTCCATACCAGGCACTGCGCCGCGATGCGGCTCCTCGGTACTCCAGCCACCGATGCTTTCAGGTCTCTCTTCAGCATCCATATCACCCAAAGATTCGGGGTGTCTCCAAAGAGGAATAGACCTTGGCGGGACCTATTGCCTCTTTAGCCTCTCCTGCGGCCGCCCCTTTTTTTTTCTAATTTCGATATCAGCTCTTTATCATCCTAGGCTAAATCGGGCACCAAAGTGGGACTGTTCCGTGGATAGAATTTACCCTCTTCTCAATAGCCTCCTCCGACTCGGAGTTGCCGCAGTTCAGGTCCAAGCATGGACCCGGATGACACATTCTGTCCAGCCTAGGACACACGTGGGTCTTGACCTCATTAAGGACGCCACTCTGCACCCAGAATCTGGAAGACATATGGACGAAATTTCTGTTCCAACGGTGCCTTGGAGGTGTGGATGACTGTTTTGTAGAAAATTCTGTCGACTCCGATGTGGGCTTGGGCGACACGATGAATCTCGGTCAGACGTGCCTCTCTCTACTTTGTGAAGTCAGCTGAAACGCAGCAGAAAATATTTCTGCTGTTGAGTTGCTCCCATTGGTCGGCTCGTTGACAGTCGCCCCTTGCCCAAAATGGAATCGGATGCGCCACACAGAACTAGGTCATTCGAGACACGTCTCTTGTCTGGATCAGGTGACTGAGTAGCATCTACACCTTTTTGTTACGACAGTGTCTTTTCTTCAAATTTGTCTACCTCCTCTGCGTTCTCGATTTGCCATTCGGGTCTCTCATGTGTACGTTTGCTGGATAGCTCACCCCCTTTTAGTAACTTCTTCACGATTGATGAACTTCTCAGTACGCTCTGGATTGCCTTTCCGTCGTTCTTCACTACCTCATTTCCACTCATAGTTATCGTGCTCTCTTCACTTTTCAGTCCTAGATAGCGAAGGCCGACTATGGTCTAGACATGTCAATCTCGAAATCAGTGATGTCATCCTCATGTTACCTATCATGTTCCTAGGCAATTAGACATTTCCTCATGTCCTGCGCCCGTCACCCTGTCGTGAGGCTTTTTAACTATTCACTGATCCGTGTTGTGTCCGTTCTGTATAATTCATTATAATCACACCTCGTGTAAGCCTCGAATGGATTTTGTGGGTCCTATGTTCCTTGATCGCTTACCATGAGGCATTTTCACGAGTCGAGAAGTGAGAATTCAGCTTCGGCCATTCACGTGAGATTCATAGAAGGGCGATTCCAACAACGAAGGCAAGATGTACAGTCACAAGACCGAATTTTGCCGTCTCTAGATAGGAGCTCGACGAACGTCGACCCGGCGTATTTATTTATTATCAAAAGAGGAAACTTATGCGGAGTACATGCGGCAATCGCTTGCTGTATCTTGTTCATGTACTCTATGCACAAGCAAAGCGCCGTCTACCCCCCTCCCATTCTACGTCAATTTCTCCAAAGCTCTCCATAGTCATCTTCTTTCTCGATCCTTACGTTGATCGCTTATGAGCTGGTCCGGACAATATTGGCAAACGGCAGGGCCAGCTTATCCCCCTCCATACTACCCGTATCATCACGGACCTCCAGGGCCCGCTCCTTCCAGTAAGATCCTTTAATAATTTCACCTTTTAATTACTGTTTATTGAGTCAAATGAAGATTTCCACCAGCAGTGGCAATGGTACAGCAATTATCCGTTCCCGAATCCTTATCAACACAGCAGCTCATACCATCATCCTTCATCTCAACCTGCCTCGAGACACGACAGCGGAAATTCGCAGTATAACGCCGCAGTGCTGCCTCCTGTAATTCCGGATCCACGGTTTACAGCTCAGTCTCAGACGCAGGCGGCATACCTCCCACACGTATCGTATACTCCAGTGGCACCGGCGCCTCACCTCACCCCCAATTCCAATAGTCACCCAACCACACCGGCGACTCCGTATGGATTTCACTTTCATGATCCCGCCTTCTACACCCCGCATACGCAACCACAGCTCTTATGTCCGAACCCTTTCTTCAATCCCCAAGGAGTAGGTACTTCTCATGGGAATACGTGGTTACCGAGCCTTGGGTCTCATGGAACGCCGAACGGTTACCTTCATCGACGGCCTTCAGCCGGCAGCCTTCCGCGTACCCCTCATCACAATAATGTTCCGTTTCCTGACGCCCGTAACCAGAATTTCCCTGCCTTCCCCGCTCCTCAGATTCACCGTCAACCCTCTAGTCACCCCCATACGCCTGCATCATCTCGCCCTCCATCAACCGATTTTCGTCGAGGTTCCTCGCAAACCTTTTATTACCAACTCTCTCCAGATCTCGCAAACGACCTCTCGAAATTTCCATTCCTGGATTGGATAGTGTGGCGAGCGCCTGCTCACGCACGAAAATGGGTAGGCCAGACCGCGCAGGGGCATATAGCGCTTAATGATCCTGCGGTGTATCCAACAGTAAGGGAGCTTCGAATCAATTCGACGAGGGCCGATGACCCTCTCAAACACGCGATCCGCCGCTGGGGTTACATTACCGTCGCTGCCGCGAGGAATCAGCCCTACGTCACTGTAGGCGATGTCCTTAATGAAATATACAGCTTCTTCCGCACGCCATTAACGCAAAGGGAGGCTTCCACTATGACGCCTGAGTGGCACGATTTGGTCAACGAATCCTGCGCTCAGCGCACGGCTTCACAGTCGGCGGACGACGTCTTCCCGCTCCATGACCCGTTTGTGCCTGGTCTTCGACGTTGCGACGCATTGCTTCACAACATTAGATATGCCGGCCTGGAGATAGATCCCAATTTCCACAATTCTCGCCAGCTGTTTCTGTCGCTCGAGGATGACAGACTTAGGAATTCGTCCTAGTCACGTTTTGTAGATCGTCTGATAGGAATGCATATAATAACTTCTTATTCGCCAAAATATTTTCATTGAGAGAAGTAGCAAGCGCCCATGCAACCTCCATGTGGCCTGACAGGACTTAGTGTCAGGAAGCCCCTAATCCCTGTTGCAGGGACAGTGTGGCGTGGCGAAGAGGGCGTGGGAGGGCGCGTCTCACCCAGTGGCATCAGGAATGTCTTGCATGGACCTTCCATCCTGCCGTTTGGTGCATGAACCCAACTCAGCACAAGCACCAAAGAGCTTCTCTATAGTGGCGCATATTCCTCGCTCGGAATGACATCGAAATCGTTTGTCTATCCGGTGCTCTTTGAGGGCGGTCAAGGTTTCCGAAGAGGACCACCCGAACGGCGACATCCCTGCATTCCATAGGTTCCAAACCTTATCAGCTCGGGATCGTCTCGCACGTAAATGGATGACTGAATTGTCATCTTTCCCTTCAGTCGTCGGCACTTTCTCTCTCTCTTATGTATGTGCAGGAACCTTCGCTTCCCATTACTCCTCCCCAACCTGCGCAGATGCAAGAAGTGTCTCTGGTTCTCAGTCGGGCTGCGCTTGACAAACGCCATTACTCGTCTCGTACGTTTGGTTTCTCATCGCGTTCTTTATCTGACTGACTTCTTTCGCGAAGTGGCCGCACTCGTCCTTCTCGTCCTGGAGTATGCGAGCATGTTTAAGTATGAGTACGCGTTGATTTGGAAGTAGGTGGCTATTTCTTTGCCCACACTGTTCGCCTCATCGATATCGGTTTAAAGGTCTCCTCACAGCTTTGTGAAGAGTCTCTACTTGGGATCTCGGTATTTGGCGTTGGCAGCAGAGATGTGAGTATCCCGCTTCATTCAATCCTCGAATCACCTCAACGACATTCGCGGCAGAGCGCATTATTCCCTGATCCACGCGTTTCTTCTCCACGCTCCTGTGAACCTTGAAACTTGTCGCGCATGGTTCCTATTCCTTATTGCTAGCTGCACGGTCTTGATGGCCATTCTGGACTCTGTACTATTTCTCCGAGGTGAGTGGCATCTTGCTTTTGGTGATTATGCTATTCAGCACCCGCAGTGTACGCCCTCTATGAGCAAGACCGAAGAGCCTATGCTCTGGCTCTGCTACTCTTTCTCCCATACGTCCCCACCGCTGTCCTCATCTGGCGAAACGCTTTCCTTCCCCATTCCTTTAGCAACACGTGCGATTTGACCATGGCACCCCTTGAGACGATAGTTATTGGGTGGGTCTTCGTGAGGAATATCACGATATTTGTTGCTGACGGCGCCTGGCAGCTCCACCTTTGTCATCGGCCATCTAGCCCTCTGGATCGCCTCGTACTCAAAACGTAACATCGCACAAGGACAATCTGTCGTCGTCAAGCTGGTCGTCTACGAAGGGGCATGCGTGTTCGTTCTTCTATCCGGTGAGATTTATTTTCTTAGTGACGAACATGATAAACGATCTAAACCCTAAAACCAGCTATTGTCGCCGGCATGGTCCCATACTCTTTCATCTCTCAGACTGGAAACCCCTTCGTTCTCTTCGTGTAAGTCTGCGATTTTATTTTTCTCCTTCTAAACTCATTTTTTGGTTACGGTGGCTCTTAGTTGGCCAATAGCCGGGATTTCAACAATGGTACGTCCAGACATCCTTCGCTCGCCTGTTACTGAAGGGTTGAGATACTGCAGTCCTGCAGGTTAATTCTCAACATGCGGAAGTTGAAGCCGCCTACTGAATTCGAGACCGCGTCGGACTTTCCGCTGTCAACTTTCATCCACACCTCTCAAGATACTGAGCACATTGAAGGCTCTGGCGATCTGCGATTTAACCCCTAAATACCAGGATTCTAAGCTATAATTAACTTCCGCTTTGATGAACAGCCTAGTCGTAGCATAAATATTAAAATAAGCGCCCCGTTCGCGCACGGACTTGGTGCTTAACGCCGTAGCTCTCTCACATCATACTTAGCTTCGCAACTCCATAGTACCTGTCTCCCGCCCTTAATTTTCGCAGCCGAATGCAACTCGGGGTTGGTTCGCAAGCTATTGGCCTGCCCTTAGTTTCCTTGGTGTTCTAGCGGAAGAAAAAATGCGCGCTCGGGACCAGCCCTGCAGATTGGTCGGGTGTCACCAAGGTTTTTGGGGCTGACGATGGCGGTGCTTCAGAGGGTTGTGCTAATCCGTGAATCAAGTCCCGGGGCCGGAATCCTTCTCTCAAGAAGAGATCTCTTGCTTATCAGTTCCCAGCAACGTCAAGGGAGGTTGAGCTGGGATAGGGGAATAATTATAGGAGAGCCGCTTGTCTCGAATACTAACGAAGCACCGAGACAAGCTATCGCGAGAAAAAGAATTCACTTCGAATCATAGAAGGCCATTTTTTGTTCCCCGTCAAGTACGGATGACAAAATTCGAAAAGAAAGAACCGAAGAACCTTTGACAATAAGTAATTCAAAAATAACCTGCGGTGGAGTTACCCACTACCCCATAGGAACAGGAATCAGCGAAGCTTCTTGTTAGGGTGACGGAAATGTCCCTATGGTTTTCCTTCTTACAGGGGAAGAATAAATCGGCAGTTTATAGGCACTGAGAGTACCAGTCGTTCGAGAAGGTACAGGTTGAGCCCGCGGCGCACGTAGTGCATCCAGTATACCCTTGACCTCCACATTGACCCCACTTGTTGACGGTGCAGCTGGGTGGTTGAGTGGGCTGAGGGTTGGCAGTGGTAGTAGTGGGCACGGGTTGTGTCGACGTTCCGGGAGTGGTGGGAGGAGACGGGATGCTGGGATCATACCGAGCTTTAATGAGGTCTGCAGCCTATAAAACGAACATGCGTCACCAAAAAGGCAGTAAAAATGAAGAGTAAAATGTTGGAAGCATCACTCACCTTCTCAGCAATCGCATAGACTGTGGCGCAAGTGTGCGTCGCAGGGATAATTGGGATGATGGATATATCACCGACGCTGAGGCCAGTGACGCCGTACACCGTCAAGTCCGCCGAGACAACACCAGCTTGTTCCTGCGGGGCCATCGCAGCCGTGCAGCATGAGTGAGCAGTAGAAGCGCCCATCGAAGTCGTGAGGTAGTTCGCGAGCTGCGCGTCGCTAGTGAGGCTAGCTCCCGGCGTCTGCTCGACGGGGGTGAGCTGCTGCATGCTCGGGGCCGCCATCCACCTGCGGAAGAACTTGATCGTGGCGACAAGGATATCGGGATCGACTGGGTTAATATTCACGTTGAAGTCGACCGAGGGCTCGGCGTAACGATTGGCGGGGTTCAGAAGGACGGTCCCGCGAGAGAGCGGCTTCATGAGGACGAGAGACGTGCTGGCTCCACCTGAGAAGGGGATTTCGACGACGCCGTTATCCTGCTTCGCGAACGAGGCGAGGAGGATGTCACGTTGGGCGACGAAGCCAGCGACCTGGGCGGCGGTGTAGCCCCGGGGGAGGTATGATGCAGCGTTTTGAGCTTTACCCTTGTCGAGGATGGCCTGGAAGTTGGAGGTTAGGATGGGAAGCGGGGCGGTGACCAGCGCGTTGCCAACACCCATTGACCTGGGTCCTTGAGGGAATTAGAGACGTAGAGGAACACATATGAATATATTCTTACCCTTTCTTTGCTGCCATTGCTGATCAGCCCAAGTGCGGAATGTCGCGTCGCTATTGAGGGAGCCAGGGTTGGGGACGACGTCGGTTTGGTCTGAAAAATTGTGTGCATGAGCTACTACCCCTGCAAAAGCCATCAAATGCCTTACATTGGAACCCGGCTCTGGATACGGGATGGTCCTGAAGATTGGATCCAACACCGGGGAGGTCCGCCACAACATTGACGCCAGCTTGCTGAAGGAGAGCGCGTGGACCAACTCCGCTTCGTTGCAGGATTTGAGGAGTATGGAGCCAGCCAGCACAGAGGATGATTTCCTGTGTTGCCTTTACAGTGATGGTGGGGGCGCCGTTGGAAGAACCGCGCTCTTGGATGGTGATGGACTCAGCGCGCTTGTTGGCATTGAAGAGGACCTCATTGACTCTGTAACCAATTAGGAGTTTAAGGTTGGCACGATTGGCGACGGGGTCCCAGTAGCCGGTTCTGGCGTATGAACGGCGATATTGTTGGTCGACATTTGAGGGTATCCAGTAGGCCCCGAACGCGTCTCCCGCTGCACCTTCGGTGTTGATCGGCATGCCAACTTCGGCCCACGCCTTCCATTGAATTTCTGTTTCTGTGTAAGAACAGATAGAAAATAATTTGACACAGAATCGTACTAATTCCTGGCCATTGCCAGTCGGGGAATGTAGCTTGAACGGGACCATTGCCGTAGGCGCGTTCAATGTCCCAGGTGATGTTGTATTCGCGGGTGAGTTCGGGACTCGGAGGGGTAAATGTAGTGCTCTGGAAGTTATGTCAGAGGAATTTTAGACTATCATCACTGTGAATTACGACACACCTTTTTGAAGTAAGGGAGCAAGCCACTCCAACCCCAGCCTGGATTACCTAGTCTCTCCCAGATATCGTAGTCTTCTGCTGATCCACGGTCGAAGAGCATTCCGTTGACGGTAGAACCGCCGCCGACTACGGACGCCGCATAGACCTGCCCTTGTCTGTTGCCGATCCCAGGTTGTGCCACAGAGGAAAGGTTGAAGAGATTGCGCGAAAGATATTGGGTCGCACTCGCGGGCTCCACCTGCGCGGGATTGTTGTCGAAATAGCCATATTCGACGACGAGGACGGATCCTGACGAATAATAATCGACGGTCAGACATCTTGCGAACGATAAAAGGAGAGAAAAGCGCACTCCCGGAGTCTTCGCTCAAACGGTTTGCGATGACAAGGCCGCTCTGGCCACCACCCACGACGATGTAGTCGTAGGCGGCCGCGAGCTGCCCTGCGTTGATTTGTCGAGCTTGCAGCCCGGAGAGCATTTCGACATAGCCATTGACGGCACCGAGCACTGCCAGTAGCTGCGTCAAGCCTAGTAAACGAGATGTGAGTCGCGCCATCGTTCTCGTTGGAGAAAGTCGAGCTTGGGCGTACGTCACAAACTTATAGCGTTGTCCCTCTCGTTTCTTGTCCCGATTTTGAGCCGACGAAAGAGAGACAAGCGACTCTAGGTAGGTGGTATTGAATAGAAGGAAGGGGTCTTTCGGCGCTCGCGTATCATGAAGCCGCCACGAAAATCGCGTCGCAGTCTGCAAAAGACCAAGCAAGGTCAGCCGCACAGTCGCCAAGCGTAATAAAGTGGAAATAACGAACCGTATGACCAGAAATGACATCGCTATTTAGGCGATGGAATCCCCGCCTGGATAAACTGGCGATTAGTGTGTTGCAACACTGTAGAGCGGATTCCCAGTCAAAACACGATATTTAGCAGGCCCTTTCCGTGTTCTACTCGCAACTTTGACCTTCTATAGCGAATCTATGTATAGGACTCAAGTCCCATAGTAGCCTTCTCTCACTTCTGAGGATATTTTAGTCCTGTGGGTGTTCGTCTTCGATGTAGATTCATGGAAGTTCGGAGGCACTAGCATTTTCGCCGAGGTTGGGAAATTTTGATTAGATAAGATGTTGAATGTTCCCAGGGAGTCTCGACTGTGCATCTCCCCCAAACTACTTTATTGAAATCGCGTTTCGTATCTTCCGCTATGTCAACTGCGAGCGTTTTTGTCACTTGGAGGTCTCTCTCGAGGAATAATTCGTGGTACAAGCTCTCCTGTATGGCGGAATATCTAGCATCTCAAGCGAGAAGAGTTCTTTCCGAAGACCAATATAATACACGCAATGGGGTAATTAAGCTCGTACGTGATTTTTATAACCTTTAACTCGGCGGAACTGCAAAGTCCGAAATGATCAAGCTACTATTGAATGTGCGGCGTCATCCAAATTGGACGAACCAAACTCTGTTTGCCTTGCACTGCATCGCGAGAAATACAGCAGGACTCGAGCCAATTTGTGACAAGTTACTGAAATACTTACAAAGAAGAGAATATAACGGGTCTCTTCAACAGCCCCAGTGTCCATTCCGCCATCGAACAGTGGTAACCCGAAGACAGACTGACGAAGTTCATCTCGAGGTCTCCTCAATAACATTTGGAGGAGCTGAAAGGCATTAGAAATGCCACGTTCCTCATGATTTCCAGTCATCTCGTCATGTGGTTTTCTCCACCTTCGAATTATTCCGCCAGGTCTTTCGTCGGGTTTTCCCCCAAGTGCCAAGGCAAAGCCCCAGGAGATCAAAGTTGGGCCTCGGTCCTCGATCAGCAGCCTATATTTCAAGATCCTCGACACTGTTGAACTGCCACGACAGTCGTGCAGGTCCACATGTCCCTGGAACTGCTCCTGCTGTGTTTTCACTAGGGGAATTTGGCGATCCGGACGGTCCGGACGGGGAACTGGCTCACCAGTACTCAAGTGCTGGCGACATCGCCGACATGAACGCCGGAAATACAGTGATATGTTTACCACGCGTGAGCGCATTAATCTGCCACCAAACGAACTGTACAGCCGAGCAACTATCCCTAAAGGCGGAACGTGCGGAAAAGACGATGAAGTTCAACAATCTTGAGACATGGAAATTGCGCAAGCGCTAACGCTCCGCTCGGACAGGCAATAAATGGGGCTGCAGAAGGACAGAAAGGCAACAATCCGAGACGAGGGTGCAGTGTGGCTTATTGTCGCGCTGGAGTAGTCTTGGACCCCGGTGTTCAGAAATGGACCATGCCGGGTTACACCTCACCTCACCTACACATCGTTGCGCTTTTACATAACTTCTCATGTCGCTTATTTGAATTATATCTCTATACGAAGAGCAGCATCGTTGGAATTGTACACTCCTTTGCTAGCTTCCTCGGTGATAGAAGCTCGATGTCCTGAGTTCTGTGACTAACTGAAACAGCGAAAGGAGTTAATCCTCGTGTAAATTTCCTTTACCCTCCTTTTACCCTCCCTTTCTATTTTATGACACCGACTGTACCGGTCACAGCTTCGCAGTGTAATCCTACTCTAGGAGCTATTAATATATTCTGACCATGACTACATTTCAGTCCGCGAAACTCGTTCTTGAGGCCAGGCATTAGGGCAACACGTTACACAGGTTAATGTTCCTACAGAATAGGCGGTATATCTGGCACCGTCCAGTACCTGAAGTAAATCTGAGGAGACACTAGCATGTTGTTCCGGCATGAGGTCAGAAGATCCGGCTAGTCATATTATTGCAGTTCACGATTTTGCTGTGCCTTCGAGGCAAAAGAAAAATATGCCCAAGTCATTTTCCTTCAATTCTACATAGCTTCGCACCTGGGCTAAAGCTGTGTGATGAACGCTCGTGAAGCCTGATTCCCCAGAACAACCGCGTCGAGATAAGCCAATTCATAGGTCCCCTCCCACACGGTAACCTTTTGCCCCTCCTCGTCGTACTGCCAGCCATTCGCCAGGAAGATGCCAACCAATCTGGCAACTTCAACGCGCTCGTCATATGTGTTCCCCATGGTCGTGTAAAACACTTCCCAGAATAGGTCGCGGAGGGCCTTCTGGTTGGGATGGTAGCACCATCCCCCCTTTGTCTTGTTGATCCCAAGCATGGTCTCGAGACCCCCAAGCGACATCCCAAACGGGCTAACCTCCGTGCCCTTCCAGTCGCAGATGCCAACAAGCTTGCCAGTGCCAGTGTCCACATGGATGTTGTTCTCCAAGAGGTCGGTGTGGTTGGGCACCATTGGCCAGTCCTCGGCAAACAGGTCTGGGAGGCGCGAGATGAGGTTGTCCAGGGTCTGGTGAAAGCGCGGGGGGAGCCCCGCGCAGAGTTGCGTGAGCTGTGACGAGTAGTCGTCGTATAGCAGCGTGCGGCTCGGAGATGGCGTCCCTTCTGGTGTGTTATGCCATGCTGATGCAAAGAATCTGCGATGGCGAAGTCAGCTGTATGGCTTCCTTGAAATCAGACATTGGGACCGACAGACCTGGCATAGTCTTTCACGGTTCGTTGTAGGAGGCGATAGTTATCCCGGTGCAACTGATCCCGGGCAAGATACATCGAGACCCCGCCGACGTTGTCCATTGTGTAGATGTAGAGCTTGCCTACTTCGCCAGCATGCAAGTGGTGTGGCACGAAGCCCGCGTAGGCTTGTTCGACGCATCTGAGCAACTGGAGGTCTAGGGCGGAGTGGCCGGCACGAAACTGGACGACAGATTCTCCAGCGACGACGGTGTAACTGGTTCCGCCTTGGACAGTCGATGGGCTGGCGGACGCGCCCGTGATGCGTTCAGCTTCCTGGTTGCATTGTTCTTGCGTTACAGGGGCGTTCTTCGAAAAGAACTGCGATATCTGGTACCTCGACAGAGCCGAAATTGATGCCTCCATTGTGCGGTGGGTTGTTTCGAGTGCCGCCAAGATTGCAAGTGGAGGGTTGATTGCTGCAGCTGTGGTGTAACTTTGGTTGTGGCCAGTAGGAGAAGGAGAGAAAAGAGAAAGAGATGGAGAAAGGCGATGGAGGTGGGCTGAAGTGCTGAAGTACCCACGCTGGTCGGGTGGCACATCTTTGCAATGCGACAATATGCAAACACAGACACAGAGGGACACAGCGCGTCCCGTTCTCTCTTTCTCCATGAAAACACTGAAAGTGCCACGTGCACGCGAATCCTCATTATTTCTTCTCTCCTCGCTAATTTGCTTCACCTTCGAATTATTCCGCCAGGACTTTCGTCGGCTTTTCCCTAAGCGCCAAGCCCTATGTAGCTCCTAGGTTCGACGTCGTCGGTCGATCAACAACATCCTCGACACCTGCCACGGGAGCGAAGCGTCCTAGAATCGTTCCTGCTGCGTCTAGCTTCTGGGGATGCTAGGATAGTTCCAACCTTCACTAGGCCTAGAAAGACTTGTTTTGTTCTTTTCGAGAATTTCGGGGGTCCGGACGGTCCGGGCGGTGAATTGCCCCTGAGGCGATGCTGCAGCGCTCAGCACTGGCGGCGACATCGCCGACATAGATACTGGAAATACAGTGAGGTGATTTACACGCGTGAGTGTATTTATATGCTACCAAGAGAACTAACAACAGAGCATCTACTCCCAGAAGGGTGGAATGTGCGGAAAAGACAATGAAGTTCTACATCTTGAGACATGGAAATTGCCCAAGGCTCGGCTCGGGCAGGCAATAAATAGCGCTGCAGAAGTTGAAGAAAGCAATATGCGGTTGCACTCTCAAACTTCTCCTGTTGCTCATTTGAATTAAATCCCTATCAGAAGAGCAGTGCCATCTTCTTCGGCGGGAAAACATAAAAGTATCGATGTCCTGCATTCCGCGACTTGATCGTTGAAACGGTGAAAAGAGTCAATCCTTGTTTTGATGATCTTCTTACTCTTTGTTTCTATTTTATGACGACGGGTTTATCGGTCACAGCTCCGCGCTGTAATCCTAGTAGATACTAGAGAGCTACGTATGCTGATATGGCTGAGAGTTCAATCCGCGAGTTCTTGAGGCCAGGTATTTGGGCAATGCGTTACACAGGTCAGTGTTTTTCTATGGGATACTAGATGATATGTATATGCGTCAAGGCGCCTCGCACCGCCGGGCTTGCTCGCAGTGGCCCGTCGCGGTCTGAGCTCAGGGCGGCGAGCTATTCACAGTTCCTGACATTTAATGGCTGTGCCTTCGAGCAGAAATGCAAATACAGTCAAGTCATTTCCATACATTCCAGCTTCGTATCTGGGTCAAGGCTGTGTGAAGAATGCTTATTAGAACCTAATTGCCCATATTAGGGAATCCTTAGGCTGTCCGAGCTTCTCGGTCTGCGAGAGGGGCTGTGTCACTGTGCGCTAGCGCTGTAGTACTTATACGGCTCCGCGAAGGTGGGAAGAAACTAATGTTCGTCCCTTTCATTTCCGAGTCGCGACAGCAGGAGCGCCCGTGCAAAGGCGCCCAAATCATTTTTCCACGCAAAGGTGGTGGGGGTGGTGGTAGAGGAGGCGGAGCACGCTCATCCTCATCGAAAAGTAGCTCCTCTTCCAAATCCTCCTCGTCGTCATCGTCTGGATCTACAGTCAAAGATGCGAGCAGCGGAGGCACTTTCCGAGCTTCGTCGAGCTCGAACGGTGGTGTTCCAAAGTCTACCATTCCGCAAGGTCAACCGTTCGCCGGACGCGAGGTCGGTGGTGGCACGCGTTCCCAAGTATATGGCACCTCGTAAGCTCTATATTTATTGCTATTGACTCACCTTCCTGATCAAAGACCGTTTAGCGTTTATGGAAGCGGCTATCCAGGAGGAGGCGCCACACGAGGCGTAGCGGGACGTGGTTTCCCCTTCGTCTACTACCCTATAATTTGGCCAGTGGGGTTGGGTCCAGCTTATTTGTACAGCTCTACAGAGGTTAGTATTCACCTTCATCTCTCTCTTATGACACGAGATGCTTACTTCTTTTAAATTAGTACGGATCCATGAACGACGCTAAGCGCCCAGGCGGTCCACTCGTCCAAGTCGCAATCTACAACTCTAGCGCGGAGCCAAGATTTACCTACCGCGTAATTTCCGACCGAGATACGGGCAAAAGCGTGTACAGCACACTCAGAGCGCGTTGTGCGAAAGACTCCGTGCGCGTCGACTTGCCTGTTGCTATCAACCCCAACGGGACCGTCGCGACGCGGCCCTCGGAGGCCATCCAGTACTACAGGGCCAGCAGTGTCGTCCTTACGCTGGATGGATACAACAATACAGCGATATATGATACGACGGAACCGTTCGACCCCTCTGCTCCTCTTCCCTCAGGTTTGAATTTGACGGAGCTGGGTTGTATCAACAATACGATTGGGGACACCGTTCTTCTTGCGGGAGGAAACACTATTCGTCCACAGACAACGCTTACGTTGTTGGCTTTTGTGGTGGTTTGGATATTTAGCCGTCTCTAACTGGGGTTCTGACTGATTGCTTCACTGGCATTAAACCCGCGATACCCGTCTTTCGACACGATACCTGAAGTTACTTATATATATAATATACGTTCCATTAGTATAATCTAGCTAGGTATTACCTTGTAGAGTATTCTACGACGCTAATTACCCGACCAAAGTCTTGTACAGTGTCCCACAGGACGAGAGCCATTGTCCGAGCAAAAGTACATACATAACGCGAGCGCACATGCGGTGGAGGGGGACCAAGGTATAAAGCCAATTGGGGTGAGTACACAAGAGGAATCAAGAAATACAGAATGGTAAAGTTACAATAAATCACACTGTTAACGTAGACGGTTCCACCTCCTGCAAAAATCCAGCTAAGTGCTTGGGGATATCTGGCCGGTGCTTAAACATTAGCCATGGATCCGGGTACATGCCCCTCGAAGGCGCGTCCGCGGGGTTCTTCTTCGTCCAGACCCACAAGGGGCGCAAATCAATTTCGCCCTCATCGCACAAGCGGAGAACGCGTTGGAGAATGTCGTTCAGCCCAAACCTCGGTGTCCAAGCCCTCTTCTTGAGAGCCATGACTACGCCTTCGTTATCTGACCTGAGCGTTATCTTGACGTTCTGGTACCCGGCCGCGAGGAGCGTTAGTACCCCAAGCTCGACGGCGATGAGTTCCGCCCAGGACATGATGATCTTGTCGTCCGGGCCGAGAGGAATCAACGGGTGGTCCGGTGTGAAGGTCCATGCGAGCCAAAAGTTATCGAATATGAGCCCAACACCGTACGCGGACGCGTCGACGAAAATCTGGGGGAGGTGTTTCTTGCGAGTAATGGGCGAAGATGGTGGGAGAGCGCTCGTCGAGGGACGTGGCGAGGATACAGTGATGTGGAATATACTCGCAGTGGGTGCTTTCCACGAGGTAAGAAGAAAAGCTTGTTCGAGGGATCGTTCTTCCTTGGGCGTGCGCTCCGCTTCTCGAACAAGCGGATAGAGTCGGAGCAGAGCAGCCTCACGCTTTGGGGGGTCTTCAGCGGCAGCTATCAGAGCGCCGAGTTCGGATATTGTCAGACGTTCGTCCTGAGGTTCGGGTATCGATAAGTCGAGGACTGAGCTTGCAGGGGAGGGAATTCCGAGGTCGGATTCAATCGATATAGCGCCCAGGAAGAGTGAGGTTGCGTCCTCGTCTTCTTCCTCGCTTTCTTCCTCACTGTTGGTATAGATCAGTAGGCAGGACGTAGGAGTTTGATTAGGACGAACGCACATTGCCTCGCGACGAATACGCTCCGCCCACTCTGCATCCTCCCTGTCCCACTCATCCATAAGATGGAGCTGCTGCATGATCCCGAACTCTTCATCTTCCTCGAAAAGTTCTTCGTCTCCAGGCCAGGAGACGCTCGAAGAGGAGGGCGACACGGACTCCGTGTCCGGAGAGGCCACGTCATGGGGCACGTCGCGAATCGGCGGTGGTGACTCTGCAACCCGATGCAGGCGAACTCTGTCCGATGATAGCTCTTCATACGCCAACTGGAGCGCAAAGAGCCTATCCTGCACTCCGGCCAGCTCAGCCTTTAGTCCCTCGGCTTCGTCTTGATATTGTGTCTGGAGAGCCTGGGACTCGTCAAGCTTGTGCTGCATGCTGTCCAACTTCTCCCGGTAACGAGCAAGCTGCGCCTCATCTTCCTCCCGTTGTGTACGCTGGCCTTGGAGAACCCCCTCCAGGAATGCATCCTCAGCTTGGCCCAGGTCGAGATCTTCCACAAAGCCGAAGTCTGGTTCAGGGTGCAGAACGTGTTGCTTGTAGGCGTCACATTTGGTGCATTCGTCGGTTGGGTGAACGACATCGACCTCCTGTCTGGGCGCTAAGTCGGAATTCGGTGGTTGAGGGCCCCGTAAGCTGGTCCTGATGCCGAATAAATCATAATTCATGACGGTTGTTCAGTGAGAAATGCCGGATGGTTTGGGAGAAAATGCTCGTCTGTTCACTAAAGGGTTTATGGTTCGATGTGCTTCCTGTCAGCTGCATGGCATGAGCGAGGCAATGACTCACAGTCCACTCAGAGCGCTACAGAATTCTCGCCTCGGGGGATTGCTGGTAGAGATCCTGAACTCAACCCCGCTCAACTCTCTGCTCCGAATAAAAAGTTTCTAATCGTGCCAGTCGTCTGGACCACTTGCAGGAGGGTTAAAGAAAACCGCAGCAAATCACCCTGCATGGACATGTTTGAAATTGAACACAATGTGCTAGGAAAGAAGGTATATAGAATACTTACTCTGTGCCAAGGTCGGTTATTGCAGTTACAAGGGATATAGGGGAAACGAGGAGACAGCGGAAAGGGAAGCGACGGGAAATCGGACCGCGCTGCGCGGCTGCGGTTCTAGCACACGATCACGTGTACGCATTTGCTGAATTGGGAAATGGCGCGCCATGGCGGCTTTCCCACGATCTTTGGGATGAGTCATGCCAAAAATCTCTCCACTTCCACCCCGTGTTCATTCCTTCTCGAGAGACACCATAAGGCGTCCGTATGGATTGGCCTTATCTTGTACAGTATAAAAGCTCAAGTAGTATATCCTGTACAGACAGTGAAATACAGCCCGGTATTAGTGGATCGTGTTCATGGCGGCATTGGGAGCCTTCAAATCATTATTTCCTCACTTGAGACACGAGAAGCTCATTTGATTTTCGACACCAGAATGTCATTATCTGGAAGCCACGAGCGCTTCATTCTGTCTCGAAATTCCATCGCGACACGCCTCCTAGGCCTCCATTGACACGCGTTACGTCGGCATCTTCCGAAACGAGGTCAACAGGATCACGTGTGTATGTTGAACAGCCGATGTGCATCAAGATGGCTTGGCATTTGCTTCTTGTCCAGCGCCACCACAGTTCAAGGCGTCCATTGTTCGTCAGTGAGGAATGCCACAAAACACGTTTCCAGCCACTAATTCACTTATAGGAACACGTTATCTCTGCGAAGCGTCCAGCTTGACTCATCTGGCCACATCAGGGCCACTCTTCAAACTATAAACCCGATACGGCCCCCTCAGTCGAAATGTCCTCTTCTTTTTCCGGTTCCTCATTCTCCTCATATTTGTCTCTTCACTCCACAACCTCGGAGAGCGTCACGTCCATGGCATCAACAGGTAAGTAGGCATAGTCCCACCTCTACGACGCTCGACTATGCTAACGTCGCGAATCAGGGGGCGGGGACAAGGGGAACGCGGATAAAGGGAACGCGGACAAGATTTTTGCTATACCAGTCACGCCTTCAAAGTCGAAGGTCGCCAAAGAGAACCCTCGTCGAGCTGAAACCGCACGAAAGATCCTCAAGCTCGAACTCGATGGCCACCTATACCAAGACATCACCGTCGAGCAGTTCGTCATCAACGTCTGGGGCCTCGATGAGGCTACTGTGAGAAGAGTGCTGGATGCCAACATTGGCCTTCACAAGAGCTATTGGAGGCATTACAAAGCTGTGTGCAACAAACCGTCTCAGTCACAACCAGAGCAACATCTGCATGAGCCGTTCCGGCACATTTCGTCGCATCTGCTCAAGGACGTATGCAAGAAGCTTGGTCTCGACCCTAAGAAGACGATAAAGGATGCGTTCTGGGATGGAGGAGGAAGCAAGAACATGAAGAGCCGATACGCGTATGGGAGGCTTCGCAAGCCAGACCTGCTGCGAATATGGGGTCTTCGAGATGGTCGGAAACGCCCGCGGTGGAGTGAAACGAAGAGTGCTCTGGAGTTCAAGGTAGAGGAGGCGAAAAGGAGGGCAAAGAAGAATCCCAACGGCGGCTACACCTACGCTCTTCAGTCCATCCAGGAAGGTACCGAGATCGCTGGAATAGCAACGCCTCAGAGCGGAGCTTCATCCTCCTTCGCAACAAGCTCGCGCGGTACTGGGAGCGGATCCCGGGCTCAGTCCTTCTCCACGCCTCTGACCTCCTATGCCGACCTCTCCCTTTCTACAACATTCAAAAGCTCGACGTCTAGCAAGCGGCTCTTCGATGAGGTTGACGGTAGGGATGCCGATGATGGTGCCAATCCGCCGAAGCGAGCCAAGGTCGCCGCCGATGATGGTGACGAGGACGAGGAAGAAGAAGACGAAGACGAGTACAAGAAGCCTGAGATTGAGGTCAAGAACGGCGAGATCCAGCTGGCGACCTATGCACTCGAGTGTCTCGGCGACTCGAGCCGTCACTACACGACAGGCATCTTCATCGACAGCACGTCCGTGAATCTGTGGTATTACGATCGTTCCGCCGTCATCCGAGCCTCCAAGTTTGAATTCAGTGCCGGCGAGAACAACCACGGCACTAAGCTACTCGCTGTCGCTCTCTTCGCTCTCAGCCAGGCGACAATGAAGCAAAGCGGCTTTGACCCGTTCGTCCACAGGTTCATAGAACCCAAGAATGGCGTTGTACTACAAGAACACCACATCAAGGCCATCACCATCCCTCTCAGTATACGGTCGAAGACGTGCTTCCGGTTCAACAAGAACGGCGAGGATTTGATCTTCGTCGTTGACAAAGTGCTGTACACATATTCGTCCATCATCGGCCGTGGCACCTATGTCGCGAGCGGGAAGCAGGCTTATATTGGCTCTCCTGTCGGCGAGATCCCTAAAGTGCTCAAGCTCAGCTGGCAGTTACAGGTCCGGCATGCGGAAGCCGAGCTGCTCAGGAGGATCCGTGGTCGACTGCCTGACTACTGGCACAGACACCTTCCGGCGGTCCGGTTCAGCGCGGTTTACAAGCCGGAGGAGCTGGGGTTGCCACGGAGCAAGCTGAAGGAGGTACTGAAGCCGACGAGGAAGGAGATACAGGAGCGGGACCTCCACGTCCTGGTCACTGATCTTTACCACAAGCTCCACGAGGCCGCCGATATCGAAGAGTTCAAACGAATCTTCCTTGACTGCCTTGAGTGTAAGTCGACCAATCCCAATTTCCGCCATTTGACTGTAGCTAATGGTTCTGTTTGTAGGCCACTATCACACTTACACGACGGGCCGGGTGTTGCATCGCGATATCAGCGAGAATAACTTGATGTTCGCTGACCCGAAAGAGGTGGCCGCCCCTACTGGGGCGACCGACTGGCCTTCGTCGAGGTGGGGTATCCTCAACGACTTTGATCTGGGTTCCGAGATCGACGCAGATGGCAACGTCCAGTCAAGCAATGCCAATCATCGCACTGGTACACTCCCTTACATGGCCACCGACCTTATCAGCCGACCTGTCCCACGGAACCCTCACGTCCAGTACGTGCCGCCTTCTCACTACTATCGCCACGACCTCGAATCCTTCTTCTATATCCTCGTATTCGCGTCGACTCGGTACACATTCGATAAGGGAAAGTGCTTGCCTGTCCCCGCGTGTCTTGCCGAATGGACCAAGAGCGACACGGCATACAATAGCAAATGCGGCTTCTTCACTCCTAGTGGTCTTCAGCACGTCAATGCCGCCATATTGGACCACTTCACTGGCTTGTGGGATGAGTGGATCTACCCGCTGTACCGCATGTTCCGATTGGCACTGAATAGTACTCCATCTCCGCCAGATCCGGAATATAAGAAGTACAACTTCGTGACCTTGGAGGGTCAGGTCACTTTTGAGAAGTTTATGGAGGCAATCAAGGTGAAACCCCGCAACTCAGAGGGTGAGCGAGCTGCATAGAACAATTCTAAATGGGCCGAAGATTGTAGTTGTGCTCGCTTACGACACTAAGTAGTGGTAGCAATTCGGACTGTTGGTGAATCCTCGTATTCCATTTTTAATTGTGCAATATGGAAAATTAAATTTCATTGCCCTGTCATTTTGTGAAGGATACAGTATTACGGCGAGAAGTAAATAGAACTGCGAGTTAAATAACAGGCCATAAATAATTCTCACCTCGAAGACTTTCACAATTGATACCATGTCGCCTATGGAACCATAAGGTAGCGGTCAACAGTAACCAGCATGTTTATATAATCAGCTTAGTCAGCGCCAAGCCTGGCCAAATGTGAGGTTCGGCGAAAACCAAAAGTTTGAGGTAGGGAAACTAGGATACAATGGACACTACAGTAGTCTTTAATTTATTATACCGCTCCAAGAACTCTTTCTTGAGCTTTGCAGCCATCTCCGGGGGGAGAAGACAGTGGCTGTGGTACTTTCGGTTAGCCCAGGCTGCCTCGGGACCTGTGAGACCTTGCGCATAGCTGTCGATGAACCGCGCAGCCTGGTTTGCATATCTGAATGGCTATTAAATGTATTAAATAATATAAAGAGAATGGGAAACTCACCGTCTGATTTGAATGAGAGGAATGTCATCAAGAGAGTTACAAACATTTTCCTCCATCTCCTTTATGTTGTTTGTCTTTGGGCTGATTTGGTATCGAAGCTTTGTGGCGCCCCAATATTGCTCGATGAAGTTAAGTTCGCAGTGATACTTCGGATAAAAGTCACAGATATGGCCGCGTCGTGTGATGAGCTCCTCGAGAGCTGACTTCTGATTGACGAAATTGGGCTGGCAGAACAAGACGCATCAGCAACAGCAGTCAGTTTTCCCTTTTACACACTTGAATGCTTCGCACTGTGCATTCAAGCCCTTCTCCGGCCAAAGTCCACGTTCCCGGATAATAATTTCCATTCCTTTGAACCATCCCGGCATGGTGGGATGGTCATCTGGGAAATAGAAGTCTTGACTCGTGTTGTTCTCACCAAATGTCGTGATCCGCATCCTCGGTCCGTCCTTGTGATGGCGCCATGTTGCATGAGGGTTCTTTGGCATTTTGCAGGTGGAGAGGGCATCTTGAGCTCGCTTTTGATGGCTTGGTGCATTGTCAAAGAGAAAAAGGCCAGTTGCAAAGCCATTTGTCTTCCCTTCAAATATGTCAATAGCAGTGTCAACTTGTGCTAAGAGGTCATCATTGTCAAAATACCGTCACAATTTTTCCCTGCTTTAAATAGCACACACGCTTCTCTGATCAAGTTTAAGTCAGTTCTAAATTTAGACTGACATCCGTGGAGTTCTTACTCATCACCGTCTTTCAACCGCCCCCAGTCTGGGGTTAAGAACTCTGACACCATTACAGACTGCCCTTCCCCCTTCTTCTCTGTGGATGCCTTCTCTGTTTCGTGTGTCCACTTGGTCTTTTGTCGGTCATTCTCATAGAAGGTCAATTCGTCGTGGGTCACAAGGATGAGACGGAAACGACCAATTTGTGGGACAGGAAACCCAACTGGTGTCGAAAGTATGTTCCCATCATTGTCATAGATGACGAAACGACATTCATACTCTTTCCAGCGTTTCACAAAGCCTTCCTGGTATGCTACAACATCCTTGTGTTCGTGTCTGTCAATGTACATCCCGTTCTGCTTCCGTGTGTACCACCAGCTCAATTTTCACAGCCAACATCGGGCTGTGCAATCTGAGATGCCCCTTGCCTTAGTTCCAAGCTGCTGTTGCACCTCCAGAGTTGCAATGTAGTCCACAATGTCTCGAGCGTGGATGTAGCCCTTCTGCGAGATTTCACTGAGATGCCCTTGGATCTCACTTGCAAAGTCTTCGTCCTCAAGAATCGATGAGTGGTATGTGCCATAGCGATGCAACGGTAGCTTTCCAGTTCTCAGATATTTTTGTATCCAGGTCCAAAGGTTTTGTGCATGATTTGGCCCACGGCCTGCTGCCTTTGCTGCAATCAGCGACACTTGACGCCATGAGTACAAAAGCTGAGGATCAAGATAAAGGTTCAGGGTGCCAACCATGCCCGTTATTCGAGCCTGGAAGAAGACATCGATTTTCTTATCACGCGATGTGACGGTGAGTTTCGCTTTTGCTCATCGAAGGGCAGGGAAATCTTTGTAGCTCAGTTGATTGAGCAGCCTTTCAGCCTGGTGCTCAGGACTTGGATCTTCAGGGCAACGGCACTCATGGAGCTGCTTGAGTAGCTCTGCAACTTGCTCTTTTGGAGTCAGACCAGAGTGGTTGTGATCCTCTAATGGCCTGGCTTCTTGAACTGTGTCTATCTTGTCCTCAGGCTCCGTTTCGTCTTCAGTTTCCTGTCCCCTATTTTCATCTTCTGACTTGGGAATAGAGATGAATGTCTGCGGAGCTCCTGGGTCATCATGTGGCATGCTAGCCACTTTGTCTGTTGACTTCGTCTCTGTCATGTTCTGAGTCCTTGGTGTGAACATACTTGAGACAAATTGTTGGCCAGTTGCCGCTAGCACCTTGTAGTTAAATGCATGGTGGCGCTGGCTGCGTTTCAAGTTCCTTGTGTAGTGGTGTGGTCGATTGCTTGCTGCTGCACACTCAGCTTCTGCTGCAACCTTCTGGGACTCTGTTAAGGTTGCCACAAAATGGTGCAATGCCTCTTCATTTCTGAGGCTGATAAGTCACCAATATCTGCTAGCTGAAACGTTTAAAACTGGGGAACTCCCCAGAATGCTGGATGCATCAGGGTGGGGAGTTGCCCATCCATGGACCCCAGACCACCCTCTGCTGCTGGGGAGGGCTGGGGATGACCGTTTCAGTGATGGAAAAGGCTTGGGAGGGGTTTGATGAGACCCAGGGACTGTTCTGCATCCTTTCTGGGACAATCTGGTATGGGGGAGGAGGTGAATTTGCCTGTATGGGGTGCCACATTACCTTGGCAGTGCGCTTTTTTTAGATCCACGGCTATTTTTAATTTGACAGCCCATGACATCAGAGAATGATGTCACTGATCTGAGCCATCAATTCTTGATGCCTCGCCTCGGAGAATCCGCCTTCCGGCTGTGGCTGTGCTCATTCCCAATGCGGACATAGGGGATCAAAATAGGCTCTGCTGGCCTCATCCATGGCTTATTTCGTTACACCACACCTCTTAATGGACAGAACAGTCATGCGATAATATTATACATAATTTTAGCTTTCTGTAGATGCCAAGAACATCAGGAGAGACCTATTTTTGGTAAAGATATGGTGCAAACAGTGGTTTATACACCAAAAATGCGAAAATGCGCACTAAATGTGCCCCTCTCATGCCCCCCTGACTCAAATAACCTATGTGATAATTTAGGGTAGTGTATTACCTTTAATTTTACCACTTAAAATTGGTTGTGCAGTCAGTATTGACTATGCTATTCCCTTATAGAGCGCATTTTCTAAAAATAGCAAAGAAGCGCACTCAATTCTCTACCATTTGCAGGCATCTAATCCTCGGGGCAGGTCAGCGATTCTATAGAGAATATATAGAGCTTTCAAACGAGCCCTCCCGCGTGTTCACGCGCTCAGTATTGCAGCTTATATTACAGGATTACCCCTCATGCATGGCAATTTATTGATGGCTGCACATCCGTGCAGAATTTCGGCTTCCCCTCGCATTATTTCGCTTATATTTGGCTGAGCGAAATGCTGGGTACATTAATACCTTCTAGTAGACACCCTTATCGCATGAAACAGGTAGAAACTCATTGAGATATGATGAATGTGATTTTGCTGCTATAATACATGGTGCACCCATGCATCCTCAGGCATGTTTAGGGCCATTTGAGTTGGCCAAAAATGATGAAATACATGCCTGAGAGTAATTACAACATGCATAATGCCAGGGGGTGTCTGGGTGTAGTAGATATGAGGGGGTATATAGGTACACCAGGAGACCCACTCCAGATACCTCACTAAATGCAGCTCTGAAAGTCTGAAACTTGGTAGGTGGATAGTATATATTTATTCATGAATTTAACATATTTTATCATATTTTTATATTGCCTTGAAGTTGGGTTATTGACCGATTTCACACGAGCTGAAATATTCTATTGACCTCCAGGAGGGGGGATATTGGCACATGTAAAATCATGATAAATGACGATAAATGGATAGAAACAGAACAAGGTACTTGCGAGGGCAAGTGGATGATTCTGTGTGAAGTTATTAAGGGGAGAAGGAGGAGGTAATCCCCCAC